GTATATACAGGGTCCTGCAAGTGTGACGTTATAATGATATATTTTTTAAATGGCATGCCACATATTTTGTTACACATTTGAGTGCTTCTAGTGGTTACCTACATACTCCTGAAATTTAATTGAAATCGGTTCAGTGATATTCACTTAAAAAATATAACAAAAAATTCAATTTTGCATCACTGATGGTCAAAAACATTGACTTTTCAAATATCGAAGCACTATGTTTTTCTTATTTCAAATTTCATTCGACATTATTTACTTGTATACAGGCTGTCCCGAAATTAGCCTGCTATAAACTTCACCAGCGGCTTCTACGATCAATAATTAGGAAAAAAATATTCAATGAATTTGAGACGAGAAATGTCTCCTGAGGAAGCTACGACCCCCTGAAAGGGGCTCCTGAAGATGATATTTCTTGAGTATTTCCGAAACTCCTTGTGAAGAAAATATGCAATTTGGTACAAGTTCTAAACTTTCCATGCCCAATGGAGTGAAAATAAAATAATTTCGAAATTTCATTCAGGCGTGTACAATACAGGGTGGGACTACATTAAATATTGCTCAAAATTCTTTGTATGCATATTTTTGGACAATGTTTTCCATGCACATTCACTTTAGTATAAATTGCCCTACGAATTTCAGAGCAGTACCGTTCAAGGATTCCGAAATGTTAAAGAAAATCTGGAAATAAAACTGTTCTTCGTCGCCCTCTCAAGACTCAACGGTGTATTTTTAAAAGAAAAAACAATAAAAATCAATTGGACCACTTTGAGAAATATGGATGGTTTCCATGATTTCAACGGTGTATTTTCGTATGGAGGTAAGTTGATTCCAATCAGCCAAATCTGGTCTCTAGTTCACCCTGTAGAAATTATGGTATACGCTGTTCTGGGACACCTTGTTTACGTTGGGCGCCAAAACGCATTTGAAGCTGGATTTTAGGTACATAACACAGTGCAAAAACCTCTCGACCTCTCGGTTGACATCAAATTCTCGTATATGACACAAATTTCTCCAAACGAATGAATATCCCGACGTGTCAGAACAAAACAAACCGAAACCTCGTTCTCGCTGCCTATCCATAGGAGACTTGATTACCGAATCGGTGCGTGTGGTCCCCCCCGCGACGTTCAATTGTTTTCCTCCGCACAAGGCGACAGAACAAAAGCGCCGAGTTATTGGTCTGATTAGGACGCGTATAAAATAGAAACGGGGGATGCTGTGGGGGGCTTCCCCCCGATGTGGGGGCCGTCGATCGTGTCGATGTCAAAAGAATCGTGCGGTGATGCCGCGTGTCACCGCAGACCGAAATTTAACGAACGAGTTCGTTATTCCGTTTATTCACGATTATTAGTCGCCTGAAACCGTGCCATGCACCCCCGAGATTGGTTTGCATATAGTTTGATGATCTCGGACTATGTATATGTATGTATATGTATTATTGCATAGATTTCGATGTAATCGAATGTTCTGCGTGGCATATAGCTAGGAAAGTAGTTGTTTTTCTCTCGTTATCTACCATTTTCGTTCATTTTATGAAATATTGTGGTTTCACTTTGAGTATTTGGCTTTTTCCTAGTTGATAAAATATATAGTAAGTATATAGAGAACAAAACAGATGGCATAATTAGAAAATATATCTTTGGAAAAACTTTTTAAATAAGTATAACGGACAGAGAGGCATGGAAGGAAAGACCTCCTATCAATGCAGACATCATCATTGCTGTCCATACGGAAGGCTCCAAAACCGAGGAATGGTCAGGAGCTGGTATTTATGGAGCCAAGCCAATGACAAGAATCTCACTGAGGCAAATACGTGACGGTGTTTCAGGCGGAAATTATTGCAATACATCATTGCGTAAAAGAATTGTTAAGGCAAGAGTTCAAAGGGAAAACCATTGCAATCTATTCGGATAGCCAGGCGGCAATCAAAGCAGTTGACTCAATGGAAGTTAACTCAAAGCTAGTATGGAACAGCTGTATCTCAAAAGTTAGGACTTTTAGGACATACGTTCATATGAAGTTTTCTTCTTGAAATGAGTCCCCCTCAAATATTAGCATGTATTTAAGGAATACCCTGTATACCCCCTGATGGCATTGTGGGGCGCACCAAATTCCGGTCCCTGAAGAATATAGACGTAAATGTGAATCTACATATGCAAATATATGGATGGAAAATCGTGGATAGAAAGCACATCGAATGACAATAAACGACGACGACGCGGCTCGACGCCCCGCGAAATTAGACGCATTATATGACGTCCCAGATACGACACAGATCCGATCAGCAAATAGTGCGCTAATTTTCCCGCACTAATCCCGTTAGCGGGGCCCACAATATCCCACACACACACATCCATACGGCCTCTCTCCGTTACCGGATTATATGGAAATATCGGAAATTCCCACATCGAGATCAAGCGGGCGACACTGTGGCTTGGGTGAAAGAAAATTCGAGTAAAAAGACGTAAGGAAAGAGCATATAATATTCTATAATCGATACATAAACTGGAGGATGATCTGGAGAATACGAAACATTGGAGGAAAAACATGATAACGTCAAAGCAAAAAGAGTAATTTATAGCGGATTCCATTTTGGTAAAACTAGTGCGCGTACTCAGTGTATACATACATTTCTCTTTCTGCTACACGTCAAAAAAAAAGGATAAATATACACTGAGTGTATCAATATTGTGTATAGTCCTGAAAATAAATGAAGGATATATATAAGCAGAAACCGAAATGATCGATTTTTTTTTCGTCATACCTCAATAAGAACAGGTCCTGATATTTTTTAATTTTCACTAGATGATGCTTCCTGATATACAGTCGCATTAAAAAAAGGCATACAAGTATATTACTCTCTCTATCACTCATAATATATAGTGAGTGCCAATGGTGAGGATAGATTTTGGAACACACTGTATAGAGGCAGAAAAGCTAAAATCGTCTTCAGGTATCAGATTCAATAGATATAAGTTTGTCGAAAAAAAGGCTAGGAAAGAATATAAGTATTCGAATTGTTTCTTAGCTTATTTGGCTCCTAGGAGCTTTAATTGTAAGTGATTACTTAAAATTGATATATAGGGTGATACAAAATTCGATGTATATATTTTAAGGACGTATTTTCGGCCAATATTAAAAAGTGAGAGATATTTCAATGCATAAATAACAAATCCATAACCTGTCAGAATGAAGCCAACTACCTTCTGCATTCCTGCTCCGAGTGCGTTTGTGGTTATGTATGTTTTTGTTTACCAGTTTTTCAGTGTTCAGGCTAGATTCAGAATGAACGTCACACTTTGCCGTCCCGAAAATTAGAAATTGCTTTAATTTGAAAATGAAAACGACTTGGACTTCATCGGTCGCCATTCTGTACAGCGTATAGACATAAAACTGGAGAGTTCCGAACTTTTTTTTTAAATTCATCTGAAGGAAACTTCCCCAATTGTTCGACACAGAAGGTACGAGAGTCGATAGTCGGTCGATACTTCGTGAGTACGGTAGTTTTTTTGGGGTAACCACCCTCGTAGAGTAACGGTCGTCAACGCTATAGCAGCCCTTATAAGCTTTGTTACCATCAGAGAGAGACGCATCTCGTCTGCCGGAGCAGCGATTATTTGGGCATTGTAAGTACACATATTCTTTTGTACATAAAAAGCTGTTTTGTCAAAGAGGAGGGTGACTAACCTACTATTCTCAGTATTCTTTGGTTTTGTTACCTTGTACGGCCCTCGTAATTATCTCCAGCCACTTTGATAGTTAGATCCAGCGAGATGTAGGATTTCACTAAAAGGTTTAGTCACATGTTCACCGCCTTAGTTTATCAACTTCACCAAACATTTTTTTAAACAAGACATGCACTCTTTTCTTGCTACAGCGGAGCTACACTGTGTAGTAGTTCGGCCACCATCTTGCTGCCACTGCCAAGCATAACCCCCTAAGATTACGTAGCCGGGGAGGAAGGCCCCGTGGTCGTGACAATATACTTGATGAATTGAACCTGATAGTTTGTTAGCAAGCTTACTAGGGAGGTAGAGTAGTTGATAAAATTATTCATGTTCAAAAAACGTCGCCGCGGTTTATTTCATTTCGGATGTCCGAAGTACCTAGGTAGTAGTGAATGATTGGACCTTCCTTTCATCTTTATATTCAATGGAGAAAACTGGCGGAGTCGCCGGGGATCTCTCGACCACATCCCTGATCCCTGGTAAACTTGATTTTATTGAACTTCGATAGAAAAGACGACTATCGCTCGTCGTACCCTATTTTTGGGGATTTCTATAGAATTATTATGTTGTCGACGCGGTTTCTATGTATTCCAATTCCACTTGATCCAATAAAAGAGGATTATTGGATGGTCATTTTGCGTCGAAATTGACAATTGAATTACCGCGGGAATGAGGAATAGGGGATATTTTTTGTTCAGTGTTAGTTCACAATCTTATCATATCATGTCTTGTAGTAAAATAGGTGTAATATGGTGAAGTTGTCGTTGTTGATTCATAAATCGCCATTGGAAGAATAAATAATTATAGCAAGAGAAGGTATTATAGGTATATAGTTGATTCCTGATAGATTCCAAAAACATAAATCCATAAATATACCTACCTACTCATTATTATATATAATTTCAAATCTTAAGGTAGGTAGTATATTGGGTTCTACCAATGTTCTACCACAGGTTAACAAACCTTTTGTTATCTGTGGTTCTACCTATAAAGAATATAAAGATTGATGAAATAAACCTCTAAAGTGTAGATCCGGTACAGTTAGGTACCTATCCAAACAAAAAAAAGAAGATGAAAGTCTCCAGAAGAAGTCTTCTTCCTCACGCAAATGTCATTCAAAGCGAAAAAAAGAAGAAATCTTCTTCCCATTTCACAGACACTAATAACTTTGGACCATAGACGTTATAGGCGTTACTCTTTTGACATAAGCAAAATAACCTCGGAGGCATTGTTCTTAAAAAAAAAAAGAAACATCAAAAAGGTTATAAAATTATAACCTATATCTTGGATCTTGACTCGAAGCACCTCGAAGCGAGATCAAATCTGTGCCCCTTCAAAAAGGCAATTCAAAATTTAATACATAATTATTATACCCATATAGTACAGCCATGGTTGAGCAACAGCGACAAAGAATAGAACAAGAAATGACCAAAATGATAAATGAACTAGATCTAGAGTACTTACGGAAAATGCAAGTGAGGTTCTTCATCTCTGACCTCTGCCAACCTTTCAAGGTTTTTTCATCCTGAAAAAAAGGTCATATTTATTTATTTTTCCAGGCAGACATGCATAGGTGTGCAGCAAGATGTTGTGATAACAGAGATGTGTCTTTAGAAAGAGTCCAGTCATGTGTAGAGAACTGCTCAGTTAAAATAAACTGGGCGCAATCCTATGTTCAAGGAGAACTACAACAGTTACAGAATAAATTGCAGAGATGTGTCATGGACTGCAATGATGATGTTAGGGTCAAAATGGGACCAAACCCTAATGAATCAGAGGTAATAATGTTCTTAGATTTTCACTCAAAGGTACCTTAATATTTTTGAATCAATTCAAAAGTTCAAACTCACAATGGATCTTTTTTAGATTCCTACTTCATAAATAAACATCTCATTTCATACTATATACTTGTCAATTTGTTTGGTGCCTAAATGCCCAAAGGTCCAAAAGCACATCAATAATGAAGTAACATAATGATTAGCAAATTTAAGGGTGTTGTTTTTTCATGTCATCAAAAATAAGCATAAAGTATATTCTCATAAAATATAATATATTATGCTGAAAAATCAATGATGACCCCTGCTTCTACATTTAAGCAGTGATGTATTATTCTTGGAAACACACCTTCTCTTGCTTTGCCAACTTTTCAAAAATCCTGAAGTAGTTTAATAAATGTCTACCTACTATGATATTAATGTTTTCCTGCATTTCAGGTTGAGAGGTTCACTGCCATTTTCGAAAAATGTGCTACAAAATGTGTAGACAAACAAATTGAATATGTACCTTCATTACTGAAGAGAATGAAAACGGATTTATCAAGAGAACACCAAAATTCATAACAAAACACCACTAACATACTTTTTATTGTAGTACATTTTTCATTAATACTTTTATGAATAAATTATATCCAATGTTCAGATGCTGTATTCTTACCTTCACATATTTTACACTTTACACAACTTATAACTATTATTCAATGTCGGCTACATGAAAGCAAACATGAAAGAATCTAGTCAGCTGAGGGCCAGAGCTGACTAGATTCTTTTCTCATTTAGCCGACATTGCTATTATTAATAAAAAATATGATTAAGACGGCTGTGCCAGAGGGTACTTCTCTAATTTGGCGCATTTTTGATGCCTTGTTTTGTTATGTCAACTGTCTTCTTCTCATTCAAATTAGAATATTAGAAACTTTAAAAGATAGAAGAAGTCAGCTGCTCAGCAATGTCAAACTGTCAAATCAGTCATTACATTGGCGTACACGTTTTTTAAGAATTTTACTTCAAATTTTTGTCTTCATATTCATATATCATAGATTATTATGAGTGAAACCCATGAAACCATTGTCTGGGTGAAACGATTATGAAGTTGCGTGAGTCTGAAGTACCACTATCAATTAAAAAATAATTGAGCTTGTTTTACTTGTAATAATTTGTTGATAAAAATAGGTTTTCACATTCCAATATCCAAAATTACCATGTCTTCTCTAGATGTCCATAACGATTTGAGCCTGTAAGTACAAAAACATTGAAATATCAACCTCCCACATAAATTTATTCTTTTTTAGCTATGTCACCCCCGAAAAATTCTATCTGGAACCAAGAAACAGTGATGAACTTCTAATTATTGACAGACCTTCAGAACAAATTAATCTCCAGAAAAATTCAGGTCAAATTCCAGCAGCTAGTAGTCGCAGAGACTTTTGTGGCTTATTAGGCACAATACATCTTCTGGGAGGGCCATACTTAGTGATAGTATTGCAAAGAGATCTAGTAGGTTACATAGCTGGCCATACAGTATGGAGGTTAGTCAAAGCAGAGCTAGTGCCTTACTCTAGGTCAACATTGCATCTGAATGCTGACCGAGAAAGAGACAATAACCTTTATGTAAGCATGATTGAACAAATGTTGACTACTCCTTTCCATTATTTCTGCTATGACTATGACATCACACATTCCATACAGCGCCTGCATGATATAAGCCCTGATTTCTGGCAGCAGTCTCTGTGTGAAAGGGCTGACCAAAGGTTTGTTTGGAACAAGCATTTACTACAACCATTCAAGAATGAAGGTATCAAGAGGTTTGGCTTGCCAATACTGCATGGTTTCATCTCAATCAACCAGTGTGTTATAAATGGTCACAGCTTGAGTTGGACAATAATCTCAAGGAGGAGTGTGTATAGAGCAGGAACTAGACTATTCAGAAGGGGCATTGATAGGGATGGCAATGTTGCAAACTTCGTGGAATCTGAGCAAATTGTGGAGTTCCAAGGAGACCGTGCCAGCTTTGTACAAATAAGGGGCTCCATACCCCTATTCTGGCATCAGAACCCTGACCTGAGATACAAACCACCTCCTACACTCCTAGATATGGACCCTCAAGAACAACAAGCTGCTTGTTTAAAACACATTGAAGAAGTGGCAACTCTCTATGGAAAACAAGTACTTGTCAACTTGATAGATCAAAAAGGAGCTGAAGGCAATATGGAGAAAGCTTTTAGGAATGCTATGAATACTTTGAATTACCAATCTGTGCGTTATGAGCCTTTTGATTTCCATGCAGAGTGTAGAAAAATGAGATGGGATAGGTTGTCAATTCTCATAGACAGACTTGCTTTGGATCAAGATGAGATGGGGTATTTCTTGCTTCTGAGAGATGGATCCCTCAGTTCTCTGCAAGATGGTGTTTTCAGAACAAACTGTATTGATTGTTTGGATAGAACCAATGTTGTACAGAGTATGCTGGCACACAGAAACCTAGAAACAGTATTGAAAAAACTGAACATTCTCCAGCCCAACCAAGGCTTAGAGCACCAATATTCATTTGAAATGCTGTTCAAGAATGTATGGGCTGATAATGCTGATTACATCAGCATTCAGTACTCTGGCACTGGGGCCTTGAAAACTGACTTTACAAGGACAGGCAAAAGATCAAAAGCTGGCTTGATGAGAGATGGAATGAACTCACTCACAAGATACTACAAGAACAACTTGACTGATGGGTTTAGGCAAGATTCCATTGATTTGTTCCTGGGCAATGGTAAGATAGTTTCACCACTAACTGTTGAGAAAGGCTGGCGTTACATGACTTTCCCTTCTGTCTTACTCATGGCTGTTGCCATGTTTGTGGCTTCAGCTGTGTTTCCATCTGAGTATTCCACGGAGTCTCTGTTGTATTTGTTGTTCTGGGGGTCTATGGTCTTTGCAACAGGTCATTACATCCTCAAGTATGGTGTGGAATTTGTGGATAAACCTAGGCTTGTTCAATTTTAGTACCTACCTGTATGGTATAGTTCTAGTCCTAGTCACTTGGTATCTGTTCTTTTGCTTTAGGTGTATATTTTTCTTTGTACATAGATTGGAGGATTTTATGTATGGTATAACAGGGTAGCTAGCTTCTTCCAGTGAAATACTCCAACAATACACTGAATATACCAAAATATAGGGTGTTGCTTGAACATTATAGGGATCCCCTTCCATGCGCTCCAAGAGATGAAAAAAGACGGAACAATTTTATCATCTCTTTGACTCTTTCTGAGTGGACCAGAGATTCTTATATTCCTCTATATATGTTGTATTTCAATTGAGCAGGCATTGGAAAAATTCCAGATACGATGAAATCACCCTGTGTAATAAATTCAGGGGTCATATAACACCTTGTGTAAAATGTCCAGCATTGTTTCCGTTATTCTTTCTTAAATGTACGCCCTAGACGATGAAAAAGTGTTTTAATTTTCTACATTTAAATCAGGTTGTGCCTATCTGAGATAGATTTCTGTAATAAGATATTTTCTAAGAAAAAAATTATTTCATTATTCCAGCTGTGTCTACTAGCCCTTCAATTTATGATACTTGCTACTGAATGACCTTGTATAAGTGATATTTTAGTGGATGCATGTTTATTCCAGGAATATATTTTTATTGTTATTGTTGAACATAAATTTCCTGGGCCAGTTTCTTGACTCACTGGGTATGTATGGCTTATATGTCCATCAACTTTTTTTTTGCATTTATATTCCATTGATTCATGAGCTTTGTACTTTATTTTATTTAAAATAATTGATTATTGAATAAATTTATTTGTGAAACTCTCACTACCATGATGTCTTATTTGTCACAATTTGTATCATATGTACAAGTAATTGAAATAAATTGAAAGGTCAATTGATATGATACAACCACTGAAAGGCTACCTATACATACTTAATTAAAGCAGAAACTATTTATGGCCAAGTGATATCCAAGGAAAATATGCAGTTTTTAAATTCCAGATCTTTTCCAGAATAGATCATAGAATAGAAGGAAAAAAAAACAGGTAAACAGAACATTTTGAGTGAAAGAAGAACAGATATTCCAGAAGGACATGCCTTTTTAACTTGAAATGACCTGTTGAATTTAATTATCTTTGGAGGTATTTCAGTGAATATTCATTGTACATGAAAATGAATAGAGCCTTCTTTTATAGGAAACTAGCTGACCCTGCAGGCCTGCAAACGTTGTTTTGCCATAAACACTATTTCTAGAAAATATGTTTTTAGTTGAATATTCATTGACACACTTTTGTTATTTTATTTTCTACTTTTCAGTTTGGCTATCCATAAAAGTATTTCATTAGTTTTTTGAACTACGACTATCACAATAGCTGACCCGGCAAACGTTTTGCTATAGGTATACAATTATTTCTAGAACACATTTTTTCAGTTGCATATTTATCAACACACTTATATTACTTTTGTTTTCAAATTCTTTTTAGTTTGACTATCCATAATATTGTGTTCCTTTAGTTTTTCAACCTACTATTCATTTTCTAGTTCTTTTCATTTCGACAATCTATCGCTCTTCAGTTTTTTAAACTATAATATCAATTTTCTACTTCTTTTCAGTTTGGCCTCGAGTTTGGCTATCTATTAAAGCGTGTTTTATTATAGTTTTTCAAAATAATAATTACTAAAAAGCTAGTTCGCCATATTTGGATTCGCCATCTTGAATTTCCCAATTTTGAAGAAGAACATCATAACCTCCGACTCCGAAAATACCCAGATACAAATTTTGAATAGAATCATATCATATAATTACAAAACTCTTCCGCCATATTGGATCCTCCATCTTTTAATTTCCTAATTTTGATGAAAGAATCATAATCTCCGACCCGAAAATCACCCAGATACAAATTTTGAATGGAATCGGATCATATAGTTACAAAACTCGTCCGCCATTTTGACGAACGAATCATAATCTCCGACCCCGAAAACCCTCAGATACCAATTTTGAATATAATTGAATCATAATAACAAAACTCGTCCGCCATATTGGATCTGTCATTTTGAATTTCCTTATTTTGATGAAAAATCATAATCTCTGACCTCGAAAACCCCCAGATACCAATTTTGAATGGAATCTGACCATAATTACAAAACTCGTCCGCCATATTGGATCCGCCAGCTTGAATTCCAAAATTTGACGAAAGAATCATAATCTCCAACCCCGAAATACCAATTTTGAATTTTCGATTTAAAAAATAGATTGCGACCGATTTTCATACCTACTGAAATACGCACAAAAAAATTCATACGAATCGGTCGAGCCGTTTCGGAGGAGTTCGACCACTAACACCGTGACCGGGACAGGAGAATTTTTTATATTAGATGTTATGTTCAATTTTGTATATTCACACCTTTTCAGAAGCCGCGATTTGCGAATTGTTCAGTAAAAATTCCAAAAACTGACCACTGAACGATCTCCTATGAGTCAGAACTTTCAGAATGTTGTTCAAAGCACCACTTCACTTTTACCACTACGACAATTTAGGACTAAACGTTTTTTCTTCTTCCTTTCCAAAACCAAAAAATTATACTGCCGCTTTTTGCGGAAAATTCGAAAAATCGGTATGGACAATTTTTATATTTTCGGATTATGATTCACTTAGTAGACAATAAATGGTTGTTAAATTAGATAACAAATCAACCCATAATCTCGGTATAGGTGAATCAGAGTAGTAAATATGAACTACTGGTTCTGCATCCTCAATGACAAATAATTGTACAATAATATTATCAAAAACAACTGATAAGCGGTTTCAGGTGAGTCATTCATAGTCGATACTTTCATCAGAATGAAGTTGAATGGAACAAAGTGTGATTGAAAGTGAATATTAAAATAAAGTGAAATTCATAGTGAACTTATAACATTTATTTGTGAACAGTGTGAGAAGCGTGAAATCATGTTTGGCGGGTATATTTTCCAATCCGGGATCAACCAGATATATATGTATTGTTCAAAAGAATGGGGATAGAGCAGTGGGTTTTATTCCCTCCCTTCATACAGGTCAGTGATAAACAAAATGCCAGATTGATATCAAAAATTTTCGGCAAAATAATCATCTCTGATTGTTTGTTTTCTTCTTAAGATCATACCCGGTGACCAGTTATATTCTGAACCCATTTCAAATGCTTATATCTCTGAAACCATTCAAGTTATCGTTGTGCAGTTTGGACTAGTCAATTTTGACTTTTTCAAGTTTTTTTTTGACAGGTTCACCTTCTCATTTGAACTTCCGGTTCTATCGGAAACAAAGAAGCCATTATTCAGGTATAAGGCAACTTTTTCATTCCACTGAATCACCCTGTATATTTTTGCACATTCAGAAAAACTGTAACGACGTTACACTTTCTATCACGTTACGAATATTTTCTTTGAGTTGATCGAGATTTTGAGGTACTGGATTGTAGCAACGACTTGACGTAACCCCATAAGAAAAAATCAAGCACTGTTGGGTCTGGAGACCGTGGTGGCCATAGTATTGGGCCTCCTCTTCCAATCCAACGATGTCCAAAAGTGGCGTTCAAAGAATCTCTTGTGATCGCTGCATAGTGGGGAGTAGCTCCATCTTGTTGGAAATAAGCTATATCCAGTAAATTTTCCTGTACCAGTTGTGGATAGAAAAATTTTTCCAACATGTCTAAATACGAATGAGAGTTCACAATTGGATTATTGACTTATGAAGTCAAATCACATACAGTGTTCTCCATATATAAATATGATGACATGGGCGCCCGCAGATAATTATCTCAAGGGGACCAGAAGCAAATTCCGTAGAATTTACAGAGTTTATACAATGTCATACAAACAAAAAAATGCGCCGTAGAATATCTTCTAATTCATACTAAATTCCTTTGAATTGGAACCTAGACATTTCACCAAGGTTCACCAAGATTCATTGTCATCATTTGTCAGCAAACAATTGAAAAAGAAATATATTCAAGTAGGTAGTGGTGAAGGTTATGGCATTGAAATAAAACACAAGATTTGCGCCCAAGATACAAAATATATATTTATCAACAGGTTTAAATTCAATGTACAGGTAAAATCTTGGCGCTTTTTAATTGATAAAATTTTTTTGATTTTCACTGTAAACTGGATCAAATATTTTACAGTTTTTTTTTATATTATTTGTACTTAAAATGACTTACGTCTATATCATTACAAATCATGTAAAACTTCGAATAGGATGTTACCGAATTATATAGACAACATTCTTAAAAACTATAATAAGCTAACATAAATACCTAGACCTATTAACAAATGTACAAAGTTTCAACAAAAAATATAACTGTCTGAAATAGTTGTCCTGAGAGTTAAAAGAAAGTCCAACTTGAACAGTAAACCAAAATAAGAGCAAATTGTCATCAGAATCCAACAGGCAAATTGATATAAAAATAAATAAAAAATGTAATGCCTTCACTCACCAAAAATGTACTTGCACTAGAAGACTCTAACTGAAGACACTCTAGAAAATTCTCTAAAGTCTAAGGGATAGAGGATCACTAGGGATATAGAACAATAAATAAAATTTAGTTGAAATACGAATACTCCTATGTTGTTTTAATGACTCCAGACAATTTTCTATAGTCCTTCAATATTTTGAAAAAAAAAATAAAAAAAAAATGGTTAACTTTTCATCCCCACTTTCGCGCCCTGAATATCTTCGAAAAGTCAATATAATTCACTTAATTATCAATTATATCACAATAGTTGTTTTACAGTTAATTATTACACCTATTTACACGATTACATATGACTCATCTGTTGATCCGCGTCAAAAATAGCATTGAAAGTAGAACACAAATGCAATAGTCCATATTTCGTGATATGATCGGCATTTCTTCATTCAGTAAATAGTATACTAAAAGGTCAATGAAAAAAATCAAAGGTTAGTTAAAATTTAGATGACTTGAGATTATTTTTCATTTACCTCTGGGATGATAATTTTACTGGAGAAATTGACCTGATATAATCCCATGTTTGTCAGAGATAAGTATCTTAAAACAGTATTGAAAGATTTTTGTTATGATCATCTGATCTAATTTGTGACATATTCAATGTGGGTGGGTTTTTACAGGACAAAGGACCCCGAACCATTTACATTGAAATCTAGTCTACGGTGAAATTTCGTGAAAATCTAGGATTGGATAGATCGAATAGATCGAATCATGCTGAACAAGAAATGTCCTTTGGTCCAAGGTCCGTTATGCCCGTTAAAAGAAGTTATAAGCTTTTGAAGCCAAACGAGATAACCTCTCTAACAGAACAGCACATCCTGTGTGTAATATGGTTTTGGCTAATATGATATTTTTGAGTTGTCAGATAATGGCCATTCATGTTATGTCAGTAAAAGTCATTAAGCAAAAGCGTATTACTTTGTTCAAAAACATAAGATGGCTTATCAGAATAGGTTTCGTTGCTTTATTCGCGAGATTCACGAAGTGGGCGACATCTAGGTTACATAATACGAACTTCAAACTGGGGGAAAACAAACTGTTGTCTATGGATAAAGTGCATAGACTACATACAGCTGTAGTTGTCAAATTTGTCAATGACATAAAGTGTTGGCACTGTTGGTAGTGATGATGGTTGAGTTGGTTAATTTTTTTACATTATTACATTTTTATTAGTTTAGTGAACAGTGAACGGGTGAAGAATTGGAGATAGTTCAAACAATTCAAACTAATTATGAGTAGCGAATCAATTGACATAAATATAAGAACAGCTACAACATGTTTAAAATATCCAGATTGTCCTGCTTTGCATGAACAAATACAAATCCATTGTTCTACAGGAGTTCCTCTGGACCCCAACTTCAATTTTACTTCATGTGGGAAAGATTTCATCGCTGAAGTTTGTAGACAAAGTGCAAAAATGTGTCTTTTGTTGAAGTCTTCTGCCTCACACAAAATCACATGATTAGCACGGAGAACTGCTTCTCCTTCCACTACTTGTCGGCTTTTTCCGTCTAAATAGAGTAAATATCTGCCAAAAGAACATCTGCAAGTAGTATTATTAGCGTTTTCGATCGAATATTGACAATTAATGTCAAGAAATTTGAAAACTTATCACTCTTATCAGTACACAGTACACAAGCTAATGGGATTGAGTGAGGATTGAGTTTGTTTTCCTCCAGTTTTGACGTGGCTTTGACATGGAACGATGAAAACCGAGCGCCACCTGGTAACCTTGATTCCCGCGAATATGCGATAGCGAAGGCAATATTAATGCTATGGCACGCATCGATCCAGATCAAAATGTTGAGCAGCAAGCAATCGCAATTCGCGGGAATCAATATTACCAGGTGGCGCTCGGTTTTCATCGTTCCATGTCAAAGCCACGTCAAAACTGGGAGAAAACAAACTCAATCCTCACTCAATCCCATTAGTGCCATTAGCTTGTGTACTGTGTACTGATAAGAGTGATAAGTTCTCCGTGCTAATCATGTGATTTTGTGTGAGGTAAAAGACTTCAACAAAAGGCACATTTTTGCACTTTGTCTACAAACTTCGGCGATGAAATCTTCCCCACATGAAGTAAAATTGAAGTTGGGATCCAGAGGAACTCCTGTAGAACAATGGATTTGTATTTGTTCATGCAAAGCAGGACAATCTGGGTATTGTAAACATGTTGTAGCTGTTCTTTCATACGTCAATTGATTTGCTCGTCATAATTAGTTTAAATTGTTTGAACTATCTCCAATTCTTCACACGTTCACTGTTCAATAAACTAATAAAAATGTAATAATGTAAAAAAATTAACCAACTCAACCATCATCAGTACCAACAGTGCCAACACTTTATGTCATTGACAAGTTTGACTACAGCTACAGCAAGCTGAATGCAATGTAGTCTATGCACTTTATCCATAGACAATAGTTTGTTTTCCCCCAGTTTGAAGTTCGTATTATGTAACCTAGATGTCGCCCACTTCGTGAATCTCGCGAATACATCGTCGACAGGTTCTGGGAAGAAAGGATATCCCCCTAAGCGATCGTACTCGTTAATTTCTTGGAATCCGAGATAACGTTCATTCTGAACATGAATGTTGTCTTTACCATCCATGCAAGAGTGTGCATATTTTGTGGCGCAAATAATAATTTACTTCACCAATCATTTGTTGCTAGAGTCAATGTATATATTGTAATTATATTTTATTCCTGAAAATGCCCAATCTTGTCGGGAACATGTCAACGCTAATGGTATAACATTGCGACCACTGATTGGTGGTTTACGTTATACGGAAAAGCCACTTAGTCCCTGGACAACGTATTTGAACAAAGTAATACGCTTTTGCTCAATGAATTTTACAGACATAACATGCATGACCATTATCTGACAACTCAAAAATATCATATTAGCCAAAACCATATTATACACAGGATGTGCTGTTCTGGTAGAGGTTATCTCGTTTGGCTTCAAGAGCTTATAACTTTTTTTAACGGGCATAACGGACCTTGGACCAAAGGACATTGCTTGTTCAGCATGATTTGTTCTATTCAATCCTAGATTTTCACAAAATTTCACCGCAGACAAGATTTCAATGTAAACGGTGCGGGGTCCTTTGCATATTTTTTCAAATGTTTTGCCATCACCAACTACAAATTGTCTCATCGCCCGTCTGATCTCTAAAATATATGTCTTCATATTTTGAATATAATACCGGGAAATACGATAGAAACTATGGTAGCAAAAGTTGAACAAGGACTTTTATAAATGAACCAATATTAATAACCAGTTGTTCAATTAAGGACAACCTTCAGTCACAAAAAACATCAACACATTTGTGAAAGATGAAAGAATGAAACAATGAAAACCAATCCCAAAGTTGTAATGGAAAAATAGAGCAAAAACCAATCAATCTATTTACTGAACGAAAATAACCGATTTTTTGGCATAGAAGCTGATTATTGCACCCCCATAATTCCATAACACTAAATTTTTGGTTACAACGTAGAGGCTGTTCATATTTTTCAATACCAAGTGTTACCCCCCTCCATGACGATATTTTGATGAATCCACAAATTCAAACAACCATTGGTTGACAGGCCAAAAAAAATTTTCATAACAATAACCATCCCCTTGCATAATACAGAGTTATTCAAATTTGGGGACCACTATAGATATCTCAAGAAACATAAAAAATAGATATTATGATCACAGTCAAATGGAGAACGTGCGGAAATCCAAAATTTTCGAAAAAATAAATATTTTATGACTTATTCTTTATTGAATCAACTGATTTTTCTGTCAATTATCAACCTAATTGCATGAATTATCCTGCACTTGGGGCTTAATTGGTGGATTAAACGCCCTTTAGAACAATAGCTAATTCTGTTAATTGAGCTTATTACAATTAGCCAAAGTGATTCAATAGTCTTGCAATTATTATGATCTGAAACAGGCAAAATTCCTTTCCCACTTTTTCAATTATTGCATTTGCAAGTTATATTATTGATGATTTTATAAAACTTCTCTCAAATTGAAACCAAAATGTAAAACATGAGTAGCAATTTGAGAAATCAAAATCAATGGGGAAGAATGTTGCATAACATGGGGATGATTTGAATATCATCAATTCATTTAATTGATTTCTGCACCTTGCCCAAAGTGATATTGATATTTGAATATCCCTGTATCAAAATTTAACATGTATATCAATAATTGAAACTAAGATGGTAGCCAGTAAATTTTATATACAATATAGCCAAAGTACACAAGAAAGTTTTTTGTGGTGAATATTGTCATATTAGATTTTATTTTCGTAAAAACGCATCCCAGACTAAAATAGAATAAATGGAATTCTACACTGTGGTATGCCGAGGCAGCACATCGGATTTTTACAACTTTTTTTTATAATTTTTTTTATACCTACCGATTCGCAAACATTTTTTCTCCACTAATAATAAAATACATAATTTTTTTTGTTCCGATACGCCACCCCTTAACGAAAACATACTTGATCAGTTCAATCGCCATGACTTTCGAAATGTGAGGTTAACACAAGGCCGCGAACTTCGAGCGGTGTTGCCAGACGACATTTTCAATTTGTACCAAGCTTGTGGAGAAAATTTTCATCTTTTCGAATGATGTCGGATAATACTCTGATTCGAAAAATATTAATGATAAAAAAATAGAGGAATAAAAATACTTATTACCCAAATTGAAGGATATAGCTCATAGAAACAATAATATAGAGTGCAATCCATAAAATATGGACAAAAATTTCATTTAGAATACCGAAAAAATTCGTCTGGATGATCTATTATGCATGTTTGATAACCTGAAAATCGATTTTGACACATGTCACGTGATCAATGATATGAGCAAATTTTAAAAAATGACTATGAAGGGAAGTGGAATTAAATAGCAAGATATCAAAATAAGTTATTTGAAAAAGTTGCTCATAATTCAATTTTATACTCATATCAAATATTTTTTGATCTTGTTTCAATTATCTAATTCTTTTGTCCTCAATAGTGACAGTGAGTAGTGATACACTTGATTTAGTTGAAAATAAGAGAATCATCTCGTTTTCTTCTCACCAGGTTGTGAATATAATTTGAATATTTCAGATCAAATGGTGCATCAAATTCAAGAGGCTTATGGTTATCAAGTTTGATCAGGAAGTGAGAAGAGAAGTGTTATTTTATCACCATTTTTTTCAGGCTCATGTTATCTCATGTGAATGAAACGAGATTGTTTCCTTATTATCATATAAGTGTACCACTACTGTCAACCTATGCAGGAGATAAAAAATCAGATAATCAAATAGATGAAATAAAAATAGATTATTCTAATTTTTACTAATAATTGATTGACACTCAATATGATAGTATAAAATGGAAATCTAAGCAACTTTTTCAAATAACTTTTTACAATATCTCGCCATTTAACCTCAGTTCATGACTCTTCATTGTCATTGCTTTCAATTTACTGCCACAAATATTCTCGATATTTTAAAAACCGTTCTACCACCTCCGGCATCAGTGCCCTCTAACCTCGCAACGCAAAAACGAACCTACCGCAAGATCGCGTCCAACCAACGCTAGCGCGACGACGATCCGTTATTGCTTCGTTGGCTTTTTGCGCTTGGTCGTGTAGCTGTTGCCCAGATGGCCGCCGTTCACGGAGTGGGCGTGCCAAAAAAGATAGAATTTTGAACTTTCAAGTAAAAAAGTAGGTTCACATTTTCAATAATACTTCTGAAACTTCACGGAAAAAAATCTCCCCAAACTCAGGCAACAAACGAACCGAAAAAAATCATTCTACCGCTTCCGGCAACACTGCCCTCTAACCTCGCAACGCAAAAACGAACCTACCGCAAGATCGCGTCCACCTAACGCTAGCGCGACGACGATCCGTTATTGCTTCGTCGGCTTTTTGCGCTTGGTCGTGTAGCTGTTGCCCAGATGGCCGTTGTTGCCGCCGTTGTGGTGGGGCTGGTGCTGGCCGTTGACGGTGTGGGCGGGCCGGTGGCCGCCCTTGTGGCCGCGCCACGCCGTCGCGCGGCCCTTGGGCGGCGATTGGCGGTGTGGCGACGTGTACGTCACGTTGGGCGAGTTGTCGCGCGACGGGTTGTCGGAGCCCTGAAACGATTAAATGGGCGTGTACACCTCAGTAGAACTTTTAACTCAAACCATGAAATAATGATTTACGACATAATACGATCGAAAAAATCAACTGGAATGTTTTATTTTTGGACATAAATAATAGTATCTTCTGAAAACGGACCCTCTTATGACGTAGAAACCTCACTTCGACACAGTTAAAAGAAAATACCAAACGCCCGACGGAGACTGAGGCAAATGATATACTAATTCTTTCAACTGTGATCTCGCGCTAATTCACTCTGGAACCAATCCAAACAAAATATTCGAGAGATCGAAATCGAAATTGAAATATCTTTTGATATCCACTACCACTACTGCAGAAAAATATATTCAAGTTGTCGATTGTAGGTTGAATCATTGGAATATAAACAATCTCTAGACAACAAAATGTCTCAATCTCAAAACCATTTGCACCATTACAATTTCACAATAATCCAATACATTTCTTAAACGCAGAAACATTGCTTTGTTGACTCGTTTTACATGGAGCTGCATCTGCATCGAGTCTCGAATTCCGATTCCGAAGTTGTTCATTTCGTCTAAAATGAGAAGAGAAGACACGAAATGAAATTAACCTCCAATTCTTGGTTTATATTATATTGATATATTGAATATAAACATGAACGTTGAATCATGATTTGTGAAAGGCTCATCAGATAATCTACTAAAAATTGATTTGGAAATGGTTAATGATTTTTATGTCTCTAACATACAGTTCCTCAGTGCTGAAGTGAGGAACAGAAAATCTAAAAAGGTAAGTTCCACAATATTTATTATATTTTCATTGCTTGTACCTGTTATAGTTTAGCAGTACCTGTTATACATCAGAATACCCATCATATGGAGAATCCTCATTAAATCAGTCACTGATTGATATGTTTACCTATGCAACAATATGAACAATTGGTATGAAACAATGTTATTCCCTAGACTAGATATTGCTTGCATCTCCCCCTGAATGTTCTTTGAGGAGATGGAACATTTGTTTTTCAAGCAATTTCAAACAATTTTTTTTTCCAATGGTTTTATAATATAACCAATTAGCAGCATCCTGTTCAATCTGTAATATTTAGAAATGTGAAACATTGGAAATTGTCGATACGAATTTTAACTTACATCAAAATGGTCCTCGCAACAATATAAATGTTTACTGGAGGAAAAATCTTTATTCACTGCGATGAACCATTTTTTTCTCTGTTCAGGATCCTCGGGAACACACAAGAATAATTTTTGTTTGAAATGTCTGTTGCTATTATTGCAATTAGGTACAAAACATTTCTTAATCATACTTTTGTCGAAATATTTCAATTTCAATTTAATATTCAGTTCGAGGGTGCCGGATTTTGGTAATAGCTCTCAGGCTTAGCTCTTTCTGCTACTTCCAAATTGTTCAGTGCCGTCTTCCTCCTGTTTATGTATATTGGGTGAGCATACTCAAGAATTGGGCGGCAAATGGTTTTATAAATATGTGCTGCAGTTCTTTTGCTAATTCCTTTATTCTTGTAGGTTAGGCTTCGAAAATGTTTAGCTCGTGAGATGCACTTTTTTCTCATCAACTGGGTATGATGGTTGAATTTCAGTTTTTGATCTAAGTGCACTCCCAGATATTTAACTAATGCCCTAGTTCTCACTATCTGGTTTTAGCCTCCACTTGTTACAATTTTAGGACTTTTTGTGTTTCAATTGATTTTCTCGTCATAAAACTATATAAAGAAAATTAATAATAGTCTAATGTGGTTCGCCAGTGCGTTAATTGAGAAAAAGTATACCATTCAAACCCCAAATTGGCATTTCGACGGTAAGTTTCAACTTGAACAGTGGTGAAGTTATCGCAGTTTATTAAAATGAATTATTGCTAGGAACATTGTTTCCTTTGTTCAAATTCCACTGAATGATGGATCAAAATTAGGTACCCACACATTTTCTAATAGGTATAATAACGTTGTCATTGTAGTAATGTTGTCTTGCCCATCGCTTAACCTACGCGAACATTAACGCACAGTTCACAGCGTTGTCACTTTTCAAAGCCATCTCTCTCTAACTCATTCAAAACTTTGCAAGTATGGATGATTGTAAACAAATAGCGTTTCATGGATGAAATGTTATATCTCCTCTCTTTTCACTATGTCTATGCTCACCTCCGAACTACCCGCGCTCTCCTCCGCGCTGGACCCCGTCGAGCCGATGCTCGATGACCTTGAGGGCCGCACGCGCGCCGTATCCTCGACGCGCATGCGCTGCACGATCACGTGATGGCGCACGCGCACTATCCTGCCCAGGATCGACGAGGACGCGCAATCGTTGAACATCGACAACGGGTGGACGACGTTCGTGAGGACGATGTACGCGTACTCGAATGCTCGTTTCACCTGCAAAAAGGAAACATTTCAACACTCTGACATTTGTTTAAAAAATTTGCTAACATTTCAGTTAACGCCATCTAACGGCGACAACAAAAGTCAAAAATTCAAAACCAAATAAGCGTTTTGTAGGACAAATTATGCTCTTTCATATGAGCCTAAGTTTGCTGAAATCGGTCGAAATAAACGGGAGAAATCTTGGTTTGTTTAAAAAAACAATTGAACTCCCCCCACCGCTTTATTTTGATGGATAGAACAAAACGTTTTAGACAAAAAATGTAGGGAAATGGTATGTAAATATCAAGATGATATCATCGATATACTTTCATTAGACAAAATTCTATAAAAATCCCATTTTTCTACTTGGTGTTGGTTGTTATGCCCTATAGCGGACGATTGACAAACTGGAAAATAACTTCCAGCAATTTCTCTTGCCGATTTACATCATAATTTTTCTTTTCAAATCTATACGACCAATACCTTATGAAATATGGCCGCTCGCTACCCTTAACTGATCACCCTGTACACTTTTACCTTTGTCTTTATAGGCCAGTTCGCTGCTTCTACATGATGCTAGAACATCTCCACTTTCTGTAGAAAACTCAATGTCCTGACACACAGAACGTCTCAATATCTACAACGAGTGTAGATGTTATAAAGTTTTGTGAGAACACCGACCAAACCTTATGAAAGCTTGTTAAAAAACAGCAAAGCCTACCTGCAGCACCCCATAGCTGCTCCTGCCGATGTCGTTGGACGGCTGCAGCGGGTCCTCGATGCACAGCATGCTCGGCCGATGTCCGTCCGCCATCTCCTTTTGCATGTCGTCCTTGTCGAGGTACTGGCCGCCGTCTCGTATCCGGATGCCCGTCTTCACGTAGTTGAACTTCCTGCCGTACAGCTCGAAGAACTCGATGAGCAGCACGCCGAGGTTGGCCAAGTTGGTGCGCACGTTGTCCTGCCGCGGGTGCAGCTGCAGGAAGCTGAAGCAGGGAGGAAGAGGATTTTTTCATTATTGACTTCTACGAAATCACAACGCTCCACGTTGGTTATTTTGAGAGGGAGTATGATGAATTCTCCTCGTTATCAAGACATGTACTGTGTTGTGGTGTAAGTAGTCGTTCCAGTTGCCCGACACTCGTGCGAGAATTGTCACTGGAGTTTGAAGACAACATGATATTGCCTCCTTTTCTCCCTATCCTTCCTTAATTATTATATGAATTTTTGGTAGTAATTTCGTACAATTTTACATTCTCTACCGGGTGTCAACATATTCATTAGACACGCCATAGTTTCCAGAGTTCGAACAATAATATTCGAATTTGGCAGGGGTGTCGGATTCAAGTAAAATTTTTCGATATTTTATTCTCTCTCGGTCACTTTCGGTTCAACCGGAAATGACCCCAACTTTTGATATTCAAATGGAACACCCTGTATTTTATTACATAATCAGTTAGGGATTATCATATTCGGTGGTGATATTCAAGGCAACGAATTTTGAGCCTTTGAAAAACAAAAATATGAAACGGGAGTAGGGGTGTACACACGATCCACAGTATATGAATATGATTTTGAATTTATAATTGTCGAAAGAAATATGTCTACTAACGAGAGACCTTTAATTTACTTTGCAGGTTTTGCGTGTTTCAGTTTTTTTTTGTGAATCGAACATTTTTTTTCCATCATTTACATAAATTGTTCAGGAGATCGAGAGCATACGAAAACGGTTCATGAATAGCCTAGATTGTTTGTGACTCTGTATACTGAATTCTTCTCGGTCGTTTTTTGAATGATATACCATTTTTTTTAAATTCTCTGGTTTTCCCTATGTTCTTTCCGCTAATAATGGACTTATGTGCCACTTCAAAATAGTTAATAGATGAAAGATGACATTTTTGCCTTTGTATTATCTGACAGAAAATATCTGATTCGACAACTATAGATTGGAAAAAAAATCATGAACTTCATTTGCAAAGTATTACCTAAGCAAGAACTGTCTTGATTTGCACAAACTGTATAATAAAAAAATCCCATATGATGCGGACTTCAACGGTGACACTGTATATTAAATGTTTTTTCACCCCACCCCGTATACCTATTATCGATAATACCGGATTTAGTCATACTTGTTCGGGAATTAATCGGTTAGAAGGATGACGTAACAAATTAGTCATTTAGAATGATGAATCGAACCAATCAGTAGTCTCGTTCTAGATTCCATCGGGTACGGTCGATTCAAGTGATATAAAGAAAGAACTCGATTTATTTAAAAGTGGAAAATTGAAATTCATCTTCAGTTTAGTGATTGTGTTTTCATTTGAGTGTGTGAAAGTTGAAAGTTGTTTTTATTTTCAAGATGGTAAGTGTTTTTGTATATGATTATGGAAGTGTTCATCACGTGGTTGATATTTTGCTTCAAAATATTGGTATATTTCCATATTATAATGAAAAAAATTTGAAATTCGCTTCTTTTCTATACTAATATACAGAGGAACTAGATAGTAGAAAAATTATTTTTGTAATCTTGCTACAATATTATGAATTTATGATTTCAAATCAGCATACAAGGAGTTTCTCCCATTTATCTCAATATCTTCTGAAACAGAAAGTTGAAAGATTTAAAAAAAATCAAACTTCTAATAATTTCAATTTCCAAGCCATGCGACTGCAAGCTATAAAACCATGTATTGACAGGTGTAGGTAGAAAAGAAGTGGTCAACTACATTTCATATCATTTACAAAATATTTCAAGATGGTGAAGGTTTTTGTATATAAATATGGATGGATACCTCCTACCTGGTTGGTAAGTTGCTTTGATATTATCTCCATATAATGATGAAAAAATTTGAAATTGGCTTCATTTACTAATACCTGGGAAGGGGAGACAAACTCATGATATACCCCCCTTTTCTCCTTTGTTCATCTAGCAATATTTCTGAAATTTGGGACATACACTCACTAGAGTACACTTTCTAACATTTAATGATTTTTTTTTTCATCTTTCGGTTTTACTGGAAATTTTCAGTGCATTTACCTATAGTGTGTAACTTGAAAAAATTCTCGAAAAAATTCTGTATTCAAGAATGATGTCCAGATATGTATTTTGTTATCAATTTTATAACTAATTTTCTTCAAACAAAATCTACATTTTCAAAGATGCCGGATTCTAATACATGATGATCTAGTGGCGTTAATTCTAAGATAGGGCCTTGCACCCCGTCATACACAGCATGATGCCGTCATCCATAGTCAACATGTGAAGATCCTCCAATAACAGAGTGCTAATACAAGTGAAACACTCTGCTGACAGATGGCACCACCTAAATACTTGAGTGGTAACTCACCAGTCCAATGCACTGAACAAGATCTCATAACTAAGAAATCATCTCAGGCAAACCAGGCAAGTCATTAAAAAAGCGCCCGCCATATTGGAGAAGCCATTTTGAATTGCTCTCCCACTGGAATTGCCAGTGGATGAAAATTTTATTACCATGACACTGAAATAAAAGGGTGCGATTGAAAAACTAAAATGTTTACCTAATGCACATGAGTATCAGACTGTAACTGGAGATTCCACCGGTAAAAACTTCATTCAAATCCCTTTCAAGAAGAAACTGTTTGAGGACGTAGACTAGTTTGGGCAGGACAGGGAATTGGTCTATGTAAGTCTTTATGAGTTCTGCCGATTTTACACCGTTGCACATGTTGAAGGAAATGTCCACTTTAATGTCTGTTTTTTTGTCAGTCAACTTCACAATAGGGACAGACGCCTTATCCAGGACTTTGATGCTGTCCTGCACGGCTATGTCTTTATCTAAAAATTCCTGCTCTAGGGTCCGTAGGGGAAGATTTGTCCATTTTCCTGAAGAAGAAAATTTAGATTATCATATATTAAAGTCGCACTTTTGTTTCATAACAAGACAAGGTATTTTCTTTCAAGCCATTTCAAGATAATATGATATAAAACAATCTCTCAATCTATTCATTGCATACAATTGATCCATTTATTACTGATTTTTAATTTTTCAATGGAAATGCCAGCTAATAATGACAGAATATCAGATATTTATTTTGAAATCACGAATAAAGTTTTTCTGATGGAATTTTATGAAGAAATAAATGTCTCGTAATTCTCTTGAAGAATAATACAAGGAATTCCCAAAATGTTTTCTTTGTTTTTTCTTACTCATCTTCTGTTTCCCTTTTTCCCACTGAAAATGTGTCATTGGTAGAAATTTTCTCTCAATTTTTGGATTTTTATAGAACCCCTCTGGAAAATATTAATAACTGAAAAAAAAAAACAGTAATCTTTCTTTCATGGGCATATTTTGATACATACTATTTGTTTCCATAGGTTTCTTGGTTAAATCATGACGAGCCTTTCCAGTATCAGTAAAATTTGACCCTTTTTTGCTATTAGGTTATGAAGGGAAATTAAAAATGTTATTCTGACCACATATTCATTTTATATTTTCAATACCTATGATTTCAAATGCTACTGATCTGTGATTTCAGTGTCTTCTTGCAATTTGATTGGTTGGAGTTTCTGGCGGCTGGGAAGCCCGCCGCTGTTGCCAGATCTCTATAAAATCCTTGAATTGATCCTATGTGCAAAATGGTGCAAGGAATGCAATGATTTGAAATTACTATGTAGTAGGTGATTAGTTTTTGGATGTATGATAAATTGATATTCATATAGCCAGGAAAGTAGTTGTTTTCTGTTGAATAAACCGAGAAAGAATCAATATTTTCATCACATGGAGAATGTGAATTCTCAATGTATTTCTTTATATATATCTTTTTTTTTCATAAATATATCTGAGAATGTTCCTTTTCAATATAGGTGATTAGTTGTTTTGTAATTCACTGCTGATCACATTGAACTCCAAAGTATTCCATTAGTTTCAAGATTAACTGGGATAAAATGTAATGCAGGCATCTAACAGTAAGACGCTTTTTTATATACTCAGTTTGGTTTTAGTTATGTTGAAATATTGTTGACTAATTGTTATAATCAACAAATTGACCAGTGTTACTATATCTCAAGCACTCATTCTCGGAAAATTCAATTGCTAATCTGGCAATTATGTCTTCAAGAGGAAGAGATGACACAACTGGTGCTAACACAATGTTGCCAAGTTAAAACTACCTCATTCCCTGCATAACTCCATTTTCTTATTTCTCAATATTATTGACAAGAAGGCAAGGTAATGATGCTTGTACTAAAATCAATAGAAATAGAACCAAGTAAGCAATTTAGTATTGATTCAGAAATTGTTTATATCCCTTACTTGAAAAATTATTTTAAGGTATTCCAGAGCCATATGATTCAAGATATGTTTATTTTTTTAATGACTCAAAAGACCCATTAACAAAGCTTACAATCTGTCAATGGAAACAGATTTTTTATTTTACAACATTGAAAAAAGGTCTTCAAATTTTCTGTGACATAGGTATGGTTTCTATATGGGTTAAAATGGACTTTTAATAAAGCTATGACAATGAGTTTCAGTCACCCTAAACACTGATAGTTTTTATGATTAAATAATGAATGAAAAATATTCCATTCCATTTTACATTCATGTTGGTGATTGCCATTTATCAACTGTTTATCAGTAGTTTTCAATATTTAGTAAAAATTACATAATTTGTTGAACTTAACTGATAATTATTTATTGATAAAGATGAATATTTTCCTTGTTGTTAATACTATTTTGCTGTTTATTTTGTTTTTTTTTTCATCACAATAATATGATTCATTAAAATTGTGTTGATATCAGATTGATAATGTATCAAGCTAAACTAAAACTAAACATAATATGAGTAGAAGCCACAATAGACCCAATTACAGTGGACGGGACAGGGGTGATATTCACCCTACTTATATTCTATTTATTTATTCATTTTAAAAATAACAGATTCATGTCAGCATCTTTTTATGAAAACATGGCCAAATAAGTCCAAAACTTGTCCACAATCATGTAAACCAACTAAAATAATGATTCTCTAAAAAAAATTACATAATAAAGATGCATAATATCTATAGGATGTCTATAACTATAAAAACATGATATGTCTAGTACATATTATTTCATATCCACTTCCATAAACATTATAGGAATTTCCTTTTGTGCACTCCAAGAGATAAAAAAAACAAGGGCAATCCCTGAATAATATCCTCTTAACTATCTTGAATGATACTGAGTAGGTAGTCTAAGCTAAACTTATTTGTTCATTATAGTCTACTGAAGCTGCCAAATTGATTGTTTGCAAATAAGTTGGAAATGGAGTTCAAAGGATTGTGTACAGATCTAAAGATGGTTTTCCTACCCATGCTAAGTATCATAAAATGAATGTCTCTTACCTATCACAACCAGGTCAATATCACTAGTAGGTAAGTAGAGGCCAGTTCGATATGATCCAAAAATTTCAACTTTGGCTTCACTCCATTTGGATGTGATGATTTTTTCAATGCGCTGAACAACTTCAGCTCTTATTTGGTCTTCTGCCTCTGTTGGGCTCATGTAATTGTAGAAGTGCTCAATTTCCTGATGCAGGCTGAATAATAAGAATAATAATGGAAATGCTTCAATTGGTTGGATGTAAGGTCAGTTCATAGAATCTCATTTATATTTAATTTAACAGCTCCATTTCCCATAAGGAATGGACTAAATTAAATATTTGTTAAATGAGATTCTATGAATGCATCTTTAGTGAAAGGAATGCTTGAACTCTTAAGATAAGTTAAAATTAAATATAAATTAAATATAAGTTATTTCTATGAACTGAGCATAAATGGTGAATAAAAGAGTTCTTTAATATTTATTTCAATTTTGGCCGGTTATGTGATTATGTAAAACCGGATGAAAATTGCAAGATGGATGAATATTTTGATTGGCCCTTATATGAACAAATGTCAAAAAGATGAGAGCTGTCAAGGCCATCTGATGACAGATATGGGAGTTAACAGGGAGAAAAAAGTGGAGCAGTAACATTTTCTTGGTTATAAATGCACGTTTCATAGACACTCACCCCATAACACCCCTCTGATACGGGAATTTGCACAATCGCCAAGGACATCCACCATAATCCACGCTCTGTTTTCGACTCACAACTCGGCTATCTTTCCGCCTTCTATTATTAGTGAAAGCACCAGTTTTCTCACTTTTCCCGTTCATGATAGCGTTATTGTGCGTAATGAATCCGTTGGTGATTGTTTCTAGCTCGTTGTCACCTTCTTTCAAGTTCATATTATCGAATTCTCGTTGAGTCTGCCAAATACGAAGCCACAGCAGCTTGGCGGGTCCTTCTTGTTCCGGTTGAAACCAAGAAATCGAAGGATCCATCAAAAGCGATGCGGAATATTATTGTAATTTCGCTACCATCAGTTAATTTTCATTAGTTTCCCGATTTTCACTAAAATACACGCTAAAGTCACACCTCGAGCATATCACAGTATCACACGACCAAAAAAATACACTGACACTGCGAACTGCGACCTGCCACTGCGGTTAGTTTACGGTTTCGCCACCACTCACGCCAACTTCATGACATACCGGGAAATTCAAATATCTTTAAAAACCTTTCACTTTTTCAATTATCCGACTGGTTCATTATGATGAAATTATAATAATTGTATCGAATCATGCATTTTTGTATCAAACTGATTGTAAATCTATCAACTTTTAGGCCCGACTACAGTACCGGACACATTTTCGCGTATTCCTCTTTCTGATATGAGTTTAGGTCTCATTCACATAATTAAAGTCAGTAGCGGGCACGAATTCAATACTACCCGAAGTTCCCTTCCCCCCCTATATTCACCGTATTTTTTTATAGAGAAAAAATAACAAAATGCGGAAGTTGTTACAAACCAAAAATTTTTTTTAATGGAACACCCTGTTCTATATTTTTTTCGGAAGTGATTTTTTGTGATCACAGAAATATATATAGTATGATGTATTTTAGTTTTACTTCATCATCACCACATTTTTGACCCTAGAAAAACAATTTTTGTGTGTTGGCTTCTATATACAGATATCTTAGCAATGTATTTTGCATCATTATCGAATGCATTGATCGAAAAATTGTTTTTTCTAGGATCTGTGATCGCAAATGAGCCGGTCTAATTTTAACCAATGTAGGTAATACCATTATGAGACGCAAACCACTTTTTTAATTTTAATTCCAAAAGCTCCAAGTTTCTCAAAAATCTAAGGTTGGCTTGTCTCGATCAGAAAATTTGGTAAAAAGAAAATCAAGGTTGATAAAACTGATTATTACAAAATAGCAGGTGTCCCCACCTTACGGCGATAATTTGAATACTCTTGAAACCACAACAAAAGTCAAAGGAGACAGCAATCCAATGAACCCAAAGAGAAGAAGAAGAAGAACAAAGTAAATTAAGTAAACAAACCGCTTTGACGTTTTCGATCCTGTTTTGGATTGGGAGCAATGGATTATGGAATAGGTAGAGGTAGGTGGCAAGAATTATTAGGAACACCACGTTTAGATAATAATAATATATTATTATGTTACCCTTACAAATAAATACAATATTTCAAATTCTTGAGTTCATTCCACCAGCAACAACTATATTTTCTCCTGTAATGTAGGCGGCATCATCTGAAGCCAGAAAAGCTGCAGTTCCAGCAATTTCATCAGGCTGACCGAACCTAAAATATAAGGCAATAATAGTTGAAAGCCTTCAAGAGGTTCAGGACTACCTATTTAATACACCTCACACCTACCTATTCAGTGGGATTCTCTTCAAACCCTCCTCCCTCAATCCTTCTTCAGTTGTTAAAATCTCAGAAAACTTGGTTTGTATGATACCTGGTGCTATACTATTCACTGTGATATTATCTTTTCCCAGCTGAGAAGCTGCTGCTTTTGTTAAACCAAACAAAGCTGTCTTGCTCACAGCATATGCACCTAGTTCATCAAATGGTGCTTGAGGAGTAAATCCTGAAATTGATGAAATGAATACAATTCTTCCATGTTTACTTCTCCTGAGCAGAGGTAGGGATTCTTTAGCCAGTAAAAATGAAGATTTTACGTTGACATCGAAGATTTTATCCCAGGACTTCTCAGAGCAGTCTAGAACTTTGGCTACTTCTGGATTAACAGCTGCATTAGAAATGAGAATATCTAGACCACCTAATTTTGTGGCTTCTTGGAATAAATTCTTCCTATCCTCTGGTGATGCCACATGGCAGGTCAAGCCAGTGACTTCTAGGTTTTGCTCACGAAGTGCTTTCAGAGCTTCATCAACATTTTTCTGTTTTCTACTACTTATCACCACTTTGGCTCCTTCTTGTGCAAGTCTCCTAGCTATAGCAAATCCTATTCCATTAGTTGATGCAGTTACAATTGCAATTCTACCCACCAAACGCTTCAGAGACATTATTATAAGAAATAAGAAGGCAAATTTTCCTATGTCTTCAAATAGAAGATCTCTATGGTTAAATATAGTTCATCAGAATCAGATATGTTGACTGTTGATAAATGATAAGGATTAGGTTAGGGTCCAATTTATCCAAGACCAAGGACGAGAGGGTCAGATAAGAGAGAGGCAACGGTGAACGGACTACTGAGGTGATAAGGTGATAGATCACAATAACTCATAAAATTGAGTTCATTGAGTGATCATGCATTGATCACGTGACCGAGGAAAACATGGTTCTTCCGGATCTTCCAATCTTCCTTCCCTTGGTTGGTTTGAATTTAGTCTGAATATCTGTTGCATCTTCTTTTCATTTCATTCAGACATCAGGTTTAGCTTTCCAATGAAAGGATTTAATAAACTTTTTCCGTCTTCTATACTTATCAATTTATTATTTGGCTTAGGACGTGCTCAGCACTATAACTGTGTTATTCCATCTGTTGTTGTCATTAGTCATAATTCTGATGAATATATTCATTTTAATAAAGGATATTTATAGTAGCATATTAATTTGATTTGATATTCCTATGGAAAAAGACAAATAGTCCAGAGAATATTCTTTGGATGTGTGGATTCTATTTCATGGTTATAAACTTTGAGGCTTCTCTGACTAACTTGAATCTTCACTTGTACTTCATACAGGGTGGAGACACTTCGGGGAAGAGAACGATTTTTCTGAAAATTCGCAAGACACGTCAACGTATCAATGTAGTTACCTATATTTTCTAGCAATATGGAGAATAAACGGGTAGCTGAAATCAACCCCAACATTTGTTTTCAATGGCTTGTGACCCCTCATTGGTAAGCTGGTTGAAGCAGCAATCCAGCATACTGATCTAATTTCGGTTTTCAATACATTTGGAGTTCTCAAAGTCAACATATAATTTCAAAGTTTGATATATTTTCATCATAATTTCGATTTTTAGTGAGTGATATAAAGCATTTTCACCATGCAGTACCACTTCATTTCGAACTGTGAATAGGGCATAAAAACTAAACTAATCAAAGAGAAAGGGAGCAGGAACCAAAAAATCCCAAATATCCCAAGGGTAGATTTTGTTTTCTGGAAGGCATGACAAGGTATCCCTATCAAGTCCAAAAACATCATGTGTATCTAGATAGGGAGGGAGAGAAGGAATATTTGGGAAAGCTATTTCAAAGCTTAGCTGTACTGGTGCTACTGACTGCATATTGCAATGATTTTATTTTTTGTTAATAAAATAGTTTACAACCTAGAAAGCATACCACCTGCTATAACAAAGTTTTCCCCAGTTACATAAGAAGATTCTTCAGAAGCCAAGTAGGCCACAATACCAGTTATTTCATTTGGTTCTCCAGGCCTAAAATAATCCAATTAGTCCATGTAACATAGGCTTCACAACTTGTGTATCAACCTTTACCCTGACATGTTGTCGCATGTCATTAGACAAGACAATTGACTGAATTCCCATTCAGAGATATATATCTCACCTTTTCAATGGTATTGTTGACAAAGTTGATTCATCTGAAGTTATGCTACCAGAAAATTTTGTTCTGATGAGACCAGGCACCACACAGTTGACTGTTACATTGTCTGGAGCTAACTGTAGTGCTGCAGCTTTAGTGAGCCCCAGCAGCGCTGTTTTACTCACACTGTAGGCCCCCAAGTGTTCATTAGGTTGCAACCCTGTGATGGATGATATAAAAATGATTCTTCCTGCCTTACTTTTCCTAAGTAAAGGCAGTGCTTCCTTGGCTAGTAAATAGGAGGCTTTCAGGTTAATCTCGAATATTTTATCCCAGGACGTTTCGGTAGTATCTAAAACTGCTGCCACTTCAGGACTCACAGCAGCATTGGAAACTAAGATATCCAGTCCACCTAGTTTCCTTGCTTCTTCGAAGAGTCTTGCTCTGTCTTCAGATTTTGCAACATGACATACCAAGCCTCTCACGTCTAGGCCTTGAGCGATGAGCTTATTGGTGGATTCCTTCACATTATTTTTCCTCCTACTGCTTATTATTACTTGAGCCCCTTCTTTTGCTAGCCTTTCAGCTATTGCCAAACCAATACCATCTGTTGATGCTGTTACAATTGCAATTTTCCCATCCAAACGCTTCATGGTCGAACTTATCGGGAATATCATAGAAAGTCTGAAGTTCAATGATCATTATGAAAATAATTATTTGATTATTCCTAACCATTCATTTTTATATTTGACATCACAACTTACAGGGTGACCTGTACCTGACCTGACGTCATGAAAACACTACAGGACAGGAATACCAGAATACCACAAAACACAAAATGAAAGAGGAAGCTCTACTTCTTTTAAATATCTCGTTTCAAATGGTTTCCACTGAAAACTCAGAGTGGCACAGATTCGTATGATCTGTTAAGTCCTATGCTAGAGACAATACACACTCCCTAGCACTTTATTTGTATAGGTATGATAGGTATACTAGTTGATTTTGCAAGGTTCACACCCATTAACAATTGACATTTCTTGACCTATCTACACCAATGAACTATCTACAGTCTACACTCTACTTGCTATTGCTCATGTCCTACTTCCGGTTTGACCGAAAATGACCCCAACTTTTGCGATTTTTAAATGGTACACCTGTATTTTATGATACTCAATTTCCATTGTAGTTGATATTTGTTTGTTTCATTTCCATTCATGTTGAATAAAAATTGTGTTCAATTCTTATGATACACGAATTTATGATGATTCATCAACTTATATAGTTGAATAAAAATTGTATGCGAATTTATTTGGTGCATATAAAAATTATAATTCAATCTCCATGGTAGTTGATATTTTGTTGTTGCATTTTCATTCATCCTGAATAAAATTTGTATTACATTTTTATGGTAGGTAAATGAATTAATATTTGATACACCTATACTTGAATTTCTATGGTATAGTTAAATAAAAATGTTGTATGAATTTATTTGATTCATATTAATATGATATTTAATTCCCATGGTAGTCGATTTATATTTGTTTCATTTCCATTCATGTTGAACAAAATTTTATTAAATTTTTATGATACATGAAAATGTACGACCTATAAATGTTAATATAAAATTAATTCTCCATCTCTCTCTACCTATCACTTATCTCTCTTTCCTTCTCTCTCTACATACAGAATGGTCGCTGTTGCGCTGTGGAGCACTGCAGTGCGGATAGAAAATGAAAAAAAAAATTATCATTCTTTTTTCTTTATATTAATTGTGTTTGATATTATCTATTGCAACTTCCAATATTATTGAATATTATACGATTGTACCGTCGTCAGGTCAATATTCAATATAGCAAATAACTAAAAAATTCCTAAAGTTGAAAAATGACGATTTTTCACACCCTATATCTCTGTAATCATTTCCGCTAGACCCCAAGTGTGATACATCGATGAAATCAGCTCTTCAGAGAGAATCTGAAAATGCAATAAAATACAGGGTGTTCCATTCAAAATAACAAAGTTGTTGCCAGTTTTCGAAAGAAGCGGCAACGCCGCAGAGTTGAAAATATTTTAGATCGATAGACCAAGAGCAACTACGTGAGTAACCAAAATTTCAGAATGATCCTATGTCCCGTTCTCCATAAACGTCTAACGTACCATCGACCGTGAGTTACCCTGTATTTGCATGGCAGAATTGTATAACTATTCTACTTACCTATCAGATTTCATATCTGGATAAGTGGGAGAAGTAAACTTGGTACCTACCAACTTTTTTACTTTCAAATTAATGCAGAGACTATCGTATATCTATACAAGGAAGGAAAATGACTGAAAAGGAAAGTTTGTTGTGAAAATAAGAATAGTTTAAAAGTGTACAACCAGTTTTGCTAGTTCCTTTTACCATCAATCAACCATATTATATCTATTGGAGACTGAGGGCAAGTTGCATAAAGCTTTCTCCAAGTTGACCAAAACCCAAAACATGCAGCAACTATATCATTGCTGCATTTCAGATGTTTCATGTTTCATCACTGATGAGGATAGACCCATGTTTTCTTTCATAGATGTGAAGTATAATGAATAATATATTGCGCAATCAGAGAAGCATAATACCAATTCAAGTTTCTTTCCAGGATATTCCAGAAGCAATGTAAACTATGGCAGATATCTCATCATTTGAGATCCTGAACTCACAAGAACTCTATAATCGTTCAGGACAATTCACTAAGGAGCTCAAGATCTGTTAAACAGATTAATGGAATATGGAGATGTCGAAGATAAGTTTTCATTAACATTTAATCCAAATACAGATCGTATTTCTATTCTTCTTCGAACATTTCTCCATAAAGAACGACTTTTTTCGATCATTCAATTAAACAGTCGAAAAATTAGTCGACATTGTGAGTGTACCCTAATAACACACGTTATCCAGACGACATCCATTTTATATCCATTTGCCGTCCAAGACATCCATGGACGCCAAATGGAACTATCTTTTGATGTACATTGTTGTATATCCAGCTGATGATCCAGTGTGTACTCCATCTGGAAGCCAATTTATGTCCATGGACGCACATCGAATAGCTATTTGGATGTCCATACCGGATACATGGCAATACATATTGGACATTCATAAGTTTATTGTCGGAATGTTCATTGTAGAGAGAAATTTTGAGAAGAGTGAAATGAGAAGAAGAAGATCTGAATTCATCTGTCAGAATTCGAAACATAATATAGGTTATGTTTATTTCATTCATTCATTTTGGTGGACTTTCATGATAATTACTAGTATTTTATAGTTGAATTATGCCCCAGTTTCCTGCCTTATACGACCTTCATACAAGTAAGTTCTTATTATTTCTGTGTCTATTCAGGTGTTCCTAATTGCGAATTGTTACGATAACATAACATATTTCTTGGATAGGTATAGGTAAAACACTCTTCACCAGAATGAACAGAAGGAAAAGGATTTGGAACAGGTTCTTCCGACGTATCTACTATAAAGTAGAAAAAAATTCATCGGATATTGACAAACTCTTGAATGATACGACAACAGATGATGTGTGGGCAAGAATCACTGATAATTTCGCAGTTTGAGGAATTTTCGGCCAATTATCTTGCTCATCGACCTAAACTGACGATACAAATTTATGGAACACCTTTTTCACTACATGTGGCTCTTGCATGATGAGGCTCCAACACATTACACTCTGAATGTCCATTGCTGTTTCATTCAACAGTTTTCAGATAATAAGTAGATGAAACGGCAGAGGAAATATACTATAGTTTATGGGGAGCAGTACCTATAAATTTTAAGGTGTACTTCAGACCAGTAAATACTGAACAGGAATTATGGAGACAGATTCAGAATGCATTGAATATTTTCAAAAACAATGCAGAAACGATGCAAAATATGCATTTCAGTTTTTGTGCTGCAAGTGCATTGGACCACTTCTTTTCCAATTTATCATCCTAAGTAGGTACTATCTATTTTCTTATCATATTATATACTTTAGGTTTCACCCATGAACAATGTTTGAAATAAAAGAAAATAACATAACCTGTCTTTTGAATACGTATAGGTTGGTATATATGTCCAATATATGGACACCATATGGATGTCCATAATGGACACCAAATGGATGTCCATAATGGACACCAAATGGATGTCCATCATGGATAACGTATGTATGTCCTAAAATGTGGAAAGCTGATTACCTATGGACATCCATAGGATGTCCTGTGTACACAAAGTGGTTATCCTATGGATGTCCAGGGTGTCCGGGTGAGGATATCCATTGGATGTCCAATGGATGAAGGTGTGTTATTAGGGTATGGAATCACGTCCGGTACCCTCACGAGGGGAGTGTATCAACTTTGGCGTTCGTAATGCCTCTCTACAAAGGAGGGTGTCGCCTTTAAGAGTTAGGTATAAACTGTGATTTTATACCAGTTTTTTTCCAAATTATTTGTGCACTTTAGGAAATCAACATTCGTTGTTTCAATGAAGCTGTGCTCTTTGAAGGATAGACCCATGTTTTCTTTCATAGATGTAAATTATAATGAATAATATATTGCGCAATCAGAGAAGCATAATACCAATTCAAGTTTCTTTCCAGGATATTCCAGAAGCAATGTAAACCATGGCAGATATTTCATGATTTGAGAACCTGGACTCAAAAGAACTCAATAATCGTTCAGGACAAATCCCTTAGGAGCTCAAGATCTGCCAGAGAGATCAACGGAATATGGAGATGTCGAAGATAAGTTTTCATGGACATTAAATTCAAATGCAGATCGTATTTTTATTCTTCTTCGAACATTTCTTCATGAAAAATGACTTTTATCGATCATCTAAGCAAACAGTCGAAATATTAGTCGACATTGTGAGTGTATGGAATCACGTCCGGTACCCTTACGAGGGGAGTGTATCAACTTTGGCGATCGTAATGCCTCTCTACAAAGGAGGGTGTCGCCTTCAAGAGTTAGGTATAAACAGTGGTTTTATACCAGTTCTTTTCCAAATTATTTGTGCACTTTAGGAAATCAACTGTCGTTTTTTCAATGAAGCTGTGCTCTTTGAAGGATAGAGCCATGTTCTATTTCATAGATGTAAATTATAATGAATAATATATTGCACAATCAGAGAAGCATAATACTAATCCAAGTTTTTTTTTCAGGATATTCCAGAAGCAATGTAAACTATGACAGATATCTCATCATTTGAGATCCTGTACTCACAAGAACTCTATAATCGTTCAGGACAATTCACTAAGGAGCTCAAGATCTGTCCAACAGATTAATGGAATATGGAGATGTCGAAGATAAGTTTGCATGAACATTAAATTCAAATACAGATCGTATTTCTATTCTTCTTCGAACATTTCTCCATAAAGAACGACTTTTTTCGATCATTCAATTAAACAGTCGAAAAATTAGTCGACATTGTGAGTGTATGGAATCACGTCCGGTACCCTCACGAGGGGAGTGTATCAACTTTGGCGTTCGTAATGCCTCTCTACAAAGGAGGGTGTCGCCTTTAAGAGTTAGGTATAAACTGTGATTTTATACCAGTTTTTTTCCAAATTATTTGTGCACTTTAGGAAATCAACATTCGTTGTTTCAATGAAGCTGTGCTCTTTGAAGGATAGACCCATGTTTTCTTTCATAGATGTAAATTATAATGAATAATATATTGCGCAATCAGAGAAGCATAATACCAATTCAAGTTCCTTTCCAGGATATTCCAGAAGCAATGTAAACCATGGCAGATATTTCATCATTTGAGACCCTGGACTCAAAAGAACTCAATAATCGTTCAGGACAAATCCTTAGGAGGCTCAAGATCTCCCAGAGAGATCAACGGAATATGGAGATGTCGAAGATAAGTTTTCATGAACATTAAATTCAAATGCAGATCGTATTTTTATTCTTCTTCGAACATTTCTTCATGAAAAACGACTTTTATCGATCATCTAATCAAACAGTCGAAATATTAGTCGACATTGTGAGTGTATGGAATCACGTCCGGTACCCTTACGAGGGGAGTGTATCAACTTTGGCGATCGTAATGCCTCTCTACAAAGGAGGGTGTCGCCTTCAAGAGTTAGGTATAAACAGTGGTTTTATACCAGTTTTTTCCAAATTATTTGTGCTCTATAGGAAAGCAACAGTCGTTTCAATGAAGCAGTGCTCTTTGAAGGATAGATAGTTTTATTTCATAGATGTAGATTATAATGAATAATATAATGCGCAATCAGAGAAGCATAATATTGATCCAAGTTTTTATTTTAGGACATTCCAGAAGGTATAAACAGTTTTTTTATACCAGTTTTTTCCAAATTATTTGTGCACTTCAGGAAAGCAACAGTCGTTATTTCAATGAAGCTGTGTTCTATGAAGTAGACCCATGTTTTTTCAAAAACAGTCAAATTAAAATGAATGACATATTGCGCAATTAGGGAAGCATAATTCTAATCTGAGGTTCTTATTTTCAGGATATTCCAGAAGCAATGTAAACTATGGCAGATATCCCAGCATTTCAGAACCAGTACTCACAAGAACTCTATATTCGTTTGTGACTCATCACTTATGAGCTCAACATCTGTCAGACTGATTAACGGAATATGGAGATCTCCAAGATAAGTTTTCTTGAACATTAAATTCAAATAGAGATCAAATTTCGATTCTTCTTTGAACATTTCTTAATAAAAAACGACTGTGTTATTTCGGATTGCTTCAGAAATGGATAAAGCTCTGGTAGCAAAACAAAGAGCTACATTACTCCACATTCTTGGTGATTATGGATCAGATGTGTACAACACACTCACATTCACAGAAAGGAATGATCAATTGACTGTCAGAATCATATTGAAAAAGCTGTCTGAATATTTTGAGCCACATAAAAATAAAACATATCTAAAAGGTTCCTCTTCAAGGAATTTGACTAAATGTTTGGATATATGCAGAGCTGATGAAGAATCAAGAAAACAAGTAAGAATCATATCTGCAGGAACTTCAAACAATTTGGGAGTGGATAGAATGAATTTTGCCACCAGTAATAAGAAAATTCAAGGAGAGAGAAGAAAATAACGTTTACAGGAGATGAAAAATTGATAAGTAATGAAGGCTGATCTACAGAAACTATGTTATTGTTGTCATACTTCACATAGCTATGGAAAATGTCCTGCCTGGGGAAAGATATGTAATGTAAAAAATGTCAAAAAATGAATCATTTTGCTTCATGTATGTAATAAATAATTTTTGATTGTAACATTCTGACTGCTGGGCATGACTTGATGAGCAGTTTATTTATCATTATTGTTAGTCAAGACTGAATACTTTCTCAAGACCTTTGTATATTTAACTTAGAAAATTTGAATATGAACTGAAAAACATTTATTTTCACATTGTAGGGAACAAGAACAAAATTATACAAAACATGAAAGCAAAAACCATATTAAAAACAAGTGTAACTCTTAACAGTAGCTAATGATGATTGAAAATACATATAACACTAGAAATAGAGTAAATACACAAACAAACAAAAATACCTATATATGCTGATACTAATAAGAAGTATTTGGTCAAAATGAAAACTTTCATTGTCACTCAAAATGCTTATAGTGTGTATATAGACTAGACTGAAACAAAATAGTTCTTCTAAACTTGATAAATGGCATATTGTTGACTCACAAATCATTGACAAGTTGGGCAAAATTTGAAGCCATATTGTACAGGAATCCTAAATTTTGACATTCACAAGGGTGTGCAGATGTAAAATCTTCATCACCAACATTGTGCACAGTAGGGGGAATTCTTTTGAAAATTTTACTCAAAAACATATTGAAACCACCTGCTGTACCCACATCAGGCATATTATCTGGAGCAAAATAGGAACTGATGAAGAATTTCTTGTGCCATTCAAAGAATTCTGCAGTTGTGGAAGGTTCAGTGCCAAACAATGGGAGTGTAGTGACATTCATGAACCTATCCATCATTTCACAGTTTGCATTCCTAGTGAGCAGATAATCAAATTTCCTAGCTTTAAGAATGTCCCACATTTTCATCATACCCCTGATGGAAATCAACCAACCTTTAGTAAACTTGACTTCGGCTGTGCAATCTTTGTCTTTGTGGAATACCTTCAAATTTTCAATAAACTGCATCATCTCCTCCAGAAACATAACCTGGTGTTTTGTTCCTTTGTAGCTACTGTTGAATTGGTTCATGCTGGTCTCTAGGCTGGAATTCATGATGTCAAATAATTTGTCCATGAGATCCAAGAACATAGCAGTCCCTAGGGCCTCTTCTGGAAGTTTTTTATTATGAATCTGGGCATGCATTTCAGTAGCAACAGTATTGCTAATGAGTTCAATGGCATATCGAGGAAAAGCTCTTTCCAACTTATTAGGCTTCAAGTGATTCAAGGTTAATTTTGTTTTTCTGCTATCTCTCAGGCAATCATTGATAAAAAATTTGGTAAAACTGCATTTAGCATGCGATGGGTTTTTTTCTGAAAATTTTTTTTGGTACTTACGTATTTTTGCCTGAAAAACACGAATTTGATAATGGAAATGTGAACAAACCATTATTTATCAAGATATTTCACTATAAAGTTTCAAATTTCACCTTCTTTTCCGCTTGTCTTCTGGATTGAATTTTAAACAATTCACCCTTCTTTTTTCATCATTGGACAATTTATATATATCACAATGTAAGACACATTTTTTTCTATTATTGAGTCAACTAGAAATATGATTTTCTTGTGATTTATCCATATTCATTGAAAAGAAGGAAGAATATCATTTGAAATAATGGCGTGTGTAATGTCATTCCAAAGCAATCTATTGACATTTGACATCTCGTATTTGGATTGCCTATGGATAAAATGGCCGTCATCTGGTATGCTTGCTCACTAAATAGGAAAAACTCACCATAAAAATCATATTTCCTGTTGAATTTTCTGTATAAAAATGTGTCATTGAAGTACATCATGAGTATATAAAGTGTCCAATGACAAAATAAGAAGAGCAAGTACCTGAAAATGCATCCAACGCAAGGGGAAAAAGGAGTCGAAATTTCGAACTTTTTTTTGAAATATCTCGATAAATAGTGGTTTGTTCACATTTTCATTATCAAATTCGTGTTTTTCAGACAAAAATACGTAAGTACCAAAAAAAATTTTCGAAAAAAAACCCATCGCATGCTAAATGCAGTTTTACCAAAAATTTCTTGAGGAACATCCAAGATGTCTCACAGCCATCAAACTTGAGATTGTATTTCATCAATACATTCCTGGTTATGTTCATCAACTGTGGTGCATCAAACAAAAAAACTATTTCCTTGGTACCAACTTTGAAAGTTTGGTTTGTAGGAGAAATATTCAGCTGTTTTGACAAATCATAAAAATTTGCTCTCATCTTTGTGATGACACTAACAACGTCCAATCCAATATCCTCCAACTTTGTGATGCTCTGGAACAACAACTCTTTGATTTGTTCAGGAGAAGCAGGATTTTCAGTGAAGATGAATGCCAAAGGCATCATCCAAGTGCCACCTAAGCAGCTAATCCAAATGTTCAACGCGAATCTTGCTTTAGCTGTTGTTCTAATCTTACCATCATCTTCATATCCTATGAAAAGGTCCAGATTCTCATCATACTTCACACCTGGACTCAAACTAATCTCATCCATGGATAATGTGATGGTTTTGTTTTGTGTTGATAGGTTTTCCGTCTTGATCTTGATCAACTGGACGAGATTATCTTTCAGCCCAGCATTGATCTTGAAGTCCCTGTGGGCTCCTTCGCGGATAACATCTATGGGGATGAAGTTTGTACGCGGCGGCAACTTGTGGTAACACTCCACTCCTAAGATAAAGTAACTAGAGAGGCAGTAGATGATGAATTCATCAGATTTGTCAGGACCATAGACTTGTCTCTCACAGGTGTAAACAATGAACTTCTTTAGGGGTGGGTAGACTTTTGCTCTGTTCATATCCCCAAGGAGTTTCTCTATATCTGATGGTGTTCGCACACCTTTGATCAAATTATCTTTATCTTGTCTCTTCCGGCGAGTAGTACGTTTGTTGGGCATCTTGTATTACGAGTATGTACCTGAATGAAAAAAAAAACCTTGTATGCAACCCCTAGACATATGATACTACCAAAGAAAAATAAAATTAATACCTTGATTCAATAAAATATCTGCACTTTTGTAGTATTTGGATGATTTGGAATCAAATTGGTCGTAACTACGCTGATCAGTCTTGAAAATTGAAATAAAACGCAAAATACGAAAAAGTCAACAGAAACAACGCCGGCCGGACTGACAAAAAAGCTGGTAAAAAAAGTTAAATCCCGCTAAAATTCGGAAAAAAGTATTGTTAATAAAGAGAACAAATATTCTTCAACCAATGATCGAGCAAGTTTTTCAAATTCTACCAATTACAATACATAGTTGATGGAACGGTTGAGATATAAAGCAAAGAAGGTAATTGAAGGTTGACTTGAAAAGATGTTTTTCACGCCTACTGAAATTAGCAACTACTTTAGATTTAAACTACTTGTTCTTCTTCTTCTTCTTCTTCTTCTTCTAGGTGAGCCTCTTTATTTTTCATTATTTTACAACTTTGGCTAGCGAGAAAATCAACTTTACCTTCATGACATGAGTGTAAAAAAAATCATTGTAAAAAAGAAATAATTATAAATATTGAAATATTTATTTTGAAGTGACTAATAGTCATGGAAGAGCACGGAAGTGATTAGATATGAGAAAATATGAAAACAATAAGAAAGAACTGGAAGAAGAAGTTAGCTAACCTACTAATCTCTTCGAATGACAGTTAAGTGAAAATAAAAGCAATTTTCAATAAATTTAAGCCAAAAAAGCTCGAATTTGTGGCGTAAGCAATCTTGTTTATGATATTCAGGAATGGAAGTGGATTTACTGCGCCCAGGAACAGTTCCTATAGCTCCAGAGACTATATTGTGGTTTGAATTCTTATTGGCACCAAACTTGCTCTTACAACATTTGGAGAAACCTTATGCAGGTGATCAATATCTATACCCTTTTTGTGAGATATACGTTGATCACTTGGCTGATTTCAGACCCTCCTCCATCTGAACTGATCACTAAATTCTATGATGTCATTTCTGAGACACTCAGGATCAATCCTGAGTCTGAAACTGCTGAGATCATTGATGTAGAAACCAATAATGGGAAGTTGAAACCTCCAGCAAAAACAGTGGCTTTGAAAATACTAGCTCTCAAAGTTGGAGCATATCTCAAATGGAATCTAGGTAATATACTAAAGAAATTTTATGGGATTAAGTATGAGAGCTAATTTTTTAGTACAAATAAGACGTTTGCCATTTAAAACCCAAATCAATCTATTACAAGACTTGATGTATTTCACAAATGATAAGAAAACTGTTGAAATACCAAATGTTGAAGAAGAAGATGTGAACACTGCCTCCCCACCTTATTTATTTGCATTACTCTTGTTTCACCGCTGGCTACTGAATACCTCAATGCACAGAATAACTTCACATTGGCAAACAAGATATGGGTAAGAATTTGTCCAAAGAACATGGGTGATGATTGTTTAAATTTAATTTTTCCAGAATAAATGACATATCAATAGCTGATGAATCAATAATCTGTTGTCCAGAGAATATAAACAAAACTGTCAACTTCCTTACAGATTCTCTTGAATGGGAAAACATCCCTAGTCTGCTAACCTTTGATTGTTTCAAGCTACCAACAGAATCTAATGATTGCATAGAATTTGATTGGTTGAAGAGTGAACCTTTGTCCAAAACTGAATTTTCTGCCCAAATCAACTATGATTTGGGTGTATTCTTCTTTTATCGGGAAGAATATGATTTGGCCAAAAAGCATTTTTCAAATTGCTCTCAGTTGTTTAAAAATATACCCAACATCCATGGCTTTTATGATGTTGAGAAAGAAATTCTAGATGTTTATATTAGAGCATGTCATGGCTCTGCTGATAATCAGAAGGCTAGTTTGCTGGAACAATTGAATTGTTCAATTGTTAATCAGTACATGGTAAGTGCCTATTTCATGTACAGGGTGATCCATTCAACATGTGTCATTGCATCTATAGTGATTTATTTTTTCTAGGGAATTACTTCAATTTTACAACAAGATAATATATGCAAAGAAATTCCTCTGATGCATAGACTTAATTTAGAGCTGGATATACAGGGTGCTATATCAAGTGGGGCATTCACAGTAGCCAGGGATCTGCTGCAAAAAATAAAGGCATTAAATATAGTCAGATGTGTTCTTGATAGAAAACCATTGTACCAGTATTCCATCTCCAGTTTTAAAAATGCAGATGTCATTTTAGGGGTATGATATTTTCACAGTTCTATTGATCAATATTGAGATGGAATCAAGATTTAATTTTATTGTGAATTAGCTGTACCCTGCATGCATTGCTATGCTACTTAAAAAAATGCATTTGGAAGAAAGACAGTACACATTTCTAGAAAATATTTTTTTAGTTGCATATTCAACAACACACTTTGATTATTTTATTTTCTACTTCTGTTTAGATTGACTAACCATGAGTGTGTTTTCTTAATTGTTCAAACTACTATTTATCTTCTACTTCCTTTCAGTTCCATGATCTATCTCTCTAGTTTTCTAAACTTCTATTCATTTTCTACTTCTAATTATCTATGAAAGAGTCAGGCCCCTCTTCCCCACTGGGCACACTGGGCACGTGCCCAGGGCCCCGCGAGGATTGGGGCCCCCTATAGTCCTGATAGCTACTCTATACTCTCGCCTGAAAATCAGGTTTACCGAATGCAGCATGTTTAATAAATTTCAATATAATTCTTCATTTCAATTGCCTTTGGCAATGATAATTCACTGGAAAAAAAGTGAAAAAAAAATAAATGTTTGGTTTATTTTCTCGCTTGAAAACTCTGAATTCCGAAGAGTTGACACAAAGTTGCAAAGAATGTGCTGAAATCTACTATGAAGACGTGAACGAGAAAGAGTGGAATGTCTGCATTTGACAGAATACTTGAAAATTTATCAGAGTAAAAATGAAAAAACTAATAGTATACAGGAAATATATCATCTTTTCAAAGAGAGCAAGATTGAAGACACCTTTCCTAATGTAGAAATCGCACTGAGAATCTTTCTAAGCATGATGGTAACTAACTGCAGTGGGGAACGCTCCTTCTCCAAATTAAAACGAATAAAAAGTGAATTAAGAAGTACAATGCTTCAAGAGAGATTGAATAATTTGTCGCTAATGTCGATAGAATGTGATATGCTCGAAAACATAGATTTTGAAGATGTTATTAACGATTTTGCTCAACTCAAATCTAGAAGGGTACCTCGTCAATCAGCATAGATAGGTACTTATATAAGGAGTATAAGGACTCATCGTGGATGCTGGTTACCTAGTGTGGATTTCATATGATATAATAATCTATTCATCATATCTAATGTGACTGTAAAGAAGTAAAATAATGCTAAAACTTTGCATTTTTACGTTATTTGTCTATTCTAACAAAATAGTACATTATTATGGTCATAGGGGCTTCATTATTCTAATGTGCCCAGGGCCTCTAATAGGTGAAAGACGGTCCTGGAAAGGGTATTTCATTAGTTTTTCCAAACACTATTCATTACAAAAGTCATTCAACATATTGAATCTGCCATCTTGAATTTTCAAACTATCAGATTGGATCTGCCATCTTGAATTTCTAAAACTTGATGAAAGAAACCCCAGATACCAGTTTTGAAAAGAATATCGGATCATGAGTTTCCAATGTCAAGGAAAGAATCATAATCATTGACCCCAAAATCCCCCAAATCAAATTCAACAATAAAATAAATTTAACTTTTTGTAAACACTACAACTTGTTGAAACTATTTCCTATTTACAGCTATTAGGTTGAACAATTGATTATATTATGCCCAAATAAAAGGAAAAATGCAAAAAGTATCAACTAAATTAATTGTGACTGATCAACCTAGGATTAATTTTACAAATTCTATTTTTAAATATGGCTAAAGACTGAAAGAAGGAGTCAATGTTAAATGCCTTGAAATTACGCAAAATGGGCTGAAGAACCCATAGTTGGTTCTATGATTATTTATAACAAATAATTCTGTGTTTTTTACAATTTTGAGAAAAGACTCATAATCTTCCACCCCAAAATCCCCAGACACCAATTTGGACAAATGAACCATAATCTCCCACCACAAAAACCCCCAAATACCAATTTTAAATAGAATCGGATAATAATTGAAAAACTCCCGCCATATTGAATTATCCAATTTTGACAAAAGAATCAAAATCTTCGACCCCACAATTTCTCAGATACCAATTTTGTATAGAATCTCATCATAATTACAAAACTCGTTCGCCATATTGTATCCGCCATGTTGAATTTTCCAATTTTGACAATAGAATTATACAAAACTCTTCCGCCATCTTGAATTTCTTAATTTTTTCTCCCATAGAGTGAAATCGGTCAAGCCGTTTACAATTCTATAAACGTCATACTTTCAAACATTCATTTTTATTTAAAGAAGAAGATTATATTTCATATTTTTTCTTGCAAATTTTAAATTATTTATTTGAAGGCAATACATAGTACATGGAAGTTATGCTCTCAAACAGACAAACAAATTTTGAAAAATTATTTGATAGAATTGCTGGTGAGCGATTCTATACCTGATTTGAAGGAGAAACTTGGTTCAAATGAAGAGCTTTATGCCATTTTTGATAAACATGATTTGAGCTATATTTCTGGAGCTGAAAATCATGTTGAAATCCCAGATTCTTTGATGAAGTCTGAAGTGTTTCCAGATATAAGTAAAAAGAGTGAGTAATTCAACTTTCAACACTTTAGCATGCACATACAAACTTCTTTAACTCAAAACATAACCATTACATGTAAAGAATGTTGTTAAATAGTTATCAGGGAAGTCCGAAATTTTTAATTATAGTAAAAAGAATATATGGATTTACAAAATATGATTTCAAGGGAAACCGAAAATGGAGTTGAGGCAGCTAGAAAAACGCCTAATTTTAACCAATGATCATAAAGAAATCAGAGAACTGCTGGTTAAAATTGCAATGACCAATTTGGGGACAACAGTTTGGACTATAAACCCCCAATGGGAATTACCAATTCCTCTACAGAGTGTACTCAAATCACTACCAAGAGGTAGAGCCTAAAACAAAATGTTTTATATCATTTTCAATCTGTCTTCTGAATTATTTTTAGGATTCCTCCAGGATTTTGCTTATGTAACACTAGCCAAGTCAAAAGAACAGCTATTGAACAGGAACTTCAACTTATCTCTAGAATATCTCATTATTTTGGAAAAGGAGTTGAGAACGGCGACTTGCAATGTCATGAAACTGTTTCAACTGGTTAGTTGGGAGATTTTGCTTGTGCAAATAGCCCAAATGTACACAAATCCAGTTGGTAAGATTTCTCAAAATAAATACAGGGTCTTCACATGTATTTTCAACCCCCACTTAATTTTTTAAATGTATTGTTCAATATATATTTTTTCAGGGAACATTCTTTCATATATTTTTTTCTCTAGATTTTATCATTTTATATATGCCAACTAAAAAACAGTTGAACATCTCAAAAAATACTAATGGCAACATTTATAAATTTTTACACAGGACACCCTGTGAATTCTTTCAACTTCAGGACTTTTTTGTGTAGAAACTATTCATTATTGGCCACAAATTTTTTCATATACCTATCATAACTTTTGATTTACTATCTATTGACATTTTATTGAAACAAATACAGGCTTCTGAACTTTTCACCACCTGTGTTTGTTTCAATTAAATGTCAGTAGATTGTTAATCAAAAGCTGAAATAGGGACATAAAAACCGTTTTGGCCAATAAAGAATATTTTCTACACAAAAAATTCCTAAAGTTGACAAAATCTCAATAACCACATTCTACAGAGTGTTTCAAAAAAACCTAACCCCCTTGCTAGGTTAGGTTTTTTGAAACACCCTGTATATCTCTGTAATCATTTCAGCTAGACCCCACGTGTAATGGATCGATGAGATCAGATCTCCAGGGAGAATCCGAAAATGCAATAAAATACTGGATGTTCTATTTATGAATTTATAAATGTTGCCCATAAGTATTTTTTGAGATGTTCAACTATTTTTCTATTGGGATATATTATACAGGGTGATTTAGGTTTTAAGGCACAAACTGAAATGGAAGATAGATCTCATCATTTTAATCAAAAAAGTTTATATAAATATTAGTCCGATCTCGTTCAATAGCAAAGCTACAGGGGATCAAAGCTTATAGTTATTTAACCAACTAGTTTATTAATGAGGGCGATTAATGATCGAGATATTTTAACGTGTGAGCGAAGCGAGCGCGTTAATGTACAAGTTAATATACAAGTTGGTTACAAAATTTTTCCGTCGACTATATTTCTCATTTCTCCTGCAATGAAGAAAACTTGGTTCGCGAATTCATCATTCATCTGGAAACTGCTAAGAATCACCCAGTAGCCTTGTCACTGACATTAGTGAGATTTGACATTTGTCGAAATGATCAACATAGAAAATAAATTCCTTGTGTTAGAAAACAGGGATTAAAATCGTGTCAGAAACTTGGAAAGGTGAACCCGTTAACAGAAAATCTTCAATGAAATCCATATTTTCGATTTAAATGCAGATTCCGTAAGTTATAGCATAAACAATGAATGCACGCGGTGTATGTTTGGTTGCCTACAAAACAATCGTACATTAATAGACAAATCGTTCATTAATAGGGGTCATTAATGAACGATTTCATATACATTAAACTTAATCGTTAATACGAGGTCGACGGAAAATTATTTTTTTCTATTGATTGAAATTTTCTCGCTTACTTTTTAAGATATTATTTTGAAATTCGGTGTGGTCAATACTTCCTAGAAGATCATCATTTCAAGCCATTTGAAGATTTTCAAAATCTACAGGATGATACGTTTTTGGAGGAAGAGGTTTCCTTATTCCCCCCAAACTATTCCGTAGTACGCTTCTGGCATCTTTCAGTGATCAAATTGTGAGGATCGTTCAATTCAGAAGCTTTTTTTGGACTTCAATTTTTTTCGAGAAACGAACCGTTTTTGAGATAAATAAGCATATACGTTCTAAAACATGTTAATTTTGCCTATGTTTCGCTTAAATTTTATTCATCTGAGAAAAAACCTTGACTTTCTACCCTCTGTATCCCCGTTACTGATCCAGATTGGACTCGTGATTGCAATTTTAGTGAGTACATTTCATTGCACTTTCAACGAAAATAGAATGATAGCGAAACATAGGCAAAATTAACATGTTTTAGAACGTATATGCTTATTTATCTCAAAAACCGTTCATTTCTCGAGAAAAATGAAAGAGCAAAAAAGCCTCTAAATTGAACGATCCACACAATTTGATCACTGACAGATGCCAGAGGCGTACTACGAAAAAGTTTGGGGGGGGGGGATAAAGAAGTCTCTACCCCCAAAAATGTATCACCCTGTAGATTTCAAAAATCTTTGAACGGCTTGAAATGATGATCTTCTTGAAAGTATTGACCACACCAAATTTCAAAGCGATATCTTTAAAGGTAAGCGAGATATTTCAATTAATAGAAAAAAATAATTTAACTTTGACCCCCTGTAGCTCCGCTACTAAACGAGATCGGACTAATGTTTATATAAACTTTTTTGATTAAAATGATGAGATCTATCTTCCATTTCAGTTTGTGCCTTAAAACCTGAATCACCCTGTATAATTGACGTAAAAAAATATGACTGAACAGTGAACGTTCCTTGAAAAAAAAATTGCACAATACATAAAAAGGTCATCTTCATGCCAATTTTTTATTGGCCAAATACTACTTTTTTTAATGATTTTTTTCTCGATGAGGAAATATATTCCTCATTTTGATCATTATACAGGGTGTTTCAGATTTAAATGTACAAATGATACCTGTAGATAGGGGACACTTCGGTGGTTCCAATTCACCACCCATTGATATGTCTACCGTCTTTTATAACTGAGATACAGGAGGTTATCTTTATTTTGGCAAAATCTTCATCTGGTTATAACTTTTGAACCACTTTGTATAATTTATCCATACTTGGTAGAAATATTCCACTTATATTACCCATCAAAACCATATAAAAATCCGGATCAGAATCCAGGTCCGTCTTGAGGAAAAACAGAAAACTTCTTTTATCTCAAAAACAACACCTTGTATGGCAAAATTTTGTTGGTCAGTTTTGATATTTGGAAAGAGCGGGAAAAAATGAAATAAGTGACCTACTTTTCACGAGTGCGCATCTAATTTGACAGATGGTTTATTATCAAGTTTTGAAATATTCAGCTCCATTTCGAGGCATTTTTATTGAACTTATAATTCAAAATTCAATTTTAATATAAAAAAATAACAGTCTTCAAAGTTCAACATCATTAGAGTCAAATTAAGGTTTAGTAGGCTGTGCAAAAAAATCTGATATTCTGACAGGTCATGATAATTATTTCTGGTACTTGTATTGGGAATATTTCAAAACATGATAATAAACCATCTTTCAAATTGGATGCGCACTCGTAAAAAGTAGGTCACTTCATTCATTTTTTTCCGCTCTCTCCAAATATCAAAACCGATCAATAAAATTTTGCCATACAGAGTGTTGTTTTTGAGATAAAAGAAGTTTTCTGTTTTTCCTCAAGACGGACCTGGATTCTGATCCGGATTTTCATTTGGTTTTGATGGGTGATATAAGTGAAATATTTCTACCAAGTATGGATAGATTATACAAAGTGGTTCAGAAGTTATAACCAGATGAAGATTTTGCCAATATCAAGATAACGTCCTGTATCTCAGTTATCAAAGACGGTAGACATATCGATGGGGGATGATTTGGAACCACCGAAGTGTCCTCTATCTACAGGTATCGTATGTACATTTAAGTCTAAAACACCCTGTATAATATATTTCTGGAACAAGATTTCTTTTTTCTGTGACGGGAAAAAAGTTTGGCATTTCATCTCTGTTGGCAGGGTATAAAATGTCACTTTTCATAAATTACTTTTTTCCCGTGGGAAAAAAGTGAGTACTTCTTTCCCGGATATATATCACATATATATACTCTGTTAATGGCTTTAGTTGTGCTATAGTTCCGAAAAATGAGTCAATAAAACCGTCTCAGAGAAAGAACTGCAAGTCCTTATATCTCCCATTCGACTTCGCGGTTTCGTATATTACTAAACAACTACTGAATTCGCGATTTTTTAAAATCAAATCACAGAATTGAACTGACAGAAGTGACATCAGATTTGATTACTTCAAAAGAATGATAAGGATGTCTATAAAACGCAGGTGTCCCTACTGTTAAAAACTTGAAATTTCACGTCGATAATTTTCAGATTTCGAAATAATGTAATATCTTCTCAATATTGATTCGTCCTTCCTTCTGTCACAGAAAAAAATAGTGTATTATACACGGGAAAAATATTAGATTTTAGCTCACGGTTTTTTGTCTCCCTCCGCTACGCGTCGGGAGACAACACAACCTGGAGCTAAAATCTACTACTTTTTTCCCTTGTATAATAAATAACTATTATTCAGGTATTTATGAATATGATTATAATAAACGTGAGTATGCACTAATTTTGTGCTTCCTAGATAAAAATGGATTGGCTGACGCCTGCGAGGTTTGCTTACAGACCAACGATTTGGTGATTCCCAGGACAGAGATACTCGAGCAATGCGCCATATGCCTGCTGAATTTGGGTCGTTGGGAATTTTTGATCACCCTGGAGAAGAGGTGGGCCACCTTCGAAATAACATCGGCCATCGCCTTGGCCTGTCAGGAAATCGTCAAACATAAAGGAACGAAAAAATTGTCGAAAAATCTTTGGGATCTAGGTAAAAAAATTCAGAAGGGAGAGAAAGAGATAGAGAGCAAGAAAGAGATAGATGCAAATAGAGGGATAGAGGAAAAGATATGGAGAGATAGAGAGAAAGATATAGATACCAGTGTCTTTCAGAAAGTTGGCATCACATGGGAAGAACTTTTAATAGGTACTCAATAATTTATATCAAAATTCGACTTTGCATTCAATATATATTATCACCCAACTATAAACTATATTCACTCCGAAATTAAGAAGATTGTTTTTCAAATGTATAACAATTTATTGAATCAAGAAAACATAAAAATGTACCCAAGGGGCCGAACAGCAAAATCAAACATGAAACGAGTGAACAACAGAAACAAGATAATGTTTTTTTTGTACTTACATCATGTATTGGGCAGCAAAACCAAAGTCGTGGAGATGTCACATCACCAAAGTGTCATAGTACCGCTTTGGAAGTCAAATAATGAATGCCAATTAATGAATTCCGAATGAATGAATGTCGAATAATAATTGATTATATTGAAAATGAATCCATTCCAAAATGATTGCTCTATTTATATTGGAAATCAATGCTTGATTTGAAATTTTCCACATTCAGAATGGCCGCTACTTGGCGGTATTGCTTACCTTGGTAGTTTCGCACGGTAAGCGTTTTTGCAAGTTTTACAGGAACTAAAGTCTATGAACTCCGCTAGCCTGAACGAAACTGCACTGTACTGAATGTTATAATTTGGAAAGATTAATTTATGATTGAAGATCTTGAAATGAACGAGAGTTAGAGTGATATTATTCCATAGGCATTTGCCCTACTTGGGCAAAGATTATCGATAATCTCCATAATATCGTAATATTCGTAAACGTTTTTGAAATTCGAACATTAAGTTTATTTTCAGCGTTAGATTCGAAATAATGTACTTTACGTAGAGTGGAAGTCACGTGATACCAACCAAATAAGTCATTTCTCATCTTTTTCAAAGCAAAACTCAACGCCCGAATATAACTTTGAAAGAAATGATTAGAGAGACAGAGGGCAATATATAGAGGGGAAGAGAACAAGCTATAGAGAGATAGAGGGCAAGATATAGAGGTATAGAGAGATCGAGAGATAACTTTTGACATGTAGCGAAAGTCACGTGACCACCGAGTAGGCCATTTTTTTCATCTACTTTAAAGCAACTCAACGCCCAAGTCGTAATTTTAAAATAAATTATAGTTAAAAGTTATTCCCTTGTGATACCAACTTTCTGAAAGACACTGTAATAGAGAAAAAGATATAGAGAGATAGAGAGCATGTTATAGAGAGATAGAGGCCAATATATGGCAAGATCACAGGCAAGATATAGAGTGATAGAGAGATAGGGAGATCTAGAGTGACTTTATAAACAGTCAGTAGTGGTGCCTTTTTTGATTGGTCAGACCTCAATATGGAGGTGCATCCACCTGTCTCGTTTCCCCAGTTAGTTCTACACATTCTATTTCACAACAATCATACATGAAACTCTATATGTCAGTACCTTGGATATTAACTGTTAGAATCCGTCTTTTGGGACTCCTAAATCTCAGATTATTCAGATGATGAAATGAAAATATCGAATATCCAAACCTAACAACAGGTGGGCACTTCGAAGGCGCAAACTCATTACTGCGTGGGAGATACCCTTCAGATTTTCAACTATTCAGTGACCACGAATGACATTCCGGAAAAGGCAGCCATTTTAAGGTCTATTGTCGTCACTCTATTTAATCTACTCACTCTAGGGATATCGAGAGATTGAAAGGATAGATCGAGAGATTGAACAGAGAGATCGAGAGATTGAAAGGAGAGATCGAGAGATTGAAAGGAGAGATCGAGAGATTGAAAGGAGAGATCGAGAGAGAAAGAGAGAGAAAGATAGTTATGCTGTCAATTTTTAGTACTACCAATTTCCGCATCTCATCTGCCCCAATCCAAACGTAACAATCCTGCTTTCAACGACATGTCAAACTTGAGGAGCAACCTTCTGTCGGTGTTCTTCAAGCTCAAGGACTCTTTGTGCCTGGCCGTGGTCATATCTCTTTTAACGAAACTGTTCAACATTCTCAAGGACGAGAGCAGCCTGGAAGTCCAGATGGAGTACATGAATCTGTGGCCTGCCGTTGTAACAAAGTGAGTTTTTGGAAGAGAAGAAGTTTTTCTCATTTTGTCATGGGATAGGAAAACAAATTAAATGGGATACTCTGTATATAATTTAATTTCAAAAATGATGCTTCTTTGCTGATCTCACAAATATACCACATATGGTGAAGACGTTAAAACTGGGGGAAAACATTCCTTGCTCCTGGCATAGATTGAAAATGTTTTCCCCCAGTTTTAACGTCATCGCAACGTCAGATGATGACCTTGAAACCGTGAATACCGTTCTGAATATCTCAGTAACTGTGGCTAAAAGGCTAAAAGTCTCGATTTAAAAAAAATGAATCATTAGAACAAACTAATGAGAAAAGTAACTTGAGATTTAGTTTCATGATGAATTGAAGTTGGAAAAACATATATTTATGTATTCACCATGCTTTAAAAAATGTTGTTTCTTGGGAATAATACAGTTGATTGATTGATATAAAATTATTAACGAGAAAATGTCTTCATTTCATCGGAATCTGAGAAAACATAACTTTCAATCAATCAATCAAACTTGTGATAATGGTCTTTTATTCTCACATACTCAATTGCATTTCAACTATTTTATGAATGTTTGGGAATTCTGTTCAGAAAACAATAAGAAAATAAGGATCATTTGAAAAATTTGATGATATACAGGGTTCTATTTATAAAGTTTTATTATTTTTCTGCAGGCTGCTGTTCTTTCAATAACATTCCAACAAAATTCGGTCATTACCACACAACTCCTTTTCAAAATGTTTTTTTTTTTTCTATAGACCATGGGTGAACAATTTATAATATATTATGATGGATTTTTTTTACAGTGCAAATTCTTACAATGCCATAGCTGCTTGCGATCTTTTGTCCGAAATGGTGCTGTACGGTTTGAAAGAGTACCCCACAAATGTTTCTTGGATGAGACTGATGGCAGACCTCAATTTTGGTGAGATTTTATAATCTTAATTTTTCTCTCCTCATCTCCTCATCTATAAATGTAATGATAGTTCGAAATATGTTTGAAGAACAGTACAATGTATATTGGAAAATATAAAATTTCGTCTGAAAAACACGAATTCCACAATGAAAAAAGTGAACAAACCGCTATTTATCGAGATATTTTACGAAAAAGTTCGAAATTTCACCTTCTTTTGCCACCCATCCTGGCTATTCATTTACAACTATTTCTTTCTTTTTAGTTCAGATTATTATGATGTGATATGTCTATGTCATAAATGTCATTGACTAATAACCTTTCAAATTTTTTAAATGAAATTACAAATTATATCATACTTATTTTGACATATTTTGTTAATATCGGTAATTTGACACTCTGTTGAATTCAAAAATAGTTCAGTGGCACAAACTAGGGCTGTGTCAAGTCTGTGGTTTGACCGGGCACATACGTTCAGTATAAAGTCTGACCACCAGTCTGACCAACCAGCTGTTTGGGAATATCGGTCACGTTTCAAACCTGCCCACAAAGTTATCACGTTAACTTTCGACGGGAGTCGAGTCATCCAATAATCATTCTGGTATCGCCACTTTGGTCTGACGGATGACTTGACACAGCCAAGGAGAGATTTATCGGACCTCTCCATATTTCAATGCGGCCACGTTGATAGCATTGAAGAGAAAGATGGAAGAGGAGAGAACTACTCTCTTAGACTGTTGATCCGCGACACAGGGTTTGTCGATGTTCGAAGTCGATATACCATTAATGGGACCCACTCACTTAGTCCAAGTTAACAGGAAGAAGTGCCTCGGAGAGTCGCAACACAGTCCTTGCCCCGGCCCGGACCTCACCTTTCGGTTGGAAAAAAGTTCAAAATTTTGTTTATGAAGAAGCTCGGCAATGAAGTGCAATGATCCTATCTCACGAAAATTGGGGCGCTTGCCGGTTTGCATACGCCTAGGTCACTCCCCAAGGGCGGCATACGAACCAGAAGTGGCAATTTTTCAGTGTTTTAGTAGATGATCAAAGAATGTATGCCCTTTGGCGAAACAATGAATTGGGACCCATTAATCAGTTTCCCGACATTTGCATACGATTCCGTAGAGGGGAGCTCGACTTATTCGAACATCATTTGACTGGATATTGATGAATGGGTCCCAATTCATTGTTTCGCCAAAGGGCATACATTCTTAGATCATCGACTATAACACTGAAAAATTGCCACTTCCGGTTCGTAAGCTGCCCTTGGGGAGTGACCTAGGCGTATGCAAACCGGCAAGCGCCCCAATTTTCGTGAGATAAGATCATTGCACTGCATCCGAGCTTCTTCTTAAACAAACTTTTTTCCAACCGAAAGGTGATTTCAGGGCCGGGGCAAGGACTGGGTTGCGACTCTCCAAGGCACTTCTTCCTGTTAACTTGGACTAAGTGAGTGGGTCCCTTAAATGGCATACCGACTTAGAACATCGATAAACCCTGTGTCGCGGGCCAACAGTCTATCTCTCTCTCGTTCAAGGTAGAAAAGAGCTCTATTCGAATCATTTCCAGCTAACGGTCACTACCGAGTGTCGCTGAGCTACTACTTGAAAACCCTGCTGATCGTCCACGACTACTTCAACGTGCCCATCCGCAACGACGATCACGTGTTCAGGCGGATGATCAAGTGCTGCACTGTACTCGGTTCACACACGCAAGCAGCCGTCCTGTGCCAGGTAATCGCAGTTTGATCACCAATTAATAAGTGGTAGAAAACAGTTTGCTTATCAAGGAACAGTTTCGAGTACAGCTAATGAAATTATATGTGGAGTACCACAAGGGTCAATCTTGGGCCCTGTTTTATCTTCGATGTATATCAACTTGCATGATCGTTAACATTAAATTGAAAGGAGAAAGGTTTACATGTTCGCTGATGACACTACATTGATTTATTCCGCAGACTCAATCCAACAAATCAGAAATGTAATTGACAGTGACTATATGCAAACTAGATTACTTGGAACCAACAAGAAATCTTCCATTTACAAATTCAAACACGAACACATAACCAGACAAAAAGATACGTTGACTTTCATCAAAACTGAATCAGATATGGGTTTTAAGATCTATTTTATACAATGGAACAATTCACTGTAATAAATTACCTGCCAGACTGAAGAAAAAATTAAGTGTTGAGAAATTCAAAACAGAACTGAAAAAATACTTATGTCTTTGATTCTCTTATATCATCCTAAATCAATTCAAGAACTTATATTCAACAGTCTGTAGAAGAAACAAGATTATATTATGTACTATGTATATGATTTAAAAATGATTATCTGATTATCTAATTTTTTTCATCTAGTTGCTCTTTCATGATTTTCCCTGCTATAAACATATATGTTTCTTGTGAATAATAAAGATTATTATTATTATAGAGCCCTGACAAAACTGCTTGCTTTATCAAAAATTCTCGAGAGGGTTTTGTATAATATGCTGAAAGATATCGGTATGTGGGTGTTAGAGATAACTTCAGTGGCAAATCACTAACAACTATTGGGGTTCCCCAAGGGTCTTCATTAGGACCCCTATTGTTCTTGATGTATATAAACGACCTTCTTATGGATGATGCAGTTGTGTTTTATTCTGGGCATCAAGATGACATAGAACACCAAATTGAAAGAGACATAAATACTTTGGAATCTTGGTGTGCTCACAACTATTTATGCTTGAATGAAAAAAATGTTGTTATATTAATTGAGAAGAAAGCATAGATGAGAATGTCCTGCTGTGTAATGAATTGTGGGAATTCTGAAGAGAATGGATTTCATTTATTTAATTCGCCAAAGGAAATATCAACCCCATTCTCCTATGGAAGGAATAACAGCAGATCAGAATGAAACTATATTTCATGCCCATTTTCGAACAGAAGATTTTATGATCCGTTCGAGAGAATCTGCTGTTCCATCCATTTACAAAACAGACCATTTGGGGTATAGATGCTGAGATGCGTTCATGTTGTGTCAGGTTCGCACCAGATAGCGGTCAAGAATGCTATCTGGGACAGCCCATGATACAATTCCATTGTTTTTAATGCATATCTTCTGTATGACTATTTGACAAGTGAGTGTACAATTTTATTCACATATTTTCTTCTCCGAAATTAACAAACTTTTAACCTCAAATATTTTACACACATGATACCTATAAAGAAAAATTCACTTTTCAGATACTGTCCTCATGATGGCCTAGAGCCGAAAACGTTCGAGTTGACTAATAAATATTGTATACTATAGCCCGAGTATTACTCATCAATATTGATTATTATATTGAGTATAATATAATTTGAGGCTATTTCAAGGATCCTTGGTTCGATTTTTCTGCAACCATTTTCGCATATTCAACATGAACATGACAAACCAATGGCAAAATAAAAAAATGTTATCTATCTATCTATCTATCCATCTATCAGTTCCTGGAAGAGACAGACTACACGTTGGCCTTCCGCATCCTTTCCGAGCAGAAGAACTGCACGGACGCAGTCGACGCCTACTACCACTGCTTCTGGGACATCAGCATCCTGGAGTACCTGATCCACACGCACCACAAGAAGGGGGAGTACCAACGGAGGAAGTGCGCCATACAGGTCAGAGTTCGTATTAAAAATCATGAGTTAGTGGTAGAGCTTCAATATATCCGAGAATATTTCGCCCTTCTCTAAAGATAATATCCGATGGAACAGTGTATAACTCAACATGTGGATTAGAATACTTGTGCATCACTTTCGACTTTTTGTTTCAACTTGTTATCACATGACGGAAGTATGTCCGGAATAATGACAGCAAATAAATCGCTGTGCCGTGGATTCTGAAACTTTCTGTCGTATTTTCTTTGCATATGTGTTGTTTATTCTTCATAGTAACTACGATTAGGTGAAACCAGATTATAACTACAAAAACCTCGAATATTTTTAAAACGGATGAACCCAATATCAACAACCTATACAGGGTGTTTCAAAAAAACCTAACCCCCTTGCTAGGGTAGGTAGAACATTGCAAAATGAGAATAGGTGATAATTTTTCATAATACCTACTCTAATACTGAAATATATGGAATGACTCTTTACATAACACGTTATCTGCTTTGGCGACTTGATTTCACAGCAATTTATTATATTTGATTTAAATCATGATCAGAATTAAAGAAAAATCTGTTGATCTAAAACCTTGCAATTGTGATGCAGGTGATGGGCATGCTGGAGTTGAATTCCAGCAACAACGAGGAGATACAGAGGGAGGCCTGTAATTTGAGGAAGAGTACGTTTCTGAGGGGGCTTTGTAAGCAGTATGTGTTCTGACTGAGTTATAAGTAAATTATAATTTTTTTTCTTGTGTTTTATTTCCTTATTTGATCCATGGATAATGCCATATTCAATTATTGGTAATGCATTTGTACTGCCTGAATAGTTTGTTCACCCTACATGAAAATTCTCAATGAAGCTAGTCTGTCACTCTCTAAAGGTCAAAAATCTCAAAATCCTGTAAAATGTTTTTAAAAAATCGATAGTCACAAAAAGTGCAAAATTTCGTGAAATTCTACGAAAAAACATTCCTGTCACGTGTTGGGACACCCTGTATGTATTGACATAAGTTATCTGACTGGAAAGCCAGGTTCCTTTTGAGAAAATTACGAAATAATAAGAAGAATAGAAGTTTTAGTTAGTGTGAAAAGAATCTTGTATAATTGTCTTTTTGAAGCAGATACCAATTATTGTAAAATGAGAAGCAGAATGTAATATAGATGTCTACTTGGGGCAAGATGCCTAAATATATCTGACATTATAAATTAGGGTTATGTCATGTCAAAAACGTCAATCTTAAAGTGGTCGTTTTTTGTATTTTTTTTGGCGCAAAAAGTCGGATGTTGGACGATTGTTGTTATTTTTTACTGATTTCCTGATAAACATGTCTCACTAGTCCAATATAAAAACTAGTAAGTGTTTCAAATCAATTTTATATTACCGTTCCTCTGATTACTTCTGATGCCTTTTTTTTCTTAACAAATATTTGACTTGAGTTTAGCCTGTTGGACCGGCGAGGGACCAGCGGAGACCCTGGAGGAAGTCATTAAAATATAATGAAATGAAGTGATTAATATATCTCTATCCACCAAGGAGACAGTATATATATTCTGTTGCTTTTTGCAAATAAATATATAATTATAATTCACAAGCCCTCTTTAGAGCTAGCAAATGTAAATAAGGTAATAATATAAGGTGATAATGATGATTTCATAAATGAAATTCAGATGTAGTTGAAGAAGGTAATCTTTATTAGTTACTGTAAATACCATCCAGTGGCTCTAATTGTTATGAATCAAGAAAATTATTTTAAATTCACATGTCCATTGGATGTATAAATTATTTCAGAAATAGTATTAGGTGAAATCAAAAAAACTGCTTCATTTCTGATGACAAAAAGTAGCTATAGATACAAGGATACAAATAAAGTTGAAAAATTTAAAATACAAAAAAGGAAACATTGGAATGAAGGAACAAATGAATGTATATAATAAGGAATATAGAGAGGGATATTTGTACCCTCCAAACATAGATCTCCAAAGTATTCATTCTATGCTTGTAGGTATGACATAGTTTTAGCATTATGAATTACTATGCCATATCAAAACTCAATGTCCTGGACAAATGAAATGGCCCAGATCTGTCCAAGATGTGCTGAAAATATCTCACTAAAAATCACTCAAAATGGGTTAAAATGCTTATATCTCCTGTCATTTTTATTGTGCAGATCATTTCTTGAAAGAATTTGCTAGGGTAAAAGAAATTATCTCATTTCACTTTCTCAATCATTATTTTTTACACTAGCAATGCATATCCACACAGAAAGCATCAATCCTGGATAGGAATGAATATAAACAGCCACTGCAAATTCAATATCTTCCTCTTGTTGTATGTGAATTCCTAATGGCTTTATTTTTTTCATGATGCTAGATATGCTGGTGAATGGAATATTGAAGGCAAACCCAGAAACCTGAAAAATATTATCTATATTGTAGTTATGCAGCTTGAAGGTTATTTTGATTTTCTTACTGTGTAAGGGGATATTTCACTTTGAAGCTCTGTCATTGTCTCAGTATGAGTTTTATGAAACATACAATTCATTTCAAGTGATCTCAACACATTTGTCAACACACTAGATATGCCGGCATTCCAAACTGTTCTATCTAACTGCCTCAATTTTGATATTTGTCTTTTCAGGTGTCTTTCTAGCTGCATTTCTATCAAATCTGTCTCCTGCTTCGACTTGTACATCAAGCTTCTAGAAACAGCATTACTAGGAGCAGTGCACTCATCATTAAATAAAGGTAACCAATCTGATTTTCTACTCAGATCAAACCTTGTGAGATTCATGTTATCTGTATTCTGAATGTTGCCCCACACCTACATATGAATAATTCTTGAATGTTATTATGGTTTCAGTTGAATAACTCACATTACTGCTGTTGATTACACAAAAGACTCTCTGCAGTGGACTGTATTCATCAGTCAAGTTGTATTTCTCTCCATAAACTACATCCAATATATAGTACATTGGCAAGCCTGTATCTGTACTATGTTCTCTTAGTAAGACATATGCTGTATTCCCATGTGGGATACCATAGCCTAGTAAAAGCCAAACATCCACTTTGAGAGACAACAAATAGCATGTCAAGGCTATGGCATGGTCTGTTATTGAGCCTATCATCAAGTTGACCAGTTGCTAAAAATGAATTATAATTATGTTATGAGGAAGTCCAATAATATGTATTGGTGAAAAAATGTGCATTGATGAATGACCAGTAATAATTCTATCCTAGGCATATTATGTAGTTTAAAGTAATACAGATTGTTTATCCAATCAGGAGTATTAAGAAAGGATGGCCGTTGGCAACATGGCCAGTTACAGAGAATAGTGGTTGTTTCACTGTGGTGGTTAGTGTTGCCAGGTCTACCGTTTTTGTGCTAGGTATCGGATATGTATCGGCAGCGGCAAACCGATATCGGCAAAATGTTAGAATGACATAAGTTGTGCCGCCACGGCATGATGTACGCTTATTCATTATGTTTTTCTTCCTTCCATCCCGTAATTGACCGTTATAGATAAGTCACAATCGAGCCGCTGTCGATTCGACGCTGGAGACAAACTCCATTATATAAATAATCTCATAGTGTAGTATCACAATAACAATATATCTCCAGACTACTTTTATGCATTCTTTATGGTTGATCCCAGCAAACTACCGTCCGACATCAAGAATGATATATGTTATATAACATATATACTCGTTATTGTCTACCAATCCATTTTTGTGGTAATGATTTTGAGCTGAATATTTGTTCATTACCCTATATTATAACAATGATGCTCCAATGCGAAGTTCAGCTCTTTACCTATATTCGAAAAATATTTGATTCATCACAGTAATAGATCAAACACTGGAAAAGTATTGTGGCTAGAACATTATCAGACTACACCTATTCTACGTCGTCAAATCAACAAGTTATGATAGGTATATCGTATGATCAAATATCAAATATAATTGAATTAAATTACCCTAGAGGACATTTGAAGCGGTGAACGTGACAACATCGCGCGCACGACTTGTGGGCGTGGCCTTGTCCCTTCTCAGCATTCAGCACAATGTTGCCAAGTCTCCAACATTCACATGCAATTGTGTTATGGGGTATTAGAGATATTTGGACGTACTGGTTGCTTGAAAGAGTCAAGAATGAACTATAATATCAAGGGTTCCTTCTATTATGTTCTATTCAACGACAGGACTCTTACATCTTCTTGATAACTTGATTATAATTGGTGACTCGTGAGTGGGAATGGAAGATTATCTGACCAATAACGAAACAGCATAATAGCTGACGTCACTATTTATTCGACGTACGTTCGAAATGAGCTCCGAAATTCAACAATTTCGAACAACGCATACACTTATTATTTACATAAAAAAAGTGTGTGGAGTGTTGCAAAAATTAATTTGGGTCCCTAAGGACATAGTGTAAGTCCACTCGCCCATTCTTCATAATGGAACTTATTGCTCTAAACATAAAGTTGCATAAAAACTTTTTGGTGAAGAATTATCGTATTCCTATTTGAATTGATGTATTCATGTATAGTATAGTAATAAATAGTGAAAAACACATATTATCTATCTTACGTCTGTGGATAACCAAACACAGTTGTAAAACTGGTTGCAATCGGTGTACGGTATCAAAGAAACATATCTCAGACACTGTTCGATGGACACATCAAATTCTTCTTGATTTATTTGTGGTGGTTCCAATGGTTTGATGAATCTTGTCACACAGGTTGTTTTTCCATGGGCGTCCAATGTTAGAGCGTTAAATTTTCGGTCTGGATAGCTCTGATTGTACTTGTTGTTCCATCTCAAGACGTGGTCATGTATGTACGGAATATCACCACAAGGTAGTTCTTCCTAAAATAGTTTATGAAAATAGTATATTGTGCAACAAGTGGGAAAAGTGCTTTTCCCCACATGTTGCACACTATACTTTTTCTACAACTGCACTTATTCAAAGAATCCGAGTAATGTAGCTTATTGGTTTTCATTTTAGAATGCCATATTGAATATTGAGACACCTTTCGTAGTTCCTCAAAGTATTTCAAAAAAGTACACTTTCCGAAAAAGATTTTATTTCTGTATTTTTTTAGATTCCATAAATTTTTCGTTTATGCCAATTCATACTTTTCTTTCTCTTCCATTATCTCTGTCTCTGACAGTTGTGACAACTATTCAAAGTTGAACAGCAGCCAAGTTTTGGTCGATTTTTGTTGATTCTCCATGGTGGTGTTGGCAAAGTGCCGTGAGAAAAAATATTTCTCACAGTATGAGCAATACATGGTTTTGAAACTAAGTAAGCTATGAGAAATACGCTACTTTTCATAGCAGTAGTAGAAAAAAGTAAAAACTTTATATTCAGTAGTGAATCCTTTTCATTTTAGGTAGTTTTTTTAACATAATATGTATATCTTCACTTCTTGTAGCTATACTTTTCTCATTCATCATAATAAATGAAAGAAAAACCAGTCAACTCTTGAGCATATGCATTTCACTTATACAAATTTTAAACTGTTTTTTTTCGTATGTTATCCAATTTGTTATGTTTCTTTGTTGACTTGTGGATATGAGCTGTTTTTTGTCTTTCAGTTGATTTGATTTGAATATAAAACGACACAAGAATATTGAAAAATTGTATCACCATGTTTGGGCTCAATTTTGGCACTTTAGGTTCTACATAGATTTCCATCTCTAGATAACTGTGATAAGAGGGTCCATTTGACATTTTTTGAGCTGTATTACTCTTCTGTTTGTCTCCTTCCATTTTGTATCCCAACAGAATGTGAGGAAGTTTGATTTGAAAAAACCCGTTCATCTAAAAAAAAATACTTCCAATCCTCTATGAATCAAAACAACAAAACTTGTAAGATGGACTCACTGTACTTGAAGAACAAATAGCAGAAACAGAAATATTGAAACCTCCTAACCAATTGACACATTTTTTATTGAGCTTCTTTATCTCGATATCACTCTCATCAAAAATATTAACACTGATATTTCCATGCAGAGAATTTGGATTTAAATAGTCTGTATTAGTTGACCTGAAATCATGTTCAATTAATAGTTATTTAACCAACTAGTGTATTAATCGCCTTTTAATATACAAGTTGGTTACAAAATTTTTCCGTCGACTATATTTCTCATTTCTCCTGCAATGAAGAAAACTTGGTTCGCGAATTCATCATTCATCCGGAAACTGCTAAGAATCATCCAGTAGCCTTGTTACTGACATTAGTGACATTTGACATTTGTCGAAATGATCAACATAGAAAATAAATTCCTTGTGTTAGAAAACAGGGATTAAAATCGTGTCAGAAACTTGAAAAGGCGAACCCGTTAACGGAAAATCTTCGATGAAATCCATATTTTCGATTTAAATGCAGATTCCGTAAGCTATAGCATAAACAATGAATGCATGCGGTGTATGTTTGGTTGCCTATAAAACAATCGTGCATTAATAGACAATTCGTTCATTAATAGGGGTCATTAATGAACGATTTCATATACATTAAACTCAGTCGTTAATACGAGGTCGACGGAAAACAATATAAATTCCCATTTTTTATTTGAAATGATTCTTTCTATACTTACTCTAGAGGTATTGTCAATATTTCATTCCAAGTAGGATTTGAGCCTGTGTTAGTGGTGGTTGTAGCTGTCAAATTTTTGTAGCCAACTTTCACAAGCGGCTGAACTTCATTTTCAACAGATTCTGTTTCATTGAAAGTTGTTTTCAATCTACTGGGCAAATTTTTGGCCGAAATAATTTTCAGATATATTAGGAATTTATTGGTCGTTTTTGAGCTATTTTCTTGTACGCCATCGTCAATCTTTTTTTCCAAGATCGGTAGTGGCTTGTTGATTTTTGGTCGCCACCTAAACCAATTTAATATGTTGCGCAGTAAAGTTTTCACCATTAAACTGTAAAAAAAACCAATGCAATATTCACCTCTGCAGTACCTAAAAAATACTTACTGAAAATATATCATATATCTCTCATCTATAACACTCTCATAGTCTAAATTATTCTCTGTGTTTTTACAAAGCTGGAACGTCCTGATATAAATCTGTTTCAAAAACTTTCTTCCGAATCTTCTTTGAACTTCTACGTCTTCTTCGTCGAATTCTTCAAAGTTTAGGCCCCTTTCCTCAGTCATTTTTCTTCTCTTATAATCGGCGAGGACGTTGAATGGTATTTCTTTGACCCTATTAGGGATAGGTATTCCATCAAATTCTATCTCTTTTTGATCTCTCAACTGCAGGATTTTGAGCCGTACATTTTCTTCTATCTCTCGAATGTTACAAAAGGTTAAAGAATCTTGATGCGGGTTTAACCTAGAAAATATAATATTTTGCTCGGACAACCTCTGAACTACCAAAGTAAAGAAGATTCAAAATCCATTACTAACATTTCCATTTGTTTTATTGTTTCTTGAACAAATAAATATTAGTTGAAATAATCAATATTTTTTTGTGTGTACAGGCTGTCCCATTTTCGATGTCCTTACGCGGACGTTGGACTCACGATATTGCAAAAATTTTCATAACTCGCTTCGTTTCTGAGATACAGGGAGATATTGAAAATGTTGCCTTTTTATGACCCTCCTTGATTCTCAGCTATCTATCAACTTATCGAAAAAGTAAAAACTGTCGCTCATACATTTTTTTTACGTAGAATCCAGTGGCGCAGTCAGATTTTCAGAATACGCTGTTGATATTCAGATATAACCCAAAGTTATGTTTGTTCACATGGAACTCCCTGTATATTTCTGTATGTTTGAAAAATTGATGCTCTGCGCTTTCTTAAAATATAACACTTATGAGAAATTTCAAGTATTACCCATGAATTTAGATAATTTCTGAAAAACAGTAGATATTCCATCGATGGCCTTGAAAATATGTGGCAACATTGTCCATATCTCAAACTTTCATATTTACCTTGTTGCTGATACAGTGTTTCATCACATGCTAATTTCAATTTTACCAACATTCAACATTTACCAATTTTCAGCACTAATTATTGACTATGAAATCTATGGACCTAATTAGTAGGTGACTATAAAATAAAAATGCGAGTGCAGAATGTTTCGAAATGTTTTTAGTTTTTATATCCGGGATTTGTATTCACCATCATATGAAAAATTTCGACAAGTAGGTGACAAGGATTCAAAAACATTCCTTTTTTCATAGCCACTTACTAATGAGGTCCATAGCTTTTATATGTTGAAACTCCTAAAATTGTACATAACTGACAGATATCAATACGTGGCACTGAATAATGTGAAATCTACCAAATGCCGAATCACGTCCGGGGTTCCGCAGGGCTCACACTTGGGCCCCATTCTATTTAGTATATTTGTATAGTAAAATTGAACAGAGATCCGATTAAGTGGGTATCCAGGAAAATCTTGAAAAATAGGTTGAAAATCACTTCGGATTCGAAATCGTGCGCCCAATTCTCGAATTTTTACTTATTTGTGACGTTTCTGGAACGAATCTGCTCGACGTTCTCAACATGAAAATGCAAAATATTTCTCTTTGGAAGTTGTGTTCTGCTTATAGTTTGACACTTCTCAATGTTATACTGATGTTGGCATATGAATGAGTGATTTTAGTCTACAAATGAGTTACAGGATGTTTTCATTAATTGATCTTGAAACTACCATTTTCATGTTCAGTTTTCAGTAGTGAATACCATGTTCTATCTATATCAACTGAACAGGAAGCAATGCTAATGTCTCCGTTCAGAGGAATGCAAGCGGATTCCTCAATTTTTCTTGTTTGGTTGTTATCTTCCTTTTCTATGATTTTGAATAATATCAAATATGGACCTTTTATTGTTTCTCCAAATTATTAAAAATAATTTTTTGCTAAGAGAATTTTACGAAGAATGCAGTAGCGTACTCATTTTGGGTATGTTTTTTGAAGATACGATACAAACTCATATATTTTTTATGGACCACCCTGTAATTTTTATGTTGTTGAATTCTTCATTTTTATTCCCTTTGAAATGATAAATGACATACTATTGAGCTACTCTGCCATATTTTGGTACCAACCTGAAATGTTTACCATCAGTATGTGCCATCATATCTTCTTTAGTTGATATTTCCCAATCACTTGAATCTAAAAGTTCCTTCAACTTGCTTCCATCCACAACAAAGTTCTTATCCATTATTTCGTTCAGAAAATTCATCCTCGTCTTCATTTCGGTATTTTCTTCTTTCTTAGCAGTTTTCTCCCATTCGATAGAATATTCCAAGTAACCAGCAGTTTTCAGTTCCAAATTCATATCGTCCGCTAATTTCACCCCGAATTTTTCCATTGCTGTTTTCAAATTCGTTCCGCTTCCTACCCCTTCATGTTTGTAATGCACAATTTCATTCTTCTCGAAATACTTTCTGTGCAATTTCTTATTGGACTTGGCACTCGGCATATTAATACTGACTTCTGCTATTTTTTTCTTCAGCAATGATTTGGGCTGTTCATAAATTTCCAGCTGCAAATATGTCGGTACTTGGTTCAGTTGCAAGCAAAATGTTTCGTCGACTTCCACTGAAAAGTCTTCGTTCAAAGTCAAGAATTTCGTCTTGCATGCCTCTACGTTGTTGCAGAATATTCTCAGATAGAATTTCGTTGTGTGTACAACGTTTCTTCTGGTGACTTCTTTGGAATTTGTGGTGTCCTTTGAGGTTTCCTCGTTTTCTGAAAGTGTCAATTTTAGAACTGGTTCTCCAGGTGATCTGAAGCAATTTCGAAATCTGTCCTGTAATTTTTTGCGAATGTCTTCTATGTCTGGCACATCTTTTCGGGTTGGGTCACTATCTTCGTTTTCAGTATCATTTTCCTTCATGATTTCTCCTAGAGTGTCTTCAAACATCTTTTCGTACGTTTCATTATCAACGGTTATATCAACTTTTTCTTTCTTGATGAGCAGCTTCAGATTTGTGTTGGAATATTTTTGCTTCTCTCTGATTTTCTTGACTAGTTTCCAAGTTTCTAGAATGCTTTTCAAGTTTCTTCTCTCCTTCTCACTCTCTTCGAAATATTTCTCACGAACTTTGTGGATTTCTTTGTTTTTGTTTTCAGGATCTTTGGTATCTCCGCCACCACTAATTTCATTTTTCTCTGCTCTCAAGGCTTCGAGTTGTTTTTTCAATTCGGCTACAGTATCTTTGCCCCTGACGTTTTTATAGTGTTCATATAATGCTTTCACGTTTTCTGCTAGAACATGTTCAATACTGAACAGTGGATGATGGGAAAATTTCAATTTGGATAGGTAAAGGTCTATTATTTTGTTTTCTATAACGACAATTTCACTGCATTCTTCTACTGAATTTGGTGGCCTGTAACTCACAAGGTAACTACTTGATTTTGTATGTGTAGGTTTGAATGAATAGCTGGTTACAGGATCTTCTAGAAGAATGAGATTTCCCAATTTGTCGAACCATTTCCTATAAAATAATACTGGAAAGTGTCGCTGTAATTAGAACTCAACCCTATAGTTTTTGAAAAATAAAATTCACCAGCTTGTCACTGCAGGGTTGGCATGAATTAATTCATATGAATTAAATCAGTGATTTAATTCGTGAATTAATTCCATTGAATTTTTTCGAAAATTCATTCCAATTTTCAACAAATTGCACTATTACCTTTGATTTTAACTAGTTGAAACTGAAAAATTCGATCGTATTTTGGCAAGACTTTGTTATTTCAAGCATGACAGAGATTTTTACCAACAGATATATACAGTATCAAATATCATCCATTAAATCCATAACATATGAGAACAGGTTTATTATCACAGCATCGAATTTTTTTCTCTCGGCGATCCATTATGCATATCCGATAACTTGAAAATCGATTTTGACACATGTCACGTGATCACTGGTATGGTGATAAATAAAAATAATACTATAAAGCGACGAAAGGTGGGGTTAGATAACAAAATATCCATAAACATTTCTTATTAAGTTGCTATTCCACATTCAGTTTCGAGCAATTTTTGGAGGAGATTTGGAAATAGCTATATTTTTTCGAATATTCTTCAATTTTGTACAATTCTGTTTTTTTTTCTGACAGTAGTGATGTTAATGATGTACAAGTTGAATAGAATTCAATTTCATGCTCACATATGGAGTTTCCAGCCATTACTTGAGAAAACTGAAAATAGCTATTTTTATTTTTTTTAAATAACTTCATAACTTTCCATCTAACCCCACTTTTTGCCATCGTAATTTTTTGAATTTACCGCCATACCAGTGATCAAGTGACATGTGTCAAAATCGACTTTTAAGTAGTCAGACATGCATAATAGGTTATGGTTTATTTTTCAATGTTCCCTGTTATAAACATATACCTACGCCAATTGTTTCTTGGGAATAATGAAGATGATGATGATGATGAACTTACGTATCATCCACAGATAGTAACCTCTGTTCCAACAAGTTGATGTGACTATTTGTTATTATTGGAAAATTTTCTTCATCTTGGGAGGGTTCAGTATTTCCTAATTTTTTATTTGTGTCTACTAATTTACTCCTGAAATCACCAGAAATATTTAGGTTTTCAAGAGTTCTTTCATGTTGAATTTCATTTACCTCCTAGGAGTGAAAAAATGCTCCTTTTCAGCTAAATCAATGTTGAATTTAACTCGTTCTGGTGGAGCATATAGATACAGATCTTTCTCATCGATAATCTCTTCCTATAACGAGTCTCATTTGTAAAAATACGCTAATCCACAGAGTCGAAGGAATTTGTGGAATATTGCAATTTTGTATTCAACTTTGACTAATTATTCAACCTACAGTCTACAGATTCATAAATTGAAATGACGTCATTGAATTATTGTGTGTATACTTTTTAATATTTCATTAATGTACCTGCTCTTTTGCATCAAAATTGAAAAAATTCGATTTCTCCTGATCATTTCCGCCCAAATTGAATTTAGCTCTGACATTTTCAACTTCGGCATCCAAATGTTCACTCTCCTTCCTTATCCTTTCTACTGGAATTTTTCCTCCTCTTGTAGCACCATGAGATGATGGCGTACTAGCCCTTTCTTTGATTTTCTGGAGGTGCTCAGAAATTTTCTCTTTGTAAGTTTTCCTAAACATGATCAACAAGCATTCATTAAATTATAAGCAAAAAAAAAGCTAGTGGATTTTCTTAGTTCGTAAAAAAGGTTTTGTATGCAAAAAACTTTATGGTGCCTATTGCTATTTGACAATTGAAATAGTATATTTCATCACGTGTCGGGAGAAAACACAATCTGAAGCTAAAATATACTAATTTTTTCCTTGTATAATAAATAGTAGATTGTTTTATTAGGATCAAAAGTGACACTTTGTTTGACTCGGCTTCGCTAAACGCTCCGCCTCGCAGATGCAAAATTTACGAGTCAAGCAAAGTCACTTTTGATCCGAATGAAACATGTTATTTTTTCTGCAATCGGAACAATTAACTCAAATAGATATGTGAAGTAACCACAAATGCCGTGCCATATGTATGCAATGCAACAATGCAATTATAGAGGTATTTGTAATCAGTCAGAGTTACCAAAAATGTTGGATTGTTTGATCACTAGAAAACTATCATGGGATTTTAAAAATATTATATCTAACCAACAACATGGTTTCTGTCGGGGTCGATCAACATCAACAAACCTGTTGCTTTATCAAAACTATATCATCAATTCATTAGAGAATAAGCTGCAAGTAGACTCTATTTACACAGACTTCTCTAAGGCCTTTGATAGAGTTAACCATAGTCTGTTACTTGCAAAACTTGAAGCTTTGGGTATAGAGGCGAATATTCTAAGTTGGATCAGAAGCTAATCTCACTAGTAGAGTCCAATATGTGAAATATGGGAGCTCAGTTTCACAACCAATCGAAGTACCATCAGGTGTACCACAGGGATCTCACATGGGACCTCTGTTATTTAATCTTTTTGTTAATGACCTCTCTGATGTCATCATCAACAGTTCCTTCTTGATGTTTGCCGATGACCTGAAGATGTTTAGAACGGTTCAATGCATTTCTGATGCTGAGAGTTTGCAGCTCGATCTAAATAATTTTTCCAGATGGTGCCATATCAATTTATTGAAACTGAATTTGAATAAATGTCAAAAGATAACATTTTCACGAAGCCATGATGCTATTGATCATATTTACAGAGTTAATGATACTAATCTATCAGTAACCAATACAATCAAAGACTTAGGAGTAATATTCGACTCGAAAATGACCTTCAAACATCACATAATAGAAACATCATCTCGTGCTCGTAAAATGCTAGGCTTCTCCCTCCGTGCTGCTAAAGAACTATCTGTCAATGCAGTTAAAATTATTTATTGTGCACAGGTGAGGTCTATTCTTGAATATAATTCTTTGATCTGGACACCATTTTACAAAGTTGATTCTGATCTTCTAGAGGGTTGTCAAAATAAATTTTTAAGAAGTTGTGCATATCACATGGGGTTCAATAGGGATGAATATACCTATCCACAAATATTAGATATTTTGAACATGAATACGTTGGTACATAGAAGAATGGAAATTGATCTATTATTCCTCCATAAAATTATCAATGGTTACATTGATTCTCCTGAAATTGTTGCTCTGATTATGCTTTCCGCAAATACAAGAAGAAACAGAAATAGTGATATTTTCAAGATACCATTCTGTAGGACAAATTATGGCCAAAATGAATCAATGAATAAAATTATGAAAACAGCAAACACAAACAATCACCAAATTGAACATTTCAATTAATCTTTATTGTCTCTCAGGAGAGCGATAAAAAACTGTTAATCACTTTTTTCATAATCTTCATCTTTCTATTCGTTTTAGCCTTCTACATTTTTTTTGTGTTAGTCTTCTTCATAGATATGATAATGTGTACGTTCTCTGTATTTTTATACTTCCTTTTTGTAAATTGTATTATTGGCTTGTCCGTTAATAAATAAATAAAAATAAAAATAATCCGTGTGGTGGATTTATTCTACCTGCATCAATAGCAGGTTTATTCAATTTTCAAGGATGTTCGAATTGTAGTTTCAATATAAATACAACCACAGAGTGACATATTTGTGTATGGACCACGTGCTCTAATGGCAAAAACCGCGCCAGTGCCAGGTATAGGAATAATAATTGCGATTATTTATTTCTCCTCTTGCTCCACTGTGTTTGGCTTGATAATCAAATGGAGGTGAACAATATATTTGTTTGAGACAAAAACCTATTGCTGGTCGTGATTATTCAAAAACAAGTTATCCATCCCGAGAGTAACGCATGAAATATAGATCAAGCAAGTGTGCGAATCTTGAAGGCTTCCCTGAAACAAAAATACTTGACTACTTACTGGTAGGACTTAGTACCTACCTGAATTTCGAAGTTTTACTGGTGCTGGGCCCCACCATGAAAACTTCATCAGATATCTCGGAAACTGTCTGTCTATCAGGACTCGTCGGGTTAGTACCATTTTGTTTCCTGGGTGTGACGGAGAATATATTTTTTATATTTGATTCCTCGCTGTTTGCCGTACTCACTGAAGTAACAGAATGAGCTAAGTCGATTTTGTTAACTTTTTTCTTATCTTTAAACGGTGTTTTGAATTCCGTTAGTTCTATAAGTTCTTCCTGAAAATCTTATTTGTTAAATTTTTCAGCATCCAGATGATTAAATATATTTTACCCTTGAACTATTCATGCTTTGTTGAAACGAAACTGTCTTGGTTTGATAAAAATACAAACAATATGACTCAATGTTACAATCCCAACAACCACGAAATCCAACGATACAATCGGATGATTGATAATTTGTGTTAGTGTTGCTATGGTTACTTGGGGGTAACTATGACAACAATTAATGTGACAATAACAACAAATGAAAAATTGGATGCATTCATAGTACAAATGCCGGCTGCAAATTTCGATCACCATCTGATAACGAAATGATAACGACTTGCCTGAACATGTAACTGATTGCTACATCACCATGTTTGCAGATGACACTACAATTACAGTTTCCAATCCAGACCCAGATATATTATCAACAAATGTCGGCAGAATCATTATTGATTCATTCACATCATGGTGTGACAGAAATCAACTGATTTTGAATAAAACTAAGTCAGTTTCAATGAAATTTTATAACAGGAAGGATAATATCCCTGGTGAAATAAACGCTGTAGATGAATTAGTCATGTTGCAAGATGTAAAATTCAGCATTCTTCGCAATCAAGCAGATGAAAACATGTGTAGCCAAGGAGTGTTTATTGAACATTTATTATGCAATGGTATACTCACACATTGCTTTCAACACAATGTCATGGGGATGTGGTAGATATTTTGGTAGAGTGTTTATAGGCCAGAAACGTATCGTGAGATTAATCTTTGATATGGATTATCGAGATAGTTTCAAACCAATATTTATAAGAGAGAAATTGTTGAATGCCCCATCCATCTATATTTTGAAATGTTTGAAATACATCAGAAGCAACTTGAAATCCTTCGATACCAATGCTTCCTCTCATGCTTACAACACACGAAATAGTGGTCACCTAAAATTACCAAACCACAAAACTACGAAATTCAAAAATTCTCCTATCTACAAAGCATTGAGCTTCTACAACAAACTTCCAACGGCAATTAAAAATTCTGAATGTGACAAAATATTCTTCAACAAAATAAAATGTTTGCTTATTGAAAAAAGTTACTATTCCTATCAAGAATACTTGGATGATCCATTAGTGTGAATTATTTTACTTTTCACCTATATGTTACTTGTAGTGTGCTGTCATCTTAATTGTTACCTGTTACGTACTTCGTTTCAAGGATTTTTATTATTTATGGTCGTGGTTCATTTGTACGCATGTTACGATTATTTTATATATATATTACTGGCAATTGTCTTCACTTTTGATATTTTTTTTTTCAAGTACTTTTATTCAAACAATAACAAAAATACATTTTACAATTATTCGAACAAAAGTTGTTTCCTAATCAGCATAAGTGCTGGTCCCGGAACAAAAAATACAAAATATACAATACATATTCAAACTAACAGGTTTAAGGTCACAAATACTAAAGTCCATAATAAAATTTCTAAATTACTTACACATAATAACCACTCAAAAATACATCTAAAATCACCCATTTCTCATAAACTATCAATCTTCCTCCTGAACATACATTTTTATTTTATTTTTAAATTTGTTAAAGTTAGGAATATCTCTAATGTGCTGTGGCAGACTGTTGAATGTTTTTATACATTTGTTCAGTGGGCTGTTTAAAGCTATGCTTGTTCTTGCATTACTAATGTATAAAGTGTTTTGTCTTCTTGTTTCATAATTATGTATGTTGTTCACCATCTCTAACTGCGAATTGCATTTGAAATTATTATTAATCACTTTGTACAAAAATTTGCTTTGCTCAATCTTTAATATTTCTGCTATTTGAAGAAAACCAGTTTCTGTATAAACTACATCTGTTGACGTTCTGAAACTGAAATTGAATAAAACTTTCACTACCTTATTTTGAATCCTCTGTGTTTTATTCATCAATGTTATTCCACAAGTTCCCCAGACTGGTATTAGGTAGCTGAATATTGGTAAGAAATAGGCGTTATAAATTTGTTTCAATATCTTATTATTTAGGTAATTCCATTCCAGTCAGACATGGCGCTGCTCCACAGCCTCGAAATCTGCAGCATCCGCAGCTTCGACCCTGAAGACAAGCAGGCCATCCACTTCGGCAGCCCGTCACCCTTTTGCTGGGGCAGAACGGCTGCGCCAAAACGACCGTCATCGAGTTCATATACCGAAATGTTCACTGTCCTAATTTGAAACGACCTTCTACTTCCTAAGTGTATTTGTTCTCGTAGTAATAAATTTGGTTCAGTCCCCGCGATTATTACACCTTTGACCTCATCATAAACTACAACCTACAACTGGGACTTCAATTCATATATCAACTTGAAGAAGAGGAGCATGATATCCAGAAATAAACACCAGCTGCTTGAGCTATCAAGGCAGTGACATATTTTGTTCGAACAATTTCCGTCTCTGACACTTGAATTCCATTCCAGCCAGACATGGCGCTGCTCCACAGCCTCGAAATCTGCGGCATCCGCAGCTTCGACCCCGAAGACAAGCAGGCCATCCACTTCGGCAGCCCCGTCACCCTTTTGCTGGGGCAGAACGGCTGCGGCAAAACGACCGTCATCGAGTGCATCCGCTTCGCCCTCACCAACGAGCTACCCGGGGGCTCCAGCCAGGGCCAGGGCTTCCTCAACGACCCCAAGCTGTCTGGTAAGGGGGCCACGAAGGCGTCGATCAAGATCAAGTTCCTGGACAACCACGGGGACATGATAACGGTGTGCAGACTGCTGACTGTCACCATCAAAGCTAACGGAGGTCTGCAGGTAATCATTTTCCCTAGACACTGCTAGTCTTTCATGAATCAAGTTGGATTTATGCAGCATCATTCAACAATAATTATCAAGTAACATTTATCATTTAACAAGTAGCAATTAAAAGTTGAACTTCCTGTTTTCAATGAAGGTGTTTATGCAGACATTTAAATAATAATTATCAATAAACAAGTGAGATGTTGGCCAACTTTTAACTTTCTTACTTCAATTGAACCAGGTTCTCTTCTATACCTTTTCAATTTCGGAATCGGTGAGTTATATTTCGGAAAAAGTAATCTCGATTTCAGAATTGGTTAGTTCGATTTCAGAAATGGTAAACTCAATTTCAGAATCGGTGAGATGAATTTCAGAAAAAGTCCATTCAATTTCAGAAATAGTAAGTTGTATTTCAGAATTATTATTGGTAGGTTCAATTTCAGAAGATGAAATCCTTTTATATGTTTGAAATGTTTTTAATTGCAAAAGAGAAGATTGTTTACAGTGGATGGAACGGTGTTTGAGAGCCCTATGTTGAATCAGATTGAACATCAGAAGTGAAGAGCTTCTTGCAAAAGCATCGCCAAAGGGTCATAGCTGGAGATCCGAACAGATTGCTCAGACAGATAGAATTCAGACTGCGATGTCTTGAAGAATGTGCAGATCATTCACCTCAAATGTGTTTGCATTCTTATAATCATGTGCAACGCCACTATCTTCCAGCGATTCAGATGAAGGCATCTGTGGATTAAATTGTTTTTGAAAAGTTGAATATTTCAAATATGGTTTGTTAATCTCACATGCAATGGGGAAGACCACTGAGGAAAGAAATCCGTGCAAACCTCTTTCAATCGACGAATCATGATTCACATTTTATGTACAATCAATATTATGAGTTGAAGCTGAAGGGAATCGAATTTATATCGTTTTGAAATCAGCATATTTCATTCGATATTTCAAACAGCCAAATATGATAGTGGAGTCGTGACGTATTAGTCCCGAACTGTAGCTATCTCTCTCTGATACCTCGTCATTCTGCAGTGTTGCAGTGTGATTGGTCAGTTCAAGAACGATAGGCGTGTTGGGAATAAGACGTCGCACCAGTCACACCAATGAATTGATGAAATTTCAAATGGCGCAGGAATTGTGTGTTTTGAAATGGATACATACTAATTTATTTGTTTCATCGTCTTAGCATGAATGAAAAAATTCGAAATTAATTCACTGGTAGTTTTTCAGTATAGAGTTCACGATAATGTCGTTTCAAAAAATCAGTGGTCTTCCCCATTGGAAACATTTCGAACAAATATAAGGATTTTTTTTATGATATTGAACCTACCAATTTTGAAATACAACTTACCATTTCTGAAATTGAATGGACTTTTTCTGAAATTCATCTCACCGATTCTGAAATTGAGTTTATCATTTCTGAAATCGAACTAACCAATTCTGAAATCGAGATTACTTTTTCCGAAATATAACTTACCGATTCCGAAATTGAAGTTGAAAAGGTATAGTGCGCAACTTTAGTACGCAGATGATCGCGGATTGGTTTCATCGACTGGTAGAAAAGGCATGAATTGGTCAGACCAATGTCAGACCTGATATCTGACAGATGTTATGAAATTTGTTTTAACATAAAACAATCGCAATAAACAAAATAATTGTGAATTAAAGTAACCCAGTCTCTTCCAGATCAGAAAACAACGAACAACAACGAATTTTTAAGGTTATTTCTTTGATAGCCCAGATTTAGGGCATGTGCGCTTGCATACTATTAATTCATTAATTGTTAATTTGGTTTGCATAAATGTCGATATTCCTATCAGTTGTTGATTGATAATTGTTAATTGATGAATGTTACTTGATCCACCTTCACTTGAAACTATATCTGCTGTGCGAGGTCTTCTTGAAGCTATTCAATAATTTCAATTGTAGTTCAAGAATCTCAACCCCTCGATTCGGCGAAGGGACAAAAACGACCCCCAGAACGTGCAGGACATATCGGGCCGTTGCCTCGATGTCAACGCCTACTGTTCCACCGCTCTGAACGTCTCGAATTCGATCATAAACAACGTGCTCTTCTGCCATCAAGACAACTCGTTGTGGCCACTGGACGAGCCCAAAAAGGTGAACTTTTTATTGCAATAGAAATTCAGTTTTTTGCTGTAGATGTCGTTGTTACATGTCGCAATTGGCCAGTGTCACTGAATACATAAATGCTGCAGGTGGTTAGGTGCTACCTGACTCTGATTCAAGCAGAATACGGGTCTTAGGAAGCAAACTCTTGTGCAATTAGAGTTCATTTCATTGAAAATATCACTTTGTTTTTCACTCTCTGTTCAAAAATTGTTGTCTATACTAAACTACGCAACAAAATTTTGTCCCTGTTGAAATATGAATAACTTTTTTCTGCTTTGAACAATTTGAATTCGGATTACACTATTCGCTAGCCCAGTCCTTCAGCTATGATCTTGTACTTCTTTAAACATGAGGTTCTTCATATACAATCGCTACAAGGTGTCACCTGAAACTGTGAAAAATTTCGGAGTTTTCAAAAGGATCCCAAATAAACAAAAAAAAAATTTTCAACTTCGACAGCAGATGCGTGAAGATGATCTCATTACCTAGGGGCATTTTTCAAATTTATTATCTCTTTCATTTACAGAGTGATCTCAAAAAATTAACTTTCTGGTTTTGCAGTCATAACTTTTTTCCTTGTCAACCCGTTTTTAAAATCTCATTTGAAGCTGAAACTTCAGATGAAGAAATATGAAGATCAGAATTGACTCAAGATGAACATTATACAGTGTGTTCATACTGAAAATAAACACTTTGACCAAGTGGAATCATTTCCAGTGATGAACACTGCTCGCCAACTTCCAATTTCCGGAAAATGTTAACAGGAGCCAAGATAGGTTGAAAATTACTTCGGATTCGAAATCAGGAAGTCCAATTCACTGACTTTACATATTATGCCTGGAAATTTTTCAGTTCCGAAAAAATAAATTTTGTCTCACTTCTCATGGAAGCAACCCCGTATCTCACGTGATTTTGAATCCGAAGTGATTTTCAACCTATCTTGCTTTGTTATATCATTTTTGAGGGTGGTTCCATGGCTGTTGGGGAGCAGTGTATATCACTGGAGACGACTCCACTTGATCATAGTGTGCATTTTCAGTATATCTACCGCTCTTGCAAATTTCAGAATCCTAACCCAACAATTACGAAAGATACAGGGGTACTTCCTTTAGAAGTGAGACACACTGTATAATGTTCATCTTGAGTCAATTCTGATCTTCATATCTCTTCTTCTGAAGTTTAAGCTTCAAAATGCGCCTGAGATTTCAAAAATAGATTGACGGGGAAAAAAGTTATGACTGCAAAACCAAAAAGTTAATTTTTTGAGATTACTCTGTAAACAAAAAAGATGAGGAGACAATTCGAGAATTGTCTCAAGATAATGAGATCATCTACATGCCTCAACTGTCAAAGTCGAAAAAGATAAGTTTTTCTTCATTTGGGATACTTTTGAAATTTCCGAAATTTTGCACAGTTTCAGGTAACACCCTGTAGCGATTTTATGTAAAGAACCTCACGGAACCTCATGTTTTAAAGAATTACGAGATTATAGCTGAAGGACTGGGCTAGCGAACAGTGTGATCCAAATTCAAATCGTTCAAAGCAGAAAAAAGTTATTCATATTTATGATAAATTAGTGTTGCATAGTTTATTACATTTTGTAACCATACAAGTTTTGTTTTCTCGTGATGTACGTACAGTGCCTTTTTATTTGTGTACAATTTTCAATCCAAGCAAAAATGCGAGAATTAATGCAGGAGGTTATAGTTTTTAAATTTCCAATACAACTGTGAAATTATCCCGTAATAGGTCAAGGAGAAATTCGACGAGATTTTCGATGCCGTGAAATACAATAAGTGCGTGGACAATATTAGGAAGATCGTCAAGGACAAACAGGCTCACCTCAAGGTGCTCCAGGAGAGGCTGGATCACAAGAAATCCATCAAGGATATTGTAGACAGGGAGAGGGCTAGGTAAGAGTTGCAAAAGCCCAATTTTTTTACATTTGTTCAGGGTGAGCCAAATTGGACACTTTTAAAGAGAAAGCCCAATTCTCGAATTGGATAGAAGAAAAATCAATCAAAGGAAAGGAGGTATTTTTCGAAAATGTGCAGTTTTCACTATTGAGTTTGTTATGAAAATTGCCCCCAGACACCGACATCCCTTTTCTGCTGTCTAATTCGAGAATAGGAAATTTGACTCACCTGTGCCCGAAATTTCATCTGATTTCAAAGACTTTGAATTAATTTGATGTAATTCTCCACACATTTCATTAAAAAAAAGTAACTCAAATATTAATTCGTGAGTTGAATTCAGAAAAAAAAATGCTGAGTGTAGTTCAGTTTTCCGGAATGTACATAATTTTTTTTTGTATGTATAGGCATGAAGAAAAAAAAGAAAATTTGGGTAAGGTCGTCGAAAGAATTGATGAAAAAAAGACAGTCCTGAAGCCAATTGAGGATCGTTTAAAGGAAATATTGGATTTGGAAGATTCCCTCGGTGCCCTACAGAGGGAACTAACTGGAAAAGAGGCTGAAAAGAAAGGTAAGTTTAGGTAAAAAATCCCGGATTTCAACATTGACCTTTTCAATTTAACTTTGAATAGAATCATAGAATCATTGCTAGGCAAGACTGAGTCCAAAGAAAAACTCCTTTTCTGTTTCAGGTCTTGTGGATCAACAAACGACAATAAAAAAGAATATCTCCTACATTTTCGAAGGATCCGATGAAGATTTAACACTAAAAATTAATTCTTTCCAATCAGAGGAAGCTAGTGAAACTAAGTCAATAAAGAATTTGGAAATAAAAAGGAAAGAAGTAGATAATGACACAACTAAAATCAATAATAACATTCAAAGAAAACAAGTTCTAATTGGACAGCTGAAAGAAGAGCAGAAACAATTCAATAATAAAATAGAAGATAGCAAAAATGCGATTGAAAAACTTAGGGTAAATCTAGAAGTGGATGATTTACAAGAGTTGAGTAGAGAAGATGGAGTGAATGAGTTGAAGAAGGCCCTTAAAACAAAAGAGGAAAATTTCGTTACTTTGATGAAACAAAGAGACAACGAGGAAAAAAGTTTGCAAACTCAAATAGATGAAGTAAGAGAGAAATGTGCAAGTACCAAGCAAATAATTTCATCCAAAAACACCCAAAAGTTGGAATGCCAGAAAAAACTGAGGACCATTACAAGCAAACTAGAAGAATTGGATAGCTCTGATTCTCAGCTAAAAATAGTAGAAAACAAAATCGAAAATCTACAAAAAACTTTGTCAAAACTGAAGGGCTCATTGAATGAAGAAGAAAAACTTCATGAAATAGATGAATTGAAGGAAGACATCGAAAAAAAGGAGCAGTTTATAGAAAAACTTGATAGAGAATACAGGCTACTTCAACAAAACTTTGTTACAGAACAAAGACTAGAGACAGAAAACTCGTCCATTGTGGAAAAACAGAGCGAAATAAACAAAATCAAATCTAGACACTCCAACAATTTCCAGAAATTGTATGGCGACACATTGCCAGAAAGAAACTTCCGAAAATCGGTGCTAGAAATCCAACAAAGGCAAGACACCAAATACAAGGCAGCCACCTCAAAAATCAACAAACTGGAGAAGGATATCCACTCCAAAGAAGCCACGTTGACCCATCAGGAGAAAAGTCTAGACAAAGAACAGAAAAACCTCGCCCTTAACAAGCGAAAATTCTCCGAACTATGCAAGGGCAGACCCTTCAAAGAAGTCCTCGACGAGTCCTATACAAGAAAGGAGAAACTCCAAAAGGACAAGGGCCAATACAGCTCGGCCAAAATAATGTACGAGGCTTTCATCACTAAATTCGAACAGGAATCTCCCTGTTGTCCCGTCTGCCAAACCGATTTCGCCAACAAAAAATCCAACGTTAACCAGATCGTTTCGCAGCTCAAAGGTAAAATCAACAGGATCCCATCGCAACTCATCCAAATATCAAGCGACTTGAAGAAAGAAGAAGAGTTCTATAATAAGTTGCAGCAATTGAAACCCGTGAATGATGAAATAGAGCTGCTCACGACCAAAAAAATCCCTGAATTGCAAGAGCAGATCAGCAAATTGAAAGAGGAAATTGAAGATAGATCGATGGAACTAGCTGCTGAGACAGTCAACCTAGAATCTCCGCAAGAACTTGTTGATATCTGTCAGAAAGTAATAGCTGACGTCACGTTATTGGACCAGTACACTTTAGACATAAACAAGGCAAACAGCATCATAGCTGACTTGCAGGAAGCTATCGTGAAGGTGGCCTCCAATCGGTCCAGACAGGAAACTGAGGCTGAAATCGACATCAACAAAGCGGAGCTTAGTAATGCAAAAACTAGGTATGATTCCTTGAAGAAAATTGTTGACCAACATAGAGACCGTTGCCAAAACCTGAACAAAAACATCCAAACTGAGATCCAAAAACAAATTGACATACAGAGACTCGTTCAGGAGAAGCCACTGCTGGAAATACAGAACACTGAGGAAACAGAAAAAATGGCCGTCCTTTCAGTGGAAGTGGAAGAACTAAAAGAGAATTTGAAGACCCAAGAAAAGCAGTTGAGGGATGCCAACGAAGAACGCCAGACAGTAGTTCAAACGAACCGTAGGTCAAATGAGGAACACAGGAAAGAAATTGCCGCAAGCAAAAACGCCATGAGTGAAATCGAAAGGTTATTGACTAGTATTCAGAGATATGAAACGAACGACAACGAAGGAAAGCTTGATAAAGTTGTCGAAGAACTAGCAGAACTGAAGATGGAAGCAGCTAAGCTGGAGGAAGCTAAGAATAAGATACTAGAAGATATATCTAATAAGAAAGAAGCTCTGGCTAAAAAAGAAAGCGATTTCAGAGCTCTTAAAGATAACGTGACTCTGCGAGAAAAACATAAGCTCGAGGAAAAACTCAACCAGGAAATAGCGAATCTGAAGAAGAACATCGGAGGTTACAACTACCGACAAGTCTACGATGAGAAACAGAGGATATCGTCGGAAATAGACAAACTGAAGCGGGAAATCAGTTCCCTAACTGGTCAAAAAGAGGAGATAGAAAATCAAGTGAAAGAACTCGAACGCACCCTTAACAATCCCCAAAACAAAAACGCATTCAATAATTACAAAAAACAATACTACGAGCTGATGGTGAACAAGAAGGCTGTTGAAGATTTGAATACCTATGCCATCGTTTTGGAACGGTCTGTGCTGAAGTTCCATGAAGAAAGGATGGTCCAGATCAACCGTACGATCCGGGAACTGTGGAGGGGCATTTATAGAGGCAACGACATTGATTATATCGAGATCAAAACTGATGAAAACATGACTGGGGGTGCAGGTAAGTGTGCTTTTTAAATGTCATGTCAATATCAAATCTTGTTATATTGTCACAACTCAGATGTTGACCCTCCTATAGGTCGTAACTCAGCTACTCGCTAGATTTTTTGAGGAGGTTTTGATCATTTTATCACCCAACCACATTTATCCCCAAATAAAGAGTCAAGACAATTTTCGTATAAAATTTGACATTTATTGATTAAATGGAAAAATCGTGGATAAATGCTTGTCACATGACAGGTTAGCAAAGAAAAAAGAACATAATGGCTTCCCAATTGAAACACAACGCAAAACAACACTTGAAAAAAAACAGTACTAACATTACAACGTCTAGCATGGGGTTGACCAGCAGGATTATCTTTATTATTATTCACAAGAAACATACATGTTTATAGCAGGGAAAATTATGAAAGAGCAGCTAAAAAAAAAAACAAAAATTAGATAATCAGATAATCATTTTTAAATCATATACATAATACATATAATGTTGTTTCTTCTAGAGACTGTTGAATATAATTTCTTGAATTGATTCAGGATGACATGGAGAGAATCAAAGACATAAGAATTTTTTCAGTTCTTTTTTGAATTTTTCAACACTTAATTTTTTCTTTAGTCTGGCAGGTAATTCATTATAGAGAATTGTTCCATTGTATAAAATAGATCTTTTACCGATATCTGATTTAATTTTGATGAGAGTTAACATATCTTTTTGTCTGGTTATGTGTTCGTGTTTATGACTATTGACTTCAAAATTCAGATTTGAATGTTTATAATTATATTTGACGGAATGGATGAAATTCAATATTTTGAATTTGTAAATGGAGTTTATATCTAACAATTGCCTAGGTTTATAAAGATTTCTTGTTGGTTCCAAGTAATCTAGAAATCTTTAGGATTGAAGTCGGGGAGACGGCGAACAATTTCAATTGACAATTACTAATGACTTGTATTGATAATAATGATGCCTTATCGACTCGGGTGCTATTAATATTGAGAATCGATGCTAGGTTCACAATTTTCCGCAATGGGAATGGCCGTTACCTTTCGATATTGCTTACCTGGATATTATCGCACGGTAAGCGTTTTCTTGCAAATTTTAAAGGAACTGATGTCTATGAACTCCGCTAACCTGATCTAAACTACGATGTACTGGATGTTTCAATTTGGAAAAGTTAATCTATGATAAATGATTTTGAAATGAACGAGTTTGAGTGATGTTAATTCATAGGCATTTGTACTTCTTGACAATATCGAAGACTGGAACCTTTGGCACGACAATACACCACACACTGTTTTATCACTAACCAAACCGATTTTTCACACCAAGACACGTGTTTCGCTAACTATGTTAGCATCTTCAGGAGAAGATTGAAACTAGATGCTCTATCCTAGTGGGCTACTTATATACTAGTTATATGTCCACCCAACCGTGAATAGACAATAACGGCCAAGTTAATGTTATTCATGGTTGAGTTCACATGTTATATTACCAAACTTTTAAAGGGCTGAATGGGATAGGTCCATCATCCTTATTCATCACTCTATTACTTTTCTTAAATATCTCTAAGCTTCCATATCCATCTAATTTTCTAACATTATTAACTTGCTTAACTAATTTGAGGTTATTAATATGTGTGTTATATGATTGTGATTGAACATGTGTTCGTGCTAAGATGTGATAAAGTAGACATAAATTTAAGTTATCACGCAGGAATTCTACGACTTTTCAAGCGGATAAAAACAATCCGAGAAAAATCCCAATCCCTGTCATTACCAAGTACACCAGAGGTTTTCAAAGACTCAGGTTTTGAAAGCGTTTATCAGCGAGTTTATCAGTCTGGGTCAAAGTTAGGCAATTCATTAGTTGGTCGTAAAGATAAGGTGAACACACTTGAAAAGTTAGGAAAATACGAAATTAGTTGTAATGATTGTGATAAAACATATTGGCCAAACCAGGCTTCCCATAAAAACAAGGTTCAAAGAACATACTTCACAAACGATGAGATTTCCACAAAATTCTCAGTCATATGACATGTTTCGCTAACACAGTAGCTTCATCAACTGAAATACCGATACAATGAAAAATAGTTTTTTATTATACAAGGGAAAAAAGTAGTACATTTTAGCTCCAGGTTGTGTTGTCTCCCGACGCGTAGGGAGACAAAAAACCGTGAGCTAAAATCTAATATTTTTCCCGTGTATAATACACTATTTTTTTCTGTGACAGAAGAAAGTATGAATCAATATTGAGGAGATATTACATTATTTTGAAATCTGAAAATTATCGACGTGAAATTTTATGTTTTTAACAATAGGGACACCTGCGATGTAGGCATCTTTATCATTCTTTTGAAGTAATCAAATATCTGATCTCACTTCTGTCAGTCTAATTCTGTGATTTGATTTCAAAAAATTGCGAATTTAGGGGTTGTTTAGTAATATACGTAACCGCGAAGTCGATTGGAAGATAAAAGGACTTGCAGTTCTTTCTGGGAGACGGTATTATTGATTAATTTTTCGGAACTATAGCACATCAACAGTGTATATTTATGTGATATATATCCGGGAAAAAGCACTCACTTTTTTCCCACGGGAAAAAACATATTTTTTTCATTGTACCTGTATTTCACCTCAAAATTTGCAGCTCGCTCTTGGACCACTATAACCCTATGATAATGAAAAAAATTATCAATTTTGCTGATTGTAGGTGACATTCTGATTGATTTCAGGCAAACGTAGGAACTACAACTACAAAGTAGTCCAAGTGAAGAACAACGTGGAACTGGAGATGCGCGGCAGATGCAGCGCCGGCCAAAAGGTCCTTGCCTGCCTCGTGATCAGGATGGCCTTGGCCGACACTTTCAGCACCCACTGCGGCATCCTGGCCTTGGACGAACCCACCACCAACTTGGACAGAGAAAACATCATAAGTTTGAGCGATGCTCTCTCGAGGATTATCACTGACAGGGAGCGTGAAAGCAACTTCCAGCTGTTGATCATCACTCACGATGAGGAGTTCTTGCAGAGTTTGACGCGCAACCAGAGTTTGGACAATTATTGGAAAGTTAGCAGGAACCAAAACGGGTTTTCTAAAGTCGAGAATCTGTTATTGTAAGGCGGTTCGTTTGTATTCTAATTACTTTGAATGTTTCATAGGAATGTCATGAAAAGAAACAAATTTGTTTGGTTGTTCAACTACAGATTGCAAGGTTGATCCATCACTTGAGCTAATTGACAATTTTATCGAGCTAATTGCAAGATGTATCTTGAACTTGAGACACCCTGTCTAGAATAATCAAGGAAAGGGAGCACAAGAGCAACTTTCACCTGTTGATCATCACTCATAACTAGGAGTTCTTGCACAGTTTGGACAATTATTGGAAAGTTAGCAGAAACCAAAACGGGTTTTCTAAAGTCGAGAATCTGTTATTGTAAGGTGGTTCGTTTGTATTCTAATTACTTTGAATGTTTCATAGGGAGACACTGAAAAGAAACAAATTTGTTTGGTTGTTCAACTATAAATTGCAAGGTTGATCCATCACTTGAGCTAATTGACAATTTTATCGAGCTAATTGCAAGATGTATCTTGAACTTGAGACGCCCTGTCTAGAATAATCAAAGAAAGGGAGCACAAGAGCAACTTTCACCTGTTGATCATCACTCATAACTAGGAGTTCTTGCAGAGTTTGATGTGCAACCAGAGTTTGGATAATTATTGGAAAGTTCGCAGGAACCAAAATTGGTTTTCTAAAGTCGATATTCTGTTATTGTAATGCGGAAGGCACTGAAGAGACTGAAGGAACAAATTTATTTGAACGTTCAACATTAATTATTGCAGGCTGTTTCATATCACTTGAGCTAATTGGCAGATTGAGAATTTGCAATTCAGGCTTAATTGACAAATCGATCTTTCAATTGATGGTATAATTGTATGATTTGTTTTGTTAATTGAGCTAATTACATGATGGATCTTGCAATTGAGACTTTTTAACAGATTATTCTCGCGATTATATTACTATTTCGATTAAGTTAACTGCAAGATTCATTGGTCAATTAAACATAAGCCACCGAATAACCTTGCAAAATAGTGCAATTAGTTTGATTGCAAGAAAAATCATCAGTTATTACAGTTAATGCAAGACCATTCTTACAATCAGGGCTTAATAAATGTTGAATTAGCTGCTGATTATCACTCATCAAAGAAGAGTTTTAGCGGAGTTTTTCGCAGAATCAGATTATATATAGGAGCCAGAATCAGAACCTTATTATATTGTAATGCGTGTTCATTTGTATTCTAATTTTTTCGAACATTTAATACAGACACTGAAATACTGAGGAAACAAATCTTCTTGGCCGTTGAACTATAGTTATTGCAAGATTATCCTCATCACGGGGTAATTGACAGAACTAACTTGCAATTCACACTTAATTGATCTTGCAATTAGTAGAGTAATTGCATGATTATTTTGTTGATTGAACTAATTCGAAGATGAATCTAGCAATTAAGGTTTTTTTAGCAGATTATTCTCGCGATTATATCATTATTTCAATTAGTTAATTGCAAGATTCATTGGTCAATTATACCTAAGGAACAGAATAACCTTGACGATAGTGCAATTAGTTAAATTGCCACAGAAATCATCATTTATGACAGTGAATGCAAGATTAATCGTACAATCAGGGCTTAATTGATATGTTATGCAATTAGTGGAGTAATTGCGTGATGATTTTGTTGATTGAGCTGATGGCAAGGTTTATCTTGAAATTGAACCTGGGGTGACAAAATAGTCTTGTCTAATTAATTTAATTTTGCAAATATTCATGTGTCAATTGAGCTCTTTTCAACCTTGAACGAGAGAGAGAAAAGTTCTCTCCTCTTCCATCTTTCTCTTCGATGCTACCAACGTGGCCGCATTGAAATGTAGAGAGGCCTGATAAATCTTTCCTTGTCTAACCTCTAGTCTGCGCCACGAACTATTTTCGATATTATAATGACGTGATATGTCTATGTCATGAATGTCATTGACTAATGACATTTCGAATTTTCAAAATGAAATTTTGATTCATATTATACTTATTTTGACATAATTTGTTCAAATCGTTGAATTTGACACTCTGCTGAATTGAAAAATAGTTCAGCGGCACAAAGTAGATGTTAGACAAGGACAGATTTATCGGACCTCTCTATATTTCAATGCGGCCACGTTGGTAGCATCTCAGAGAGAGATGGAAGAGGAGAGAACTTTCCTCTCTCTCGTTCAAGATAGAAAAGACCTCAATTCAGAATTTTCTGGGAAATATTCGATATTTTTGTGCCATGGCACCGCTTTTTTTGTTTCCAATAAAGATATGATGATTGTCATCTATCTGATTATTACTTACCAGTAGTTTTAGATGTTGAGTGTTATGTTGCTTTTATACTACATACAATGATCTTGAAAAAAATGTCGAAAGTAGTTTCCTGTGGATATCCACATGATTTTTATTTTTATGCTGTTAGTTTTAGGATTGAAACTGTGATGTTCGCCATTAATCGTTTATTGTTACATTCCCTCGATATGGAAGTAAAAATATACTGTTTTCAAGTTACAATAAATATATTTGACACATATAAAACTTATCTTCTGTCCGTTTTTCCCACTCCTCTCTTTCCGGAGAACAAATGTCTGGGCATCTTGGTGCCGATGAATCTGTCGGCTTCTCCCTTGAGACCGTACCTCTTCACCTTCTTGCTGATCGCCCTGTGAGCGATCTTGGCCAGCTTGTTCTTCATAGCGACGTCCTTCACTCCCTGTTCGTTTCTCGGCGGTTTCGATAACGATCTAAAAAAAAATTCGTATGCGGTGAAAAATTGGCACGGCGACAACCCTGTAACGAGATGTGGCAACGCAGGTGTCAAATAACGGTGTACCGGATTAGAGTCCCTGTATATACCTTAGGCAAGAGTCCGGACACAAAACTGACTGCCGTTGGGGTTTTTAATATTTTGTTTCCCCAAAGTCGTCCCGCCCGCTTTTTTAATGATTTCGAATTTCTGTCACTGATGCCACTTTGAAATTTTATGACCGCCAAAATTTAGCATTTTAAATTATTTCAATGTCCTGCTGCCTACGTAATTGCGATAATTCATTAGAAAAGGGATTAAAGTTATTCAGTTTTCCGAATGATCTTTTAAAGATAATGTCATGGATGAATGCATTAAACGTCCAGAATGGAAAATTAATTTCAAGAAATCCGCAGTATGTGAGGTAAATATTCAAATTTACTTGTAAAAACAGTACGAAAAGGATGAATTTTAGGCCCATTTGGATAGATTCTTTCGAGCTGATGTAGACGTTCAAAAAAAGAGTTCCGTCGTCATCGTATTGGGAATAACTGAATGATACGATCGCAGAGAAAGAAAATGGGAATGAGATGATGCGAAAAAAAATTGAAAGTTTGGAATCAAAACTAGAAGATTGAGAGAAATTGTAATGTGTTATGTCATCAGTCCACGGTGTTTTTGATTCAGATCAAATTCAAAATTTACAGGTGAATGTAGACTGCAGGAACCTGAAGGATTAGAGTTAACTGTGGGAAGGTTCAATAGACCTTCATTTTCGGAAAATAGGCACAATATCTACATTAAACTATAATGTACCGGAATAAATTGAAAGGGTTGATAACAAATACATATTATTACCTACTGAGAAAACAAATTCAACAGTGGTGAACTATTGAGGTCCAGTTGTTCATCAAGTTAAACACCTCTTAGAATTTTCGAGTTTGTTGATTTCTAATGATTCAAAATGATTGAGTTTTGCTCCTTTATTTTCTACCTGTAGAATTTCGAAATTATCATCAAAACTATGGTTTTCTTCTAAAATATAGTTGGCGAATGTTGAATTTGTTTTCTTTTTCGAAAAATTCATCTTATGTTCATGAATGCGCTGATTAAACGTACCACCTGTCTGACCGATATATACCTTAAGACAAGATCCACAGTTCAGTTTGTATACCCCTGAGAAGTTCTGTCTTTATTATTTTTGATAAACCTCCCTAAGCTAATTTTTCAGTTGATGATCCGAAATAGGTTGAAGTTCTATAATTTTGATTATTATTTTTGATGGTAGGATCAATTTCTTGAATAGCTTTATTATGGAGTGTTTTAGAAAGAATACTCTGTATCAAATGAACGTTGTATCCGTTGTTTGCTGCAATCTGTTTCATGATATTGAATTCTCTATTGAAATTTACTTCTGAAAGAGATACTTTCACTAGCCTGTGTATTATACTATTATATGCTGCAATTTTATGTTGATGAGGGGTGTTAAATTATTATGAATAGTTATATCAGTGTGGGGAGAATTATGAAAAATTGTCAAATCTAAGGAATTGAATGACTTTTCTGTTTCTATTTCCATTGTGAATTAAAAATCTTTTCCACGCTCTAAGAGAATGAGAACTTATTCCAATCTTAGATTTGATGCTACATTCAAAGTAGACCCCATCTTGATGACCCAATAGATGCTGGAGTTGAATAAATGTTTTCGAGACTGTGGTTGACTACTCAGATATAGAAATACCGGGTGTCTCAAGTTATCATATACAGGGAATAGCTCGCTTATTTGATATAATTGAATAATTCAAAAACTGCATAGAATCTCATTGACCTACCTTCCTTATAACATTCCTTATTTTCAGATGGCACCCCCTGTATATTGTAATTGGAATACAACGATAATGTATACTTGGTATTATTCATTGATAAAAACAAAAATATAAACATTTAAGTTGAGTTACTTAATCATCCTTATAAAAACATACCAGGTATATGCTATCGTTCTATTCCTTATATATAAACAGGGGGTGCCATTTGAAAATAAAAAGTGGGGGATAGCTACCAGAGAATTCTCAAATGTAATAATTTTGTTTATAAGTCATTAGGAAGGCACTTCAATGCCATTCAATGCAGTTTTTAATTTTTCAATTATCTCGTCAAATAAGCGAGATATTGCCTGTATACGATAACTTCGGACACCCGGTATACCTAGAGTTCTTAAATGTACTTGACACTGCTGTTTTGACATTTTTTATTATACAAGAAACGTCAAAACAGCAGTGTCAAGCACATTTAGGAACTCTAGGTATACCTAACTAACTCATCTCATTGTCTCTGAAATGAGTATTTTTTTTCGGTTTAATCGTCGATGTTAACAGACTGACAAATCCAGATATATTTCTAGTTCATAGTGCCAGATTTGTCAAATTATTATTTTTCTAAAAGCATGCATGTTTACCTAGACCTGGTGAGAGAAGTGCTCTCGCTGGTATCCATTCTCGCTCGTTTAGCAGGGGTGCCCATGGAGCGGCTTCTCTGCTTGGTTTTGGTGAAGTTGGCGTCTCCGGATTGTGACAGGTCGACCCCCAGTTTGGCCATGTCGTCACGCAGTCTCGATACAGAACGATCTCTAACCTGTCAGTTCAAAGATGAAAATACACTATGGGTTGCGTGCAAGAACTGTCAGATGACCGACCGTGGAGGCGAAACATTGAAGCACAACCTCACTTTTCTTGTTTGTTTACAAATGATTGAGATAGTTTTTCACAATTATTTTGGCATACGAATCGTGTTTTTCGGCTATTCATCAATTCGCTCATGCCGTCACATTGTGCTGTTGTAAAATGCACACAAAATGCAGCGAGAGACGAAGGAATACGGTTAGTACATTATGATTTGAAAGTAAGTACCTACTGTAGTCACTAACATATAGTTTTCATGTTGAAATTTGGTAATTTCTCTGATTTCTCATCGGAATTCCTTCTGCTATAGGAGCTTATAGAAATACTCGTGGAATTTCTAAAAGAATGCAAGAAGATTGGATTCATGCAATCAAACGGGAGGACTGGTCTGACATGCTGACGAAATATGATCGTGTGGGTTGTAGACATTCTCAACCTATTGGCAGTATTAGCTTCTATTGCAGAAGTGGCAGAAGGAATTTTGATAAGAAATGACAAAATTTCATAACGAAAACTATGTGAGATTACTATCTATCTGAAAAATCATATTCCTTCGTCTCTCGCTGCATTTTTTGTGTTTTGTACAACATGGTACAACAGTACAATGAAAAGGCATTCTTTAATTAATGATTAGCGCAAAAAACACGATTCGTATGCCAAAATATTGTGAAAAACCATTTCAATCCTTTGATTCCTCTGTGGAAAAATAACAAAGTGAGGTTGAGTTTCAATGTTTTACAGAAAAGTGAGGTTGTGTTTCAATATTTGACCTCCAGGGTCGGTCATCGTGCACGCGACCTATATTTTGTTCTTGTTGCATAAGTTTTTTTTTATTTTGTTTCACAATCAGTCCGCGAACAGTGACCTGTTATCCGAATTTCCAGAAAAAGTACCTAAACTTCAATGACCAACCCGTTTTCAAAGGGTTCAAGTAATTTATTTTTAAATACTGTGTAGGTCCGATTTTCAGCAGTACAATAGTAGATTGTTTCATTAGAATCAAAAGTGACACTTTGAAAAGCGAATTTTGCATTTGCGATAACTTTACCTTGTCACAATTTGTGTCAGATACTACAGGCACGAATTCAATACTAAACGTGGATGCCGTGCCATATGTATGCAATGCAACAAATAATCCGTGTGGTGTGTATATTCTACCTGCATTTACAGACTAGGTTTATTCAATTTTCGAGGATGTTCGAATAATAGTTTCAATATAAATACAACTACAGACTGAGCCATTTGTGTATTCTATTGAATCGATGAATTCATTTGGACCAGATGTCAGCCTTGATAGCAAATACCACGCCAGTGCCAGGTATAGGAAAAAGAAGTGGAAAATGTTAGGTTAGTGAGCATATCAACAATCATAATAGCGATTATATATTTCTCTCCATATTCCACTATGTTTATCTCGGTAATCAAATGAAGTTGAACAATATCTTTGTGTGAGAAAAAAAAAAGGATTGCTGGCCGTGATTATCCAAAAATTATTAAATCAATCAGATCCCCCATGAACTATAGATCGAGAAACAATGTGAATCTTGAAGGCTTTCATGATCAAATCAAAAATACTTGACTATTATTTGGTGTATTTATATCTCCAGCATGGGTATGCAATGCCAAATCTGCCGCTATCGGGAATTAATCAAGTATTCGTCCCAACCCAAATAACCAACAATAACACTGTTGTTTATTCTTTATAATTCCTAGGAGCTTAAGTTCAACATTAGCTCCTAGTTACTAAAAGTGTTGCCTAGTAACATACATGTTGTGTCATTAATAAAAACGTCAATTCAAGAGTGTCAAGACTGTCAAATTGAGTTTCATTTGTGGAATGCATTGTCTTTTGTCACTATCAATTATAAGTTTAGTTGACAAAATGGAATATTTTTGATAATATAATGAACCTTTCAACAGATCATAATGAAAGATAGAAATACGATGAAATTTTGACAGTAGCGTCGACATTATTTCCATTTGGCATTTGACACCTCTATAGCCAACTTGACAATATGAAATGTCTAGTCCTTGAAGATATGTGCATGAAATCAACATAGATGGCTCTGATTGGTTCCGGGAGAGTCGCGTTATCATTAGCTTCCGTTTAAAGAACTTGCCGACTTTTATTTTCAGAATATAACATCTGCGTCGATTTTCAAAGTTTGTTATTTACCTTGGAGCCGGCAGTCCTCGGCATAACCGGCTTCCTACTCTGCTTATTGATCCTAGCCTCGTCCTTGATAATAGCCTTCTTGTGCCTGATCTGCAGCGCCAACTTCTGAATCTCCCGCATCGTATCGTCCAGCTCGATCTTCGGCACCACGTACATCCCGGTCTCCTCTCTCAATTCTTCTTCTCTCTCCAACTCAGCCAACTTCTCGAAAATATCCGGATCGATGTAATCGGCCACATTGTGCCCCTCCCAGATTTCAGGGATGATATCGTGTCGTTCTTCCTCGGGTATGTCCGTGTAGTGCTTGGCGAGGTCGAGCACGTAGTCGTCGCCCTCTTCGATCTCGATGTCGCGCTCGAGTTTGCGCTTGCGCTTCTCGGCGGTGAGCTGCTTCTTGGCCAATACGGTGTCGGGGATGCAAGGGGGGCGGGGCTTGTCGTCGCGCGGCTTTGGGAGGGCAACGTGCAGCCGGTTCAGCACTCCGTCGACCTGGGGCAGATGACAGGTTTATACGGGGTGAATTAGTATAGGCGACAACGCTCACTTCTATGAGGAAAATGTATTCCATAGGGATGCAGTTTGAACACAACAAAAAAAACGCCAGCAATTTTTAGGTACAATTCTATAATGGGCGAGTGGACTGATACTGAATTATTGGCATTCAAGTTTTTTGTTATGTTATGTTATGTTATGTATATACAAATACATTTATGACAGGTCACATGATAGTATAAACATTTTTAGTAAAATAGATATACAAATAAGTACAATAAGAAAAGAACATATTATATAGATAAAATATGGTATAGACAATAATAATTCATATACTAATTAGTACAAAACAACATTTTTTTTTAAATTAGTACACAATTTCATCAGATGATTAGAGCATAATAGCATAAGAGAACGGCTGGATATGTAATTATTTTATTTTTTCTGTGACGGGAAAAAAGTTTGGCATTTCATCTCTGTTGGCAGGTTATAAAATGTCACTTTTCATAAATTACTTTTTTCCCGTGGGAAAAAAGTGAGTACTTCTTTCCCGGATATATATCACATATATATACCTACTCTGTTAATGGCTTTTGTTGTGCTATAGTTCCGAAAAATAAGTCAATAATACCGTCTCCGAGAAAGAACTGCAAGTCCTTTTATCTTCCATTCGACTTCGCGGTTTCGTATATTACTAAACAACTACTGAATTCGCAATTTTTTAAAATCAATCACAGAATTGAACTGACAGAAGTGACATCAGATATTTGATTACTTCAAAAGAATGATAAAGATGTCTATAAAACGCAGGAGTCCTTACTGTCAAAAATTTGAAATTTCACGTCGATAATTTTCAGATTTCGAAATAATGTAATATCTTCCCAATATTGATTCGTCCTTCCTTCTGTCACAGAAAAAAATAGTGTATTATACACGGGAAAAATATTAGATTTTAGCTCACGGTTTTTTGTCTCCCTCCGCTACGCGTCGGGAGACAACACAACCTGGAGCTAAAATCTACTACTTTTTTCCCTTGTATAATAAATAACTATTTATTCACGATTCAGTGAGTACATTATGTAAATCCTGTTTCATGAAGTTAGTATATTCCTCAAGAGAGTAGAAGGCATTTTCAATTAGACATGATTTGATAGTTTTTTTTTTAATTGAATATATTCATATCTTTGACTTCAGTGGGAAGAATATTATATAGGCTATAGTTTATAGAATTCTTTTTCGATTTAGTGAGCCGATATCTAGGCAATCTAATAATGTTTGCTCCTCTGGTATGGTGATGAACGTCTGAATGCGTTGTTAATATTGGAGATTTTTTGTGAATATCATTAAACGTGTTCCAGATGAAAAGTGTCGGGAGAGTGAAGATTTTCAATTTCTTGAAAAGAGGTCTACAAGATTCTCTATAATTTGCATTGCTCAAGATTCTTATGGTCTTTTTTTGCTGTCTGAAGACAGTAGAAGCTGCCGATGTGTTACCCCACAGTGAAATTCCGTAATTGAAGTGGGACTTAATTAAGGAGAAATATACCGTTCTGAGAGTAGTAGTGTTAGTGATGCGTCTTAGTTGACGCAAATTGAAAAGTGAGATAGATAGTTTCATATTCAGTTGCCAACGTGAGCCGACCAATTGAGCTTATCGTCCAAGTCAGGCCCAATAGTTTTACTTCTCCCTCTTCTTGTAAGGACGTGGTAGTAGCGATAAAGAGTTTCTAGGTTTTTTCTTTGTTCAGTTTCAGTTTGTTGGCTTTTCCTCTACTTCGTCAGAAAGAGAATTTAGGTAGCCATATTCTTCATGAGCATAAGTCAATGTTGTGTCATCGGCGAATAGGATACTATTGTATGGAGTCATATATGGACATAGGTTATTGATGTAGATTATGAACAGTAAAGGGCCCAAAACAGAACCTTGTGGAACACCAAATCTCACATTTCTGAATTCAGATAGTTTGTTGTTAAAATATACAGCTTGAAAACAATTTGTTGAATATGATTCAATGAGGGTAAGAGTTACACCTCTAATTCCATAGAAGCTGAGTTTGTCAATGGAGATGTCATGAGAGACACAGTCGAAGGCCTTGGATAAATCGCAGAGAGTGATTCCCATATGATAGCTTTGTTCCAGACCTTCTACTATTCTCTCAAGAACACTCATAGCTGCCTTGTCAGTTGAATGATTTTTCCGAAAGCCAAATTGTGAGTTGTTCAAGACTCAAGAAGTTGTTGTTTTCAATATACTTATAGTGAGTCGATGTTGGAAATGGGAAGATAATTACCAGCTTCGGTTTTGACACCCTTTTTAAAAATCGGAATAATCTTGGAGAATACACCCGTTAGGAATATTGTATTGATAAGGTCAGTTATAGGCTCTACAATAACATTCTGCTATTAAGATCATGGATATCTAAACATGAAGAACTGTTCAGAAATAATATAGATTCATGAACATCAGTAGTAGTGACAGGTTGCATGAAAAAAGAGGAAAAGGGCGAAGGAAAGTTTTTGTAAGTCGCCAGTTTCAATTCTGTCATATCAGGAAGAGATTTAATGATGTCTTCTGCTACATTGGTGAAAAAGTCGATGAAATCAGAACAGGACAGATTATCTGCCATATTTTCATGTATTCCATCGGCATGATTCCTCTCGAAGTTTATCAACTGGGTCGTTAGGAACCTAAAATAGTTTTTACAACACTTCTCACGCGTCTTTCATGCAAATGATAAGTCTATGCATTGTTCAAAATCGTTTAATTTCAGAGCTCAATTCAAATGTAACGTCATGGCCGCCATTTGGCGATACGTCAAATGATAGTGACATCAGTTTTTATGCTGTATTGTTATTGGTCAGATAATCTTCCATTTCCACTCATGAAGCAAGGTTGTCAAGTCACCAATTATAATCAAGTTATCAAACAGATGTTTGAGTTCTGTTGTTAAATAAAACATAATAGAAGGAGCTCATGACATTATAGCTCATTCTTGACTTTTTCATTCTCCATAACAAAATATCATGTGAATGTTGGAGACTTGGCAACATTGTGCTGAATGCGGAGAACTGACAAGACCACGGCCACAAGGTGTGCGCGGGGTTGTCACGTTCACCGATCCAAATGTCCTCTGGTGTGAATTAATATAATTATTATTTACACAAATTCATCATAAGCCATATGCCACAAATCATAAGGGAACATTTTGAGACAATTGAATTTTTATTGCTAATTAACTAATATTTCTGAAGATCCCAATCGTATTTCAACACACGGCAACTGTGCTATGATCTACCCCTACTCATGATCGTCAGTTTTTACTGGCGCTGAATTTCTAGCCGTTTGAAAATTACTGTGGCATTATTGATGATTTTAGCACCTAAAAATCGACCGGAATATTCTTAATAAATATGTAATTGAAAGGTATTTGAGTGATGAGTCTATTTAAGATGAAAAAAAAAAAAAATAGTTCACTCGCCGATTATAGTCCGTTAATGGATTCATACATAGTTATAATTCATGTGATTATATTATAACTAGACAAGTTCTGATCAATACATTTGCTAGCTTACCTTGTCTTATTTATACTGAAAAAAGAGTTATTTCCTTTGTCAATCCTACCCGCAGACGACGTTTTTAGGAACTTTGTCTGCTTATATCTCAGAAACTAAGCATACAAAACTTTTTTCTCAGATACTTTTCCTATGATCCATCCCACAACAACATAATAAAAATTTCAGCTAGTTCAACCCAGAGTCAATTCCCCATGTTTTCTTTGCCATATACCAGGTGATACAAAAATAAGCAGCAATCCAAAATGACATGACAATACTGAAATTTTGCAAACTCTAGTGGTTCTTATAATTCAATCATTTTTTTTTTTAAGTTTTATTGTTGATTCCATTCCATGTTATTATCACAATTTTTTCTATGAATACATTTTCAAAAATTGATCTATTGTTATGCTCTAAGTGATATCAACAGCATTGCTGTCTCAATTGGATCATAATAACCACATAGTTGGTTGAAATATCACAAGTTTCACCTGCTCTTTGCTTCTAAAATTTAACTGATTTCCACAATACCATGAAACACTGAGCAAGGGAGTTTTAAACTCATAGGTAAGTATACCAAATCATTCAGGTAGATTGCATAAACCTTGGTATAAACATAATAATTAAGGGTATGGCCTAATTTCATAGCTGCTGAGTGAACCTACAACTTACTTGTTGTCATGTCAGAAATTGTTGTTTGTTGTTGTTCTAAAATTGTTCTATAGTACCAGAATATGTTCAGAGTTTATTTCTCCCCAATGGCACTGTGCCATTGTAATGAATAAAACAAATACTTTGATCATACAATAACTTACTTTCTTAGTTCTCATTTTCTGATCAACCCTGTAACTCAGCAACTTCTCACATGCCTCAGTTTTCACTTCCATCACCCCAGTATCTGTGACTGTTGACATTTCCAACAGGGTCAAATCCTTATCATCCTCCAGCTCTTTGACTACAGCTCTACGCTCTGCTGGTAGCTCATCCAATGTGATGATATCAGATTTATTGGCAACAACAATGAGAGGCTTGTTAGCAAAAAGAGGTTTGATAGACTCAAACAGTTTGACTTGTTCATCAAGGGAATGCCCACACTGTTCAGAAGGGTCCAAAAAGTACAGGACACAAGCTCTTAGATGTGCCAGAGCAGTTACAGCTTGCATTTCAATAACATTGCGCTCTTCCAGTGAATGATCCAGAATTCCAGGAGTGTCAATAACTTGCCACCTGAGATATTTGTAATCAGTGTGACCTACATAGAGGGATTTGGTGGTGAAAGCATAAGGTTGGACTTCTACATCAGCTCTGGTAATTTTATTGATGAATGATGATTTTCCAACATTTGGAAACCCACATATAATTATGGTTCTTGTATAAGGATCTATGGATGGTAGACGAGCTAAATGCTGCCTAACTTGCTCCAAGTAAGTGAGATTAGATCCCTGCCTCTTCATTATGGTAGCCATACGTCCAAGAGCAGCCCTTTTGAGCTGTTTACATCTGTAGAGTGAGTCACCATATTTCAATAGTCTTACATAATCTTTTGCAACATTGTCTATTAGATGTCTAGCTGTATTTATTTGACCCAGAGCTAGCTTGTAGTGATCTTTATCATACAAGACATTCATCAAGTCAGCATAGAATGGATGGACATCATCCAGTTTAGGAAATTCTGTTAGGATTTGGGTAAGTCTATCATGGAAACTCTGCTGGGAGTATTTCACTTTTCGCATATAGAACGCTCTGATACGGGTGATTTTGTATTGCTTGTGTACTACTGTGGGAGTTTTCCTTTGGGTTTTTGACAATATTATGTCAATGAAGTCCTAAAAATGTACAATGTGAAATCATATTTAAAAAATTTAATGGAAGCTCACCTTTGCTGTAGGAACTACAGCAATTTTCTTGAAGTTGTACAACGACATTTTGATTGTTTATGAATTCGTCGTTTCAATAATATAAAGAGAATCTGTACAAAAACAGCACCATAACACCAACACGTGCTCTTGGGAACAGTGAAAGTTGTCAAAAGAGCAATAAACTGAGGTTAGATTTTCACCTTTCTTCATCTTCTTCTTTTTAGTCTCTTGTCGGTTTTTCCATACATACTGAACATATTCAGCAAAATAATTCATTCTCTGCCATAGTACTTTGCTACGAATAATAGTGTAGGAAGAAGGGTAGGTGAGATGGCGAGGTGAATTCTGTTCTAAAGAAAAAGAAAGAAACTCATCTTTATTATTCTTTATGGATTCAGATTTTATTATTCTTTATGGATTCAGATTTTTCTCAGAAAATGATCAGAAATAATTATTGTTGTTTCAGATTAGATTGAAGTAGCTGGATTTTGGAGATTTATTTGGATTATTGGCTTTTTTCTTGAGTTATTTCTTCAGTTGCAAGCAATCATACAAGATGTACAATGCAAGAAATTATGATGATTATGAAGAAAGAAACAGGCAAATTGTGTTGGAAGGTACAGCAGTACTGGAGCGCACTGGCGACAGTTTGGCTAGATCACAGCAGATAGCTATAGAAACGGAAGGACTTGGAAATGAAGTAATATCTGAATTGGGAGAACAGAGAGAAGCACTATTGAGAACTAGAGATAGATTGGAAAATGCCAATGAGCAACTGAGTACTACCAAATCTGTGTTGAACAGAATGAGTAGAAATGTTGTATACAATAAGTTGATATTAATATTGATCATTGTTATTGAAGTTCTTATTTTAGCTGCACTTTCATATTTGAAATTCTTCAACAAGAAATAATACTTATATTCTATTTATCAATGTCAATGAAATTAAAAGGTATAAATTAGTGAACATTTTATTTACATTCTTTCTGAAACCCTAGAAGCAACACTTCTGAGTTGTCCATAAACTTTGGAAGGTGGAGAACCTAAAATCAAGTTACAAATTGCTCTTCTAGCCAAAGCAATATTCTGAAAACTACCTAAAATATGTATTTTACTATCTGCTAAGACAATTCTAGTCTTGGTGACATTTTCTATTGTGAATTTTGTCCTTCCACCTTTACCAGCAAGTCTTCCAATTGCTCTTGATTGATGATCACCTTTTAGAGTTTTTACATCTTTTATTTCAAAGGTCTCAACAAATAGATCATCCAAACGTAGGAGGGCCAGTGCATCTTCCACTTCAAAACCATATACAAAAGCCTAAAACTAATAAGAATGAAATACCTAGTCAGTTTTTAAAATGGTGAACTTTTAATAACCTTCACAAAGTCTGCAGCTTTCTGAAGATTAGCAATGTCCTTAGTATCTTCATAGGTCTTTATCTCCACATTTCTACTCTTCAAGTTGAATCTAATTTGTAGTTGTAGATGTTCTACAACTGGAGTGAATATTTTCAACCAGTTTTCTTTCAAAGGTGTATATCTATGGGTAGGCACAGGAATTCTTCGTACATCATCTTTGGTTTCCGAAAAAGACTGGGTCCTCACTTTCTTCGATTTTGGTGGTCTATTTTTACTCCTACCTTGGATGCCATTGTGAACTTCCACTTCCATATCAGTTTCTTCTGTGGGAACAAATCTTTTGGTCCCTCGTTTTGGTTCAAAATTGTCAGTGTCTATATTAATATCTGTCATCGTGAAAAGGTGCTGAATTCTCTTTTAATACCCCAGAATATTTATTTAACTAATAACAATGAAAGTACGTGCACACTGCACATCCCGATTCTCGAAGAAAAATAATAAAAGGAAGCCACACGTGCTTCGAAATGTCAAAAAGGTATGGTTTTGGTATTGGGATTGTGTCTTGTCCTGTGATCTTGTCATGTCAAAATTAATTTTCAAGAAAAGAAGAATAATATATGGTTTTAGTTTGATAATAATGATAATGCTTAAATGTTCGAAGACAGAAGAAGAGTTTTATGGTTATAATTCATAAAAAATCGAAAACAAAATATCAACATTTTATATCAGATAATGTTGATTGGAATGGGTTGTTTTTCAATAAATAATGAACTCTGATTATGAAAATTGTAGTAACAAAGGACCATGGAAAGGGAACTGAGTTTGGAAGCAAAATACCAAAAATTAGCAACAGAATACTCTAAAGTGAGTTCATAAATCCTAATTCCATGAAGATTTATGTACCTACCAGTATTTTAAGAACATTTATTACATAGATACTGATTTCAGGTTCGTTCTCAAGCAACGGTATTAAAAAAAGCTGTTCTAGATGAGCAGAGCAAAAGTACTGAGCTTCATGAAGTTCTCAAGAAACATGAACAGACAGTTAGAAAAAGAGACCAAGAGATTGAAAGCCTAACATTCAGAAATGAGCAGTTAACAAAACGTATCATAGTACTGCAACAAGACTTACAATTAAGTAGTACCAAAAAGGGTAAAAATAGTAAACCAGTTGAAGTTATTTCCAATACTGATATGGGCATTCTCAATGAGGAGTTGCAGAAGAAAATATTAGAGAATGCTCAGTTTTTGAATTCTGTAAGTAAACATCCAAGTTTATTGTGAAATGCATCAACAATGAATATTATAGATTGCTGATAAGGACTCTGAAATATTTGAGTTGAAAGAAAAAATAGGGAGTCTTGAAGAAGTCCTGTCTTCATGTCAGAAAGAGTCATCTACTAAGGAAAAATGTAAAAATGATGAGGTAGACAAGTACAAAATGCAAATACAGGAATTAGAAAAAAATATAAAAGATCTTTCATTGAGCAGTATCCAAAGAAAGAAGTCTGGTGATGAATCTGAAGAAAATGTAAGTGGTACTCTATATTGATTTCAATATTTCAGTAGCAATAATTCCTAGGTGAAACTGTGGAAGTCTGAAGCAGAAAGGTGGAAAATGGAATGTGAACTCCTCAAATCAAAACCTGATTCAAATGACCAGCTCAACAGCTACTATGAATCTCAACTCAGTGAAATTTTAGAGACAAATGTTCTGCTGAAATCAGAGACCCAAACAGTGTGGGCGGAAAATTTATCTCTTAAATCTAGGTTTGAAAATCTGACTGTAGAGCACATACAGCTACAGAATAACTTGAAAAAGAGTTATGAAGAGTTAAAAACTACAAATAACAACTATAGAGGGCAGCTTGATGCTATGACTGAGCATTTAGCTGCTCAGAATGAAAAAATAACTAAACAGTGTGATGAAATTCAAATTTTGAAGCATAGATTATCAGCAAAAAAATGAGGGTCAATATCAAATTTATGTTGATGGTTTTATGCCTTGTAATCTATCAATACCTATCATGTTTTAACTTTCAATTATTTATATTTTATTGTTGAAAGATATTGAATTTTCTGTTTTTATTAAACTACTATTCCATTGAAACATATTTATCTTCTATTGTATATAATTCAAAAATACACAGACATGAATCAGTATATTTATATTGTTTTTTATAAGTTAAGTTTTAACTTAGGAAATCAAGTGAAAAAAGACTATCAGTTTTCCCTGGATTTGGTTTTTATAGGCCAGATCAAAATTTCATCATCATGATCTGCAAGTGAGAAAAAATGAATTTGTGGATGTGGACAGAAACAACTATGAAATTTTCACCTATTTTATTATTTATTTTTTTATAAACATCTAAAAATGTCTTGGAAAACAGAACAAAAATAAGTAGTAACAACCAATATACAGCCAAACTGGAACTTTTTAAACCTATTCTGAAAAATTGTCACGTTTTTTAGTAAAGAGAGTCCAGATAAATTACAATTACATTACCCAAAAGTATATAAAATGTCCTTTTCTATGAAGTTTCACCATGTACAGTTAATAATAAATAACATTGGGGCAATGACCATACAAAAAAATCTATAGGAAGACACCATCATTCAATACCCAAAGTTCTCTAGTCACACCAGAAGAATTCTATCCTGGCATATATCAATATTTTTAATCTCAAATGTTCAGTCCATCTAGTAGAATTTTTTGGCCTGGTTGTCTTTACTGTCCCTGAAAGAAAATACAAAATTCAATGATACAGGTATGGTCAATATACAAGGAGTTTACTTAGGACAGTGCCCGCCAAATTGGTCATGTCATTTAAAATTTTTTAGGGTTATGCCTTCAGTCACTACTTGTCATAGTGTCCGAACTCGGTTGTGTGTAAGAACTGTCAGATGACCGACCCTGGAGGTAAAACATTGAAACACAACCTCACTTTTCCTATTTGTTTACAAGTGATTGAAAACTGAAATAGTTTTTCACAATTATTTTGGCATAGGAATCGTGTTTTTCGGCTATTCATTAATGTACAATGCACAAAAAATGCAGCTGAAAAATCATATTCCTTCGTCTCTCGCTGCATTTTTTGTCAGTACCGAAACGGCAGCGGTACTTTTGTACTGAATTCGGTACCATTCGGATACTTTCGGTACGTCAGTACGAATATTTCTAAAACTCATGATATTCAGTACCATTTCTGTCCTGAAGACATCTTTGCTTAGATTGAGACAATTGAACAGGAAGATAGCAACAACTGTTTTATACAGTGTGTGACGGTGAATGTCTGACAGAGGCTTCATTTTCTCCTGTTGACGGGCAGTGTGTGATGTGCGATGACGGATTCACATGCTGGCTTTTTGCTTTTTGACTTACAGCGTATTCTCATCTTATTGGCCGTTTTGTCAGAAAGTGCGTGATGTCAAGGTTATAAAGCTAGGAAGTCGGTGTCAAAACCAGTCAAACCACACTGACTTTTGGCGAAAAAAGCTCAGATTGTTTGACAGAACCACATAAATATCAAGAAAATGAATATAAAGGACCCAACCTTGTAAAGGACATGTTTATTCGCGGTTTCCAAGGTCATTATGATATGACGTCGCGATGACGTTAAAACTGGGAGAAAACATTCCTAACTGCTGGCATAGATTCAAACTTAGACATGTTTTCCCCCAGTTTCAACGTCATGACTTGTCCTTTTTTATTATTCTATGCAGAAATGAGTTTACCCTTGAAGTCATCATTGCTTTTTCGGTCTCTTCTATGTGTTTCATTTGTTGCCATCTCTCCAACGTTTCAGTACTTTTACTATGAGAATTTCAGTACGGAGCAAAAATTGCAAGCGGCAGCACTGTTTTTTGTGCATTGTACAACAGCACAGGCATGCTTGAATTAATGAATAGCGCAAAAAACACGATTCGTATGCCAAAATTTTGTGAAACACTATTTCAATCCTTCAATTCTTCTGTAAACAAATAAAAAAGTGATGTTGTGTTTCAATGTTTCACAAAAGGTGGATATATGTATTCACAGAAGAGTGAGGTTATGTTTGAATAGTTTACCTCCAGGGTTGGTCATCGTGCACGTGACCTATTACAGCCACAGAATTAAAACACTATTTGAGTTGGTATAGTTTATCCAAAAACAGTTGCAGAATCTTTCGCCGCACCTGCAGTCATTTCAAAGGAAACTTCAAACACGCCGACGCCGCATAGTGCGAGATATTCTGCAATTGATATTGGATATACTTTACCTACCTACTCTTTTTTAAATGAAAAAAGTTGATTTGATTATCTTTATCCAGAATAAAAAACTGTGATTGTATTTCCATTCCGATAACTTGGGTTGAAACAAATTCAGATTTAAACAACTGCTGTGGGGCAACAATTGAAATGACGCCTCTCTGAGCACGAGTCAGTGCGCAGACGTGTCAAGGGGCTATCTCCGCCATATTTGATCTCCTATTTAGGAACACGACTGGGATTTGTTATTCCCTTCTCCTCTGTTTTAGTTCTGTCATTACAGCAAAACTGTAAAATACATATAGGTCGCGTCCAAGAACTGTCAGATGACCGACCCTGGAGGCAAAACATATTTGTTTACAAGTGATCGAAATAGTTTTCCACAATTATTTTGGCATATGAATCGTATTTTACCGCTATTCATCAATTCGCTAATGCCATCACATTGTGCTGTTGTAAAATGCACAAAAACTGCAGCGGAAGATGAAGAAATCCGGATGGTACATTATGATTCAAAAGTAAGTACCTACTATAGTCACTCACATAGTTTTCATTTTTGAAATTTGGTTATTTCTCTGATTTCTCATCGGAATTCCTTCTGCAATAGGATCAGGTAATAGAAATATACCTGAAATTTCTAGAAAAATGCAACAAGATTGGATTCATGCAATCAATCGTGTGTGTTGTAGACATTTTCAATCTATTAGCAGCATTAGCTTGTATTGCAGAAGTGGCAGAAGGCAGAAGGAATTTTAATAAGGAATGACAATATTTCATAATGCTAACTATGTGAGATTACTATTTACCTGAAAACTCATATTCCCTAGTCTCTTGCTGCATTTTTTGTGCATTGTACAACAGCACAATGCGAAGGCATGCTTGAATTAATGAATAACGCAAGAAACACGATTCGTATACCAAAATATTGTGAAAAACCATTTCAACCTTTTGATTCCTCTGTAACCAAATAAAAAAGTGAGGTTGTGTTTTATTAATTCACAGAAGAATGAGGTTGTGTTTCAATATTTTGCCTCCCGGGTCGGTCTTCGTGCACGCGACCTATAGGGACTCTAGACATACCCACCTGTACAGATTGTACGCCAAGATGACGGCCAGCTGGCCCGCAGCGATGACCAACACCATAGTCACCGATACGCAATTGACGCTCGGGCAGCCGCCCGCCTGCTCCATCTTCAGCGTCACCTGCGCCAAGTTCTGCTTCAGCTGGTTCATGCCGTCGCGCATCTCCGAGATCAGCGACTGCGTGTCGTAGCCGACGGACTGCACTTGCGCAGTCGGCTGCCTGGCCTGGTTGTTCAAAATGGTGTCGGCGCGTTGCTTCAGCTCCAGCACGAATTGCCTTGGAAACGATGGACGATCAAAAATAATACACACAAGCAGAACAAACAGAAATGAAACAATAATAATAAGAGTAAAATACTGTTGTCACAACATATAACAATGCACTATCAACAAATTCTCCTATCTCTCGAATAGGTTTCAGGTAGTGAAAAATGAAGGAGTGGAATCTGACAAAAGCCTTATAACTGTAGGTGTCCCCCAAGGGTCAGTTCTCGGACCACTTTTGTTTTAAATGTACATCAACGACCTTCCCCATATAGATTCCCCTGCACGATTCACCCTCTTTGCAGATGACACCACTATCAGCTATACATTTTTTGCCGTCGTGGCTGTCTGGCCTGGTTGTTCAATCCATATATTTACTATTTCTATATATGGCGCATCGCCTATACGATATCTCAACAAAAATGGGACCAAAATGAGAGGTACTTTTTGAATCTATAAGGACGGAAAGTGAAGGATGGAAACAGCCATATTGGTTTAACAAGTTTCGTATTATGTTTTCCCTACGTCGGCATCAACGCCTATTGGTCGATTTCGTTACCTATAGAGACAGAAGTTGGTCCCGCTTTGAGGACAGCTATGATTCATATATGAGTAGTAGATATATGGTTCAATCAGAGCCTAGCAATAGCACCACTATATGGGCAATATTGCCACGGTGGCAAGTCAAGAGCGTATAAAATTGTTTTGTAGTTTGTTTTGCCAGAAGCGTGGTGGTCATTAGAGTAGTGTACCTTCCTCCGAGCGAAAAGACCGGGGTTCGATCCCCACTCCAGCAAAAAATTTGTTTTCGAAGTAATTATTCGAAAAAATACTATGGAGGCATTTATTGGTTAGGCCGATAGTGATTCGCTATTTCAATTGTTTCTTCTCAGGATCGGCCGGAAATTTTCAGTTTCTGGCGCCCAACGAGCGAGGCGCAATATTAGCTCGCTATGGTGCTATGGCTAGACTCTAGTTGAGACATGTTTTCCCGTAGTTTTTATGTCATCGCAACGTCAGAGGCTACCGCGAATATATGTCATTCTCCATTCGATTTATATGTCAACATCAATATCAACTTTTAATTAGGAACATATTATTATCATCATTGTCTGCTTAATAAATTGATTGATTGAACGACTAACTTGATTTCGTTGGCCCCCGACAGAATCAGATTCTGATTCGTGAAGACCGCGTCGACCTCGTGCCTTCTTATGGTATCCACGAAGCCGGCCTGCGGTGCTGGTGGGCCCCCTTGCTGAGGGGGTGCCGCAGCCCCCTGATGTACCATCGCGCCCTGCTGCGAGATCAGGCTGAGCGTCCTCTCCTGTCTGCCGACGATCTCGTCGATCTTCTTGTTCAGGTCGCGGATCACCCCGTAGATCTGGTTCTGGCCCTGGAAGATTTGGCGCAGCTCCCTCTGGGAGTCCGATTCGAACCAGTCGTCCATGTCGGGTTCTTTATTCTGAAGGAAATAGAAGGTGCCAAGGTATTAGTCCACACCCCACAGGATAGAATCTGAGCTACTGGACTGATAGGCGATTTAAAACGCACGATCGCATGAATCCGTTTTGCCCAAACATGCTTTTGCAAAGATATTTGAAAAATCACTGAAGAAAAGGCTTTCTTGAAAAGGAATATTCTCAGATGTATGTTTATATTTATGTATATATGTATGTATGTTATAGGTCGGGTGGAATCTTTCAACTCAATTTTGAAGTAGATATCTTCAACCGATTGAGCTGAAATTTTGTATACACGTTTAGTTTGGATGACAATGCACGATAGAGTGTTTAAAGTTATTCTAAATCCAAGATGGCGGAATGAATAGTTGTTATTCATGCATTTCTGAAATATTGGAATCAAATGAAAGGGCTTGCCGAGAATAATTAGAAATTCAATATGGAACACTATTGAAGTTTTTTGTGCTTTCCTATAATGAAGGGGTTTGCTGAGAATGAAAATGCTGGTTTAAATAACTGGATATTCAAGCCTGTAACATCGGTTGATTAACTTTGACTCGTATAATTTAGCGAGATGGTCGTCATCAGCATTGGTCTGTAACCTATCTAGGAGAACTAAAAATTAAAAATAAAGAATAGTTTGATGCAAAGCTTTCATTTGAACGCTATGAAGAAAATAAAATAGAATGTTCCTTTGAAATTTTAAATATCAACTTATCTAGCTAGACCAGTGAATCTTCAAACATCAAGGTCAAGTTACGTCACCCACAACACATGATATTATTTCTTCCTTCTTCATATTGAGAAACTAACGAGTGAAGCGATAACTTAGTGGTCTGTGTATCAGACTTCCAATGTAGTGACTGGGGTTCAATCCCTGCAAGGAGTCATTTTTTTTTTAAATTTTTTTCACTTAATTAATTTTTCAAAAATATACTTTTTAGGAAAAAGGTTAATTTAGGACAAGTTAGGTTTACAGCACTTTCCTTTTTCATGCAGAAGAGGTATTCTACTTCCTCATATAACCTTATGTCATATAAACACAAATAACCTACTGATAACCTTGAGGTTTAAAAGATTCACTGGTCTAGCTAGACGCTTGTCTTTCTTCATACTATACTTGACTTCTAATTTCTCAAGCGCTTTTCCGAAAAATATACTTTCAGGAAGAAGGTTCATTTAGGTTAGAATGTTTAAAAAAGTAGTCTCCTTTCTTATGCAGAAGGGATATTTTCCTTCCTTCCTGAAAAAAGAACTACTGATGAGGACGAAAGTGAATTGCTTTTCAGTAGACTTGATTCTGCGCCAATTAAGGGTATCGGCTATTAATATGATGTGGAAACAGTCGTTATTCGAAATTACCGTCAATAAAAGTGATTTGAATTTATCGCCATTGCCAAAATCGCTCTGATTGGAACAAAATAAGCAATACGCCGTCTTGCAGATATTCAAGTAACTAATGGAAAGAATGCCCACAGACAATGTATATACACAAGTAAAACTAGATAAATTATAGCAAATTCTGAGAATTGACCAATGTACATTTATATATAAACTGGTTAATACTCAATTAAGAACGAATATTGAAATGAGTCACAGGAATCACACACACAATACAAGACATAAACAGGAACTAAATATAGAGAAGCCTAGAATGAATAAAATTCTTAATAACCCAATTGATAGGGTAATAAAAGCATACAATGAAGTAGGTACCGGAGACCATAAAAAATATTGCAAGTTGTAATAAATATAAGATTTTTCTCAAGAAATGGTGCTTGTCCAAGCTGAAAAAATAATGCACTTGATATAAGTTTTGTGAGTTTTTTTAAAATATATTTCCTTTTTTATTTAGTCTTGAAATATTATACCGAAGATACAAGGGATGTAAATTAAATATTAGAAGTAACATTCAACTCTAGAAGCTATGTATATAGTATGTAATAATGCATATGTGTATACTTATGTGTATATATATCATATGGAATCATATCATATCAAACACACTGATGTCAATATTTTGTAATCCCAAGACCGACCAATCCAGGCCGATTTGGTACTACTTTCTGGTAGTAAAATTGTAATTTATAAAATTGGAATAAAGGATAAAAAAAAGTTTCCATGCATTTTATCAAAAGTTTAGTGGTCATTCCCAATAAAAAATAAGCGTACGCCACCTATTGGAGTTCTTGGAAGCTTTCATAGAGGCCTGTTTACTTTGTTTTTATTTGTTCACATTTGTTTTTGTTTATGCTTATTGGTCATATCATCAAAACTGAATCAAAACAAACCCCTCAGTCACTGACTAGTGTGAATACTCAAAGGTATAATTGAAAGATTTTCTCTCAACTTCAAGAATGAATTTAGTTGCATTTTATTCCCAGAAGTGAAAAGTTTCAGTAGGAATTTAAAAAAATGACTTCCTCACTCAAATACATAGCACATATGTTCAATTTGTCCTACTAGATAGATCAATTATTCACAGATACATCCAGCTTTGAGGACTTTTCTTTCATCATAGATCTAAATTTAGATCTATGCTTTCATAAACGCATGTATCATCTGATAACAAAATGTAATATATTCCAAAGACATGCAAGAACATTGTATTTACATATTGGCTCACTCTGTATATATATATGGCGATTCAGATAGCTAGTTATGGCAAAATCTAGAAGACTATACATAAAATACTGTTAAATTCAATGTAATCAACTAATATCAAGAAAAAACCATAAATGTAAAACTCACCTCATCAGGATGTTCTTTCCTGTATTCCTCTTTTTGTTGCTCCAATTTTTTCTGATATTCTTGATATTCATCTTGTAATTTCTGCTGGTCATCACCAGCAACTAAAAAAAAAGTAATTACAAAAAATGTTTCAATGCCAGATTTTCCACAAAGAAAAAACACCAAGTAGGTACTTAATTTTTACCTTGATTGGTTTGGAATTGCCCAGGGACATGCAAGCTGTTGGTGAGAAAATGAATTACATCATGATCATCAGCTAGTCCTCCTGTGGCAGCAGATACTCCAAAGTGTCCATTTTTGGGTAGGAAAACATTCTCTGCACGGAAGCACATTTCATAGTCTTGATCATTGTTGGTCATGCCATTGTTGAATAATACTGTTAGGGTATTCTGATAGTATTCTATCCTGGCTCTTGTGGGGAAAGGCTTATTACGGAAGTCTCTGAGACATCCTGCAATTTGTTGTGTTGTACCATCACTGCAAAAATTAAATGTATTTAATTGAAAACTACAGCATATAAAGGGATTCTAACAGTTTCTAGGTTTCTTGAATGCTAGTATAGGTTTGCAAGTGAGCTTCACTTACTTTGTGTGATCAAATTGTTTAGTACCATCATTCAAGATGGCCATAATATAAGGGTTATTGTGTTTATTGTCATTATCAAATGAGTCAAAAAATAAACCAAGACCATTCCATCTATCTGATGATCCAAAGACTTCTCCATCATAGGCACCTTTGTTTTGTGTGTACCAGAATGCCTGAAATTTTCATTTTATCAACTTTTACATATAATATTTGGGGAAGAAAGACTCACCAAACCATCAGCTCCTATTCTACCTCTACCAGTAACACGGAAAGAAATATCAACTTCCCACCATTCAAAGCTTAGTGGTACTTTGGTCCATATTGCACCTTTTTGACTTCTCAAAGAAGGTGCTACTCTCACATTCTCCGCACTTGCGATGGCATCTCAAGAAAAAAAAAGTATGATGATTTCTTGAATGGATAATGCAATTTTAATACAGAAAACTAGTTTTATTCATGAAAATTGTATTAATTTTAAACTTTTGGTTCTTTGGTTATATACGTGTCCATTTTGACATTTGTGTCGACTTACGATTATCGTGTTATCACTTTTTTGTGCAGGTTTATGAGGACGTAGATATAAAAACGTTAGTCTTTGATAATTGAAAGATAATACGTGTACCAAATAAATTTCGAGTACTTACTACCGCCGTATTCCCAAAAAGGTACTGAGCCGTCCTTTTGTGCCAAGTATGGTGGTTTGAATGAATATTTATATTCAAATTTTCTATGCACTAAATTAGCTGCTGTGTAATTTATTAAGAATAAAAATATGAAAAACGAATAGACTGAAATATCCATCTTTTTGAACAAGACCATCAAACCATACAACATACAAATCAAGAACTGTCAAAGTGTCAAAATAACATAACCTCGAATAAAAACCACTGTCATCTTTCTCTTCTCTTTTTTATGAATACCACATGTCTCTGTAATCTCTATGTCCTACGGTCCTATAGCAGAAGGAAGGTTAAAAAATTTGAAGAAGAAATCCTTCTGACGCATGATTGCGCTAATGATGTTGCGCATGACGCACGACAAATGACATTCAATTAATACAATTTGTTTTTATTTATGGTCTTGTCTCTTGCCTTGCTCGTAAAAATTAATAATATCCAATTTAAAAGATTTTTGTTTCCTCAAAATGAGTTTGGGAAACTGTTTCGAGAATGTTAATATGCCACAGTGCATCTGGTTTGACGGGGGAGATAAAAGAAATGCTTATGCTTCAATGCTAGCTGGATTATTGGTAATATTTATTTAATGTCTAGTTGGATCGTTTTGATGTTTATTTCCGTATTTTTTTCAGTTTTTTGCTGGTTGGTGGGCTGTTATAGATGCTGCTAGTGTTCACCAAAATATTCTAGCTGGATATCACATGTGTGGTGTTGTGGGGACCTTATCTTTGATCATGGTGAATTCTGTTTCAAATGCTCAAGTGAGGATTTGGTTAGTAGTGTTTTTTTCGAATATTTGCTATTTTTTCATTTAGATGAGAGGAGACGTCTATGAAGGAGGTTGTATGGGCTCTCGTGGTACCAGAATTTGGCTTTTCTTGGGATTTGTAATGGGATTTGCTGCAGTTATTGCATCCTGTTGGATTCTTTTTGCAGATTTTATGAAAGAAGGTTTGTACCTATGGATTTCTCATTTTGAATAATATTTATGACCACTATTTTTTTATATAGGTTATCGTTGGTCTGGAGTTTCCTTATTCCTTCAAAATGCACTTATATTCATTGCATCTATAATATACAAATTTGGAAGGTCTGAAGATGTTTGGGGATAATTATGTGCAGCTTTAAGAGTTGAGTGGTGAATATTGTGATAGTTTAGGGAGAAAGTTCATTTTATTTTATTATTTTGATTTTTATAACAGATGTTATAACTATAACACTCACACTAGAAGTTTCTTATTCAGGTTTTTGCTTGTATTTTCTTAACTAATGTGAATTCATGTAGTTCTACTGTAATATACACTGTATTTCTTACACTTCTGACCAAGTCTAATGTAGTATCAATGGTATTTTTCATCATTAAAGGAATATAATATATAGAAATATATTCTAATTTATTAATTGCTGAACCAAAGGATAATATAATTTGCCCATGCTGATGCTGCACAGTTCTACAGAACTCAAAAAATGCGTATAGTTCTGTGGAACTGTGTATGCTTCTGTCTTCTGATGCTAGTGATGGTTTCGGCAAAGAATAAAATGACTGTTGAACAAATTGGCACTGCAAGGGGTCACAAGAAGTAAGGACTAAGTCAGAAAGACAGAAGAAGACGTGTTTAAACTGAAGGGCTATTTGGACTATTTGAAGTTTAAAATGTTTTATTTTTTAAGTCAAAAATGAGTTCTTGTATTTGTATCTTGACATGAACAGTCAAGTTAACCAAAGCACACAAAGCCAGTTTATGTATGAATTTGCATTGAGCACCTTTGGTCAATCCTTGTAATGTATTATATATTTTTAGGTGTTTGAACTTATCTACTGATCTAGAAACCAAAGGTTTTGATTTACAGGCAGGCCAATCATGGATTTACCCCACAAATTATCCCGTTCGAGACTATCAATTCAATATCGTTCAAAAGGCATTACTTGAAAATACCTTGGTTAGTCTACCAACGGGCCTAGGTAAGACCTTCATTGCAGCAGTGGTGATGTACAATTTTTTTCGATGGTATCCCCAAGGAAAAGTTATATTCATGGCTCCCACAAGACCCCTGGTGAAACAGCAAGTTGATGCTTGCTATGATATCATGGCAATTCCAAGGGAAGCTACAGCTGAGTTGACAGGTTTGTTGATGTACTTGGTTCTGGTATTCCTGATTGATGAAGTTATTACTTCAGGTACAAAAGTTATGAATACTAGAGAAGAGGTTTGGAAAGAAAAACGGGTGTTTTTCATCACACCTCAGATTCTAGAGAACGATTTGGATACATTTCAGGACCTGGGGCCAAGGATAAAATGCATTGTTTTTGATGAAGCCCATAAGGCAAGAGGAAATCATGCTTATTGTGAGGTGATAAGAAAACTCAGTTCTTCCAACAAGTATTTTAGAGTGTTGGCTTTGAGTGCCACACCTGGAGGGACCATAAATGATGTTCTGGAAGTGGTACAAAATTTGTTGATTTCTCATCTGGAGGTTCGTACTGAAGAAAGTTTGGATGTGAGTCCTTATGTATTCCACAGAAATTTAACAACAGTTGTTGTACCCCTTGGAGAAAAATTACAGAGTGTGAAGGATGAGTATATGAAGGTTTTGGAGCACTATACAAGAAGTTTAATAAAGTTCAAAGTGATTCAAGGTAACTGTGGGAGTCTGACTAAAGGTAAAATCTTCATGACTATGAAGAATTACCAGCAGAGTGCTAGAGGCACAAGGTAAAAATATTCATGCATTTGTTCAATTGATTTAAGACATCATTAATATTTTTAGTGGAAATTATGGTGAGATCATGAAAAGTTTGAACATCTGTGTGACACTCTACCATGCTTATGAGCTATTAGTGAGGCATGGTCTCAGAAGTTTCCTGACTTTTTATGAAGAGCATATTAATAAACCATTACTAAGAGGTAACACCAGTATCATGGCCATCATGAAGGATGTTGAAGAATATTTAGGGCCAGCAGCAAAGCTGGAACAGCTGCCTGATGGTCAATATCCAGAAGTGGGTCAAATGCACTCCAAAAAATTGCATAGATTGAGACAAAAAAATGTATTTTAGGTGTCAAAAGATGTTAAGTTTGGGCATCCAAAATTTTACAAACTAAGAGATATTCTAGTGGAGCATTTCAAGCTAAAAGGAAACTCTAGTAGGGTGATAGTGTTCTTTGAGTTTAGAGATTCTGTTATGGAAGCTTATGCACTACTCATTCAATCTAAACCCATTTTGAAACCTAGGATTTTTCTGGGACAAGGCCATGGGATTACACAGAAGCTACAGATAAATGTGAGTATTATTTGTCTTATGATGAAACAGCAATACCAATGGATCTAAAATCTACAAAAACAATTAATATTTGGAAAATTAAGAAGACATTGATGATGTTTTCCATGAGCCTTTTTAAATTCTTATATAAATTTGTTAATGTATTGACTATTGACACTAATTTGAGTATATTTTAAAGTTGTTTATTTTTATTATTATATTATAAAGTGTTTGATGATTTGAAAATTTTTCATTGAAATAATAGTCCTGTATGGGATCTCCACTATATCCCTTCTATTTGTTGATAAACATTTATGAAAATTCTTTTACATTGCTATACAGTGAGGAATAGGAAGATTCTGAACAACCCCTAATGTATTTCAATCATTTCCAATGACACAAATGTGCATTCATCTTGAATGTATAAATTAATATCAATGAAAAATAAAGGTATTATTAATGTATGTGTACAATTTAGGTGGTAAAAGCTTTCAGAGAAGGCCATTGCAACACTCTTCTGTCAACTAGTATTGGTGAAGAAGGTCTAGATGTAGGAGAAGTAGACCTGATTGTATGTTTTGACATTTCCAACAAATCTCCCATTCGTATGGTACAAAGAATGGGCAGAACAGGTATATTTCACTAAATTCTTATACTCATATATTTAACAAAATATACTACCATTTTTATGAGGGACAAGAGTTATTTTTTCATCATACAGGGTGATTCAAAATTTGATGTAATTATTTTAAGGACATATTGTTGGGATCAATCCTCCGGAAATGCACCCCCTTCCAGCTACAACTAGTGTAAGTTAGGTGAAAAAAAAAGAGATTATCTAAAATTGTGACTGAAATAAGAAATCAAATCTTCTGAAATTTGGCATGCACCTGTATTTTTAGACATTGTATTTCCTTCTTGCTTCAAAGATTATGTAAACCCTGTTTTGGAGGAGTTAGAGGGGGTGCATTTCACGATATATGTTTACAGGAAGAAAAAGTATTTTATTTCAACAATACATCCTTAAAATATTCACATCTAATGTAGGATCATTGGACCCATAATTCTGTTTTTTTCTGTAGGTATATATTGTTTTTAAGAAATTCAAACATTGGGAACAATTCAGGTACCTACACTACAACTCCCACTGCAGTGAATTTCGGGGTCACACAAAAAAATCTGATTATTTCATTTTGATTCTTCATCACTTTGCTACAAAAAAGTTTTGTTTTGATAGAACCTACCTTCTTCAAGAAACAATCAAAACAGTTTCCAGCAGTTTTTTTCTGTATCTTCATACTCTTACTAGGAACATCTTGTTTCTATTTGAATTTTACATATGTGACTCGGATTTTATCTTTCTATTACATTTTTTAGATTTCGATATTTTTTAAAAATTCTCGAAATTTCTGTAATATTAAAAAAATTGTAAATTCGATAAAACTACTTCATACCAGTAGCTTCATCATGTTACTAATTTTCAATAACTAATTATCACTAATTATCAACAAAAATATGATTTTCTTCAGAAAATGATAATCTCCTCTTCAAAATTCTGTTATGTTTGATTTAGAAACGAAATTCATTTAAATTTATTTTTTCAGTACTGAAAAGATCAGTTTAAATGAATTTCGTTTCTAAACGCTTGACGATATATCAACATTGCATCAAACATAAACAGAATTTGGAAGCGGGTATTATCATTTTCTGAAGAAAATCATATTTCTGTCCATAATCAGTGATAATAAGTAATTGAAAGTAAGTAGCATGAAAAAGCTACTGGTATGAAGTAGTTTCGTGGAATTAACAATTCTTCAAATATTGCAGAAATTTCGAAAAATTAAAAGAAAAATCAAAATCTAAAAGTTGCAATAGAAAGATCAAATTCGGGAAGCATGTGTAAAATTGAAATAGAAACAACTTTTTCAATTAAACTTTTTCGATATTCGAACAAATAAGCCTACTTTCAGCGATTAATTTGAAAAAATGTCACTTTTGACATGTAGCGAAAGTCACGTTACCCCGATTGAGTAGGCCATTTTTCATCTTTTTCGAAGCAAAACCTAACGTCCAACTCGAATTCCAAAATAAGTCAATAATAAAAGTTTTTCCCATATATGATGCCGACTTTATGAATGACACTGTATATTCCTTGTAGGCAGGAAAAAAGAGGGTAGTATTGTCGTTTTGGTAACAGAAGGCAAGGAACAACAGACTCTCAAAGACTGTCTCATACACAAGAACAATGTTGCAGTTCATGTGTTGGGTTCCAGAGAGTTGGCCAAAGGGTTGAAAGAGGAAAGTCCGAGATTGGTTCCCGAGGGGTTGATACCGAAATGCGAGAAGATTTTCATCACCGTGAAGAAACCGATTCTGAAAAAAAACAGTTCTCTCAAGGTGAGAAAATCATTTGATAAATGTAATGTCCAAACTAACCTCTATAGAAGAAGTATTTTTAGAAACATTGTATGTTGTATTTTGGGAATTTTTAACCAACCTTTGCACTAAGTAGTACAGTCGTATTCAATAAAAAGGCGTACAAGTATTTAACATAGAAGATTTCGGCATTCTAGTTCTCGTTGTGTGAAATTGGCTCAGCCAATACTTTGTGTTTTTAAGAGGAGGATACACCATGCATCAGTGCAATGAAAACATGATTTCTCCGCCCCCACTTTTCATTGTTCAATATTGATTTTTTCGGAAAACAAAAAATATGGTGAGATGAAGAATTGAAATATCTAGGTTTCTCTGGAAGCAGAATTTGGAAAAAATTCACCGGTATTCTGCAAAAAAATCATGAACATTGCATTTTTCGAGTATATTCAGAATTTTTTTTTGGAAAAACTAAGACAAAAACTCAAAATCCGCTTCCAGAGAAACATCCGTTCATCCTTTGTGAAGAGCCCAGTATTTTTTGTTTCAGGAAAAAAAATTTTTTAGAGGGGGAAAAGTGGGGGCGCGCGATCCCATGTTTTCCAACATTTCGACACTGATTCCTAGCGTCCTCACCGGAGAATGCTGAAAACTGTGTTTCAATATTGGAATACAAGCTTATTTTGCGTTTTTGAGATTTTACCAGAGGGATTCAAAAAGTAGGGCACATTTACGTTTGTATTCAGCTATCTATATCATTTTTCATCATTTCTGTTTCTTCATCCTATTCCTTGAGAGCTTTTATACTGTCCACAATATCCATACATTATTTTATATTATCGAATGGGAATTATAAGATAATTTTAGCATTCCAGTAAGGAAGTATAGCACGATGTCCGTGAATCCTCCTCTCCGAAATGATAAATAAAAACATCAGATGATGTCATAGGTGCGGTGTGAGGTGAAACGTTTGTCGGCAAAAGGGGAACCGGCGAAAAGCCGCATTTCGGACCATATAAAGATTTTTTTTGAAGCGGGGAATTTCACATAAGTATAGACTTTCAAGGGTAGAGAAGATATTATGTATTATATCACAGTAGAAAAAATCGCCTATAATGGTATTCGTGAAATAAACTTTTTAACCAATTGCGGTAGCGGTAGACTTCGCGAGTGTTCCGAGTGTTTACTTCGAAGTTCAGGTTTTTATGATTCATGGGAAGGATAAATACGAATTGATATATGTAAATATATAATTATATACAGCATGTCTCACTTCAAATGCCCCCCTCCCTCTATATCTCAGCTATTATAGCTATCAATCGTGCGATTCTTACCAAATTTGGACTAGTATGAATTACCATTGATATGAACAGTTTTTAGGAAAAGAAACATCATTATGGACAGTGCCGTGCGTTTTTATTGAAATTTAAATGGGTTTCATGAATCAGGATTTCTTGTAGGAAAACTAACTTACAGTACTCATGTTTTCGAACCTCCATGTGCAAAAATTCAATACTTTCAAAATTCTATAGAATGGGTCAAATTTCTCTCTTCATTATCAGCCCCGAATAAATAATGACTTCTAATTAACCGCAAATTCTGGAACGTTCAATAGCTCCAGTAAGTAGAAAATTATGATTTACATAAAAAGAACAAGGCATAGTTTTTTGTTGAACTCATCATTTCCGAATGCATAATTTTTCCTACTCCCATTTTATAAAAAGCGAATTAATTATCTCGGATTTCTATCATGATACAGATCTTAACCAATGAAGACACGTTCTTTTCATCATGATAAAAAATTTTTGGCCCATAAAAACACGCAGTACTTGGGTATAATCAAGTGGGTCTATGTTTCTATCTCACTTGCTTGAGTTGTTTGACATTTAATTCCAAATGACAATCATAATGACAACGCGAATGCGTCAAAAGTTCATGCAATTCATATACTTATGATGGTGGAGAATGCTGAAATATAAATAGTGAGAAATTATTTGATTTTTAGAGCTATAATTTCTATAGGCCAGTTAGGCACTTTCTGGGAGTAAACCGGCAGACTCGCGTCATGGAAGCACGCGTACCAGTGTAGGTATATCTATTCATGTGAAAACTCCACAAACGATAAGATTTCCACAAAATTCTCAAACACATGACATGTTTCGCTGATACAGTTGCTTCGTCAGGTGATATACTGGTACGGCCGAGTCAATTCAAAATATCTATTTATGTTGATATGCGATGGCGGTTATATATATGTTCTCGAGTCTTGAATAGCGTAATACATGCGTCGAAGTCACCGATAGTCGATCTGATCATATTGTGTTCTCGCTGGGATTACGAAAATCATTCATTTCATTTATAATACACAGGGTGAGTAATGAATACTTCTGATGAGATGCAATTTGGAAGTTCTTAGTCGCAAATGTCAAATTTCTCTATCAATATTTTCATATTTATTTAGTTCATCCTTTTCGTGTATACGTGTAAATATTTCATGAAATTGATATAACTCCATTCAGATTTCCCCGTATTGTCTACAAAATATTGGAAATACTATATATACCGGCCATCGAAGTTGTCACTTCCTACTTGTGGTCCTACAAAAAATAGTGTATGAAACTATCATGATATTGAACTATCAATACACTCCTATATACATGGTTTCCTCGTGATCGATGCATAGAATACTAATTTACGTTCGCCAAAATGCTGATGCTGATACCCTCCACAGAATTCATGTGAAAATTCTTATAACGTTGAAGAACAATATTATGAGGTTCGTTTTCCTGTTGAAAGATGCCTTTTCATGGAAAATCGACCCCGTTTCATTTTAATAGAACCCCAGATACAGAATACCAGTCCAAATTTGGTGAAAATCCCACGACTTAAAACTGAGATATAGAAAGAGAAAAGAGTTTTTTCAAGTGAGGGACGCTGTATATGATAAAAAAAATTCCATCTACTACGATGTGAAATTGCCATTTTAGAAAATATGACTCATTGTAATTAGCTGAAATTTTGCAGCTTTTGCAGCTACGTTTCTTTATCGAAATTATTCCAGATGGCACCTTATGGAAAAAATCCAGATCCGGACATGGGAAAAATTCATGTTTTACTGATTTCTGAAGAGTTCACTTTGTGATCACTTTTCGCGAGAATTCTTATCAGAATCCGAAAGATCTGACGAAATGCCATTAGGACTGCTCTTCATTTTCAGGACACGACACTTTGACCGGTTCAATGAAGAAATATGAAACAAAAAAGTTCGAATGAATTTTCAATTTTGACCTGACTGATGAAGTAAACAGTACTTTCAACTGGATTCATGTAAATAGTTTTTTTTTACATTTTTGTTGGGTAAAAATTGACAGAAAAGAGCGAACGAGAAAAAGCACAGTACCACTAACACTGATTTTTGTGATGATTTGCAATGTTATAGTTCTTGATCGAAATTCTAGATAGATATCAGTAGTCGTGCCTCGAGTCGTGCCCTATTCTTTATTTCATGATGTGACGTGTGATTCTTGCACTCAAGATGTCACTTTATTTTTCAGATGCTGAACATGGAAAAAGTTCAAATGTTTGCAATGTTTAATATCATAGAAGATTTACAGACCCAAGAATATGTATAGGAGTAAAACCTTACTACGGCTATAACACACAATTGCTCTCGTTTCACTGTGCTCGATACGTCAATGAGGTACTTTGTATATCATCAATATTATTTCCGTATCTGATATCACAATGTGTTATTATTTCAAAAAAACCTCATCGCTCATGGAATGTCAAATGTGAGCAATGACACCGCTGTCTAATAGATGAGCATTACTTGACAGGAAATCAAATGGCTACAGGACGACGAAATCGAAAATGTCGCTGTTATCTATTATAGCCGTCGAAAAATTATGGCAGCATTCGCCAATATGGCTCATGCTGCAAACTTTATTCTCGTAGGAAATCACTATCATTCCGTGCTCGTTAAACAATTTACTAATTTCATTTATTACATAACCTGATCAATCACATCACAACGTGTGTAATCGCGAAAACACAAGCGGTCTTTCGATTCAAAGACTGTCAGTTTGGCATGAAAAAATTATATCTGTCGTCAGAATATGAATCGCTCATTTATGAGAAATTCTCTCTCTCTCTAGCAAATCACAACTCCGTTCTGAATATGTTCTCATGATTCTGTCTTTCATTGTTAAATAACTCAATTGTGTTGAAATACCACTCGTCGTGGTGTTGCCCAGCAGCTTTCGTGAACAAGGAAGCGACAGAATTATCTCGAATATTCAGAACATCCTAATAAATCTTCATGCCATAATTTCACCAGTACCCATCGGAATATCAACAGATGTCACGTCACGTCAAATGATGAAAAACACCGCCTATACTATTTCATTATTACTTCATTGATATTTGCAATATTTGTAACGAGAAACAAGTCACGATGTCGATCAAAAACGAACACTTCAAATGACCAAAAAAGCAGTTCTGTGTTTTTTTTATCGACTACTTATATCTGCCGATTTCTATCATAAATTCCGATAAATTCACATGAATCCAGTTGAAATGAGAGAGTTATCAGCTAGGTTCAAATTGAAAATTCATTCGAACGTTCTTGTTTCATATTTTTTAATGAACCGCGATCAAAGTGTGTCGTGCAAATTGAAGAGCAGTTCTTATGGCATTATGTCTGATCTTCCTGAATCTGATGAAATTTTTCTAGAAAACTGATTACAAAATGAGCTTTTTCTATATAACAAGAGAACATGATTTTTTATAATATGCCATCTTGAATAAAGAAACGTCACTGCCTAATTGGGATGAATCATATCTGAAATGTCGGCCATCGAAATCATAATATGGCAATTTCACATAATATATTCGTTATTGAAGGCCAACAGAATCGTTCATACATGAAATCTCAACTTGTTTTGTTTTCCACTACTCACCATTTGGCTATGTGAGTCTCTTCCTGAATTGCCCTGTATATCAAATTTGTCCTATAGTTTCTAAAAGCATCTTCCCCATATAGGTCAATATACAGCAAACTGATGAATATATTCAATAACAATATAATCCTTGTTACGATTTCACTCAAAAGTCGAGAAATATGGTGCATTGATCAAGAGAATTTTGATGAAATCATCGTGAGAAGAAGAACAAAAGTTTCGCATTCATGCTATAAAATGACCCTTCTAACTATCATACAGAAGAGCAGCTTTGAAAATTCACGGCAACTTATCTCACAGCATCTAAGAAGCCTTCGCTTTTCTATATTTCGCTCTCGAATAATCTTGGACATCCCCTCGTATGTCTTCTTCGCGGTAATAAGATGCGCCTATCGAACGAGCGAGGCGGAGATATTTAGTGAGAAAGACGGAGTCCGTTCTGGAATTTCAAATATTTACCTCGTCTTCTACCCCTTAATAGAGGAGAAACTGAAGTATCATCGATATCATCCACTTAAGAACCTATGATTACTCTACTGTCAACAGTTGGTGAACATTCATTCCCGATAGCCCGTTTTACGCAAATAGGATGACGTTAATTTCTCCCTCCAAAATACTTGTACGCTTATTTTTTGAATACGACTGTACTTGTTCTTTGAATGAATTGTGTCAATAATTCCAGTTTTGGTGGTCTAAAATAATTTCTTTCATAAAAAACATTGTTTATTCCTATCTCATTGATTTGGGACAGAATTTTGATTTCCACTACAAAATGTTTTTAATTAAAAGCTTTTATTTAACTTGTATTGTATGTTTGTATGTATGTATTTTCGGGTGGAATCTTTGAACTCAATTTTGAAGTAGAAATCTTCAACCGATTGAGCTGAAATTTTGTATACACGTTCAGTTTGGATGATAATGCACGATAAGATGTGTCACGTTATTCTAAATCCAATATGGCGGACTATCCAAGATGGCGGAATAGCTATTTTTGATATACTTTTACAATATGGGTATCAAATGAAAAGGCTCGTTGAGAGTAACTCGAAAAATGATGTGACGTCATTCTAAATCGAATATGGCGGACCATCCAAGATGGCGGAATGGTTATTTTTAATCTACTTCTACAATATGGGTATCAAATGAAAGGGCTCGTTGAGAGTAATTCGAAAAATAATGTGACGTTATTCTAAATCCAATATGGCGGACCATCCAAGATGGCGGAATAGCTATTTTTGATATACTTTTACAATATGGGTATCAAATGAAAAGGCTCGTTGAGAGTAACTCGAAAAATGATGTGACGTCATTCTAAATCGAATATGGCGGACCATCCAAGATGGCGGAATGGTCATTTTTAATCTACTTTTACAATATGGGTATCAAATGAAAGGGCTCGTTGAGAGTAATTCGAAAAATAATGTGACGTTATTCTAAATCCAATATGGCGGACCATCCAAGATGGCGGAATAGCTATTTTTGATATACTTTTACAATATGGGTATCAAATGAAAAGGCTCGTTGAGATTAACTCGAAAAATGATGTGACGTCATTCTAAATCGAATATGGCGGACCATCCAAGATGGCGGAATGGTCAAATGAAAAGGCTCGTTGAGAGTAAATCGAAAAATCCAGCTAGCGATAACTAAAAATTAAAAAATGAATTAAAAGTAAAAAGAATTTTAATAAAAAGCTTTTATTCAAACGCTCTAAAAAGAAGAAAATAAAATTTTTCTTAATAATTTTAACTATCAACTTATAACCTCATTATACACAATTTATACAGGGTGTAAATTTGAAAACTTCCAATGCGAATATCTCGCGAAAGAAAAAAGTTAGAAAAACGCCGTTTGGCAAAAATGCTAAAGAGTTAAGGGGAACTAGAACCACCATATTTCGGTCAAGGGATGAGTCACCCCGTCGACGCGACACACCATAACTTTGAAATGTCAAATGTCACTACCTCTTTTGTGATGCCTCAAATGAACAGTCTCAGTCAGTAGTATTCACCTGTACAAGACTTCTTTTCCACCCACTACAGGGTGTACGAAAAATATAAAGTCGAATAAAATGAAATGAATTGTGTTAAAAGGATATTTTATTTGATCAGATGTTCAAAATGCATTCCATTCTGTTGTAAGCAATAGTATAATCGATGTTCAAATGCCATTCTAACATTTTGGACACATCTCTTGGAATATATCGGCATTCTGCATTTTATTTTATTCTACTTTATGTTTTCCGTTCACCCTGTAGTGGGTGGAAAATAAGTCTTGTACAGGTGGATACTACTGACTGAGACCGTTCATTTGAGGTATCACAAAAGAGGTAGTGCCATTTGAAATTTCAAAGATGGAGTGTATCGCGCCGACGGGGTGACTCATCCCTTTACTGAAGTATGGTGGTTCTAGTTCCCCCTAACTCTGTAGCATTTGTGCCAAACGGCGTTTTCCTTACTGTTTTAATTAGCGAGATATTCGCATTGAAAGTTTTCAAATTTAGACCCTCGAATTAATGTTTTTCGTACACCTTGTAGTGGGTGGAAAAAAAGTCTTGTACAGGTGAATACTACTGACTGAGACCGTTCATTTGAGGTATCACAAAAGAGGTAGTGCCATTTGACATTTCAAAGTTGGGGTGTGTTGCGCTGACAGGGTGACTCATCCCTTCACTGAAATATGGTGGTTCTAGTTCCCCTTAACTCTTTAGCATTTTTGCCAAGCGGCGTTTTTCTAACTTTTTTATTTCGCGAGATATTCGCATTGAAAGTTTTCAAATTTACACCCTGTATGATCATAAAAGCTTGTCGCGATGATCAATATTTAATTAAATTGTAATTTTGAAAATTTTATCTCAGCAGATTTTACATAATTAAATAAATACTAGTTCATTCACACGCGCAAGTGAATCGCGCACAAACTTTTATGATCATATAAATTGTGTATAAGGAGGTTATAAGTTGATAGTTGAAATTATTAAGAAAAATTTTATTTTCTTCTTTTTAGAGCGTTTAAATAAAAGCTTTTCATTAAAATGTTTTTTTTTATTTTTAATTTATTCAGGATATGTTTTCGTTTGTTCCTATCTTTCATTGATTTGGGACAAATTTTGATTTCCAGTCCAAAATGTTTTTCAGGATATGTTTCGCAGCATCTCTAGTAGTTCATCTGAACCAACATTTTCACCAGACTTGCAAATTGTAGAAATTGAAGAGAGAATTCCAACATCTACATTTCTAGTCACCAAAGGTACATGTACTTTCCTATCATTCAGTAGCATTGAAAATATCATTACATTTTTTGTATTGACAAACATAATTTGTCATACATACACTTTTTTCCACAATACTATCTTTCACAATATATTATCCATCCTGAAAGAATTATAAGAAAGTAATGTAATTATGAGCCTTGTTTTGTTTTAGAATGTTCAATGGATCAGGATTTTCAAATATCAACAATTTTCAGTAAGAGGATAGAAAAACAGAGGAGCTTTCAGGAAACACATCAAGTGAAACATTCCAGAGACACAGAAATATTTGTTAAATTACTCCAAATAGCTGACTCCAAAAGATTCAACATTCCCATGTCACAATTGGGTAAATATAAATGATTCAACAAAACATACAAAAACCTCACTCCTCATTTTTTAGGAGGTACACAGGAGTTACAAACAAAAAATATGAAACAAGCTGATATTAGAAATATGTTTGTGAAATCTCAAAGCTCCAATGATTTCGTGATACCCAGTACTCAGGCACCTAAAACCTCTTTGTCACCTGGTATGGAAGAAAACAGTACATTCGGCTCACGTGAATTGTTCAATGAATTATCAAACTTTTTGTCTATTGAAATGACTGATTTGAACAGAGGATGCAAACTTTGTTTAGGAGAGAGGGATTGTGAAAAATATACTCTTATACGGAAACCTACAGCTAAGTTGAATTGGATAGAACTTGATGAATCTGTATTTTCTACTGTAACTAAAAATGACCTCAAATTATTCCAAAAGTCAATGGATAAAGTAGAAACTGAGTTTGAATTAGAAGATACTCTCGATTTTGGTATCATAAACACACCCAAAGAGCCAGAAGAAGTGATGGAATTGGAGGATCTCATAGATAACAGCATTTTGAATGGTATTTTCAATAAAACTTGTAATTTTGAGGCACCAAAAAGTCTGGACAATCTCATGAAAAAATTCAGCACTTCAATCGCAAATGCAGATCTGTCTCAAATAGAATCACAAACTAAATCTGCCGTTGTGAATGAAAACATCCAAACTGAAAATCAGCCTCCCAATGTTGAGGAAATTCTAGCCTTCTTCCTATTAACATCTGTTGAGGATATTTTCGAGAATTCAAATGATATTGGTAGTTCCCAGTGTACAATAATCTACTCCCCAGACATTTTTGAACCTAGCCCTACATTGCCTACTACAAAAATCGCTACTACTCCCCCAAATGAAGTAGCAACTCTGAGTAGTGATGAAGGTTCTCCCATTTTGGGGACATTCCAAGTGAAAAGAAAGAAGAAGAATCACAGTCAAATCGTCGCAAGGAACTTGATGAAAGATCGCAATCTGATAGTAGATTCGCCATCTGATTTCACCATGAATAAAACGAAATTGAGTAGTACTCCAATGAGTGCATCTCAGAAGGTCCAAGAAAAAATACACCATAGCGCCAAATCAAGTATTAGTACTGAAAGTGACACTACTGCTTTGAAACAAGCTGAGGAACAAGATATACCTCTGAAAAGTACTACTGATTCAAGCTTTCAAAAGACTGATTCAATTTCTGAAATTGAAGATATTTGTGATGTCTCATTCCTTGGGTTAACTGAATTAGCAGAGAATTTCGAAAATAAAATCGTCAGTCCACAAAAACCATTGACTCAAAAAGCCAATCAAGCAAAAGATACTAACCTTTCAGAGATCATTGAATTATCAGATTTCTGTGATTTAGAAGATTTTGTGGATGCCTCATTTGTTGATAATCCACGAAATGGCTTTGAAAAAACTCAAGAGACCCATAAGACTTTGAGACCTCCGTCTCCATCACAAGTAACCATCACCCAAATGATTTCCCTAGTAAACAAAGATAGTGACAGTTTTGAACTGAAAAGTAGTTCAAATGTATCACAGGAACAATCAGAACTTCCTAGGAAAACCAGGACTGATTATATCAAAACTAGTTCTACTGACAGTGGCTGTTTTATATTGAATAATCCTGTGAATACATCAAGACTTAATCCATTTCTTAAGAATAACAATGTGAAAAACTTGCCTGCTGATGGTAAATCAAAAGTACCGCTAGCAAATCAGATTATTGCTAAAAATAAACCATTGCACCTGTTCGGTTCTAGATCTGGTAGTTCAAATGTACCCAAGGACACTAAAGCTGATGTACAGTTGAAAAATAATCCAAATGACGGTATATTAAATGTACCCCAAGACAACCAATTTTTGAATAACACTAAAGCTGAGGTACAGTTGAAAAATAAACCAAAGGGGCAAACACCAAGTGGGCCGTCGAATAGTTCCCAAAAAGAGAACATGGACGCTACTTTGGACATAGACGACTCGGATCTATTTGATTTCAGTTTCAATAATAAGAGGTCCACTGGTAAAAAGACTAATAATGTTTCGCCTGCTAAAAGGAATTCTCTCAACAAAAGTGGCGATTCTCCTAGTTTGGTGAAAAATGTAGACGAGTCTATCAAGAAGTTGTCGCTGAATATGTCCATACAATGTGTTCCTAGTGATGATGACTTTGAGACGCATCCTTGGATAAAACCAAAAGCTAAAATTGTGAAGAAAACATGTTTTGGAGGAGATAAACCTACTGGGCACTGTTCGAAAACTGTCAGTAAACCTAAGAAGAAGAGAAAGGTATTTTAAAAGACTATCAGGCATTTATTTTCATTCAATTTGTTACTTATGAAAATATAACTTCCAGTCAGAAACAAGTTCTGGTATAAGGAAAAAGTTAACAACAATAACAATACAATAATAATATACTCTTCAACAATATAATGTTTGAATTAATCAAATATCTACAAATTCATCTTATATTGGTGAACAGAAACCATTATAAATCATCTACAGTGTGTCCACCTTAAGGACTTACCACCCCTGTAAAATCGTTATTATTCGACCAATTTCAAATTCCAGAAAGTACTATTAGGGAGTTTTTTCCACGAAACTTGATGATGGATTTTCATCATCATAAAATACAGGGTGTCCGAAAAAACGAATCATCATTCTCTTCAAATAGGTGATCAGCAAATGTAGTTCTGTGGTTTTTCTAGAAAGAAATAATCACAAATTATCATCGAGGATTATTTCAAATATACCTGTACCAATTTTCGTCATTTGAATATACAATGTGTCTGAGAAAAAATTAAAAAGGATAGGTAAGCGATATTTTTCATCCTGATAATTCTTCACTCACAATAAAAAGATGAATCAGGATCACTTGGAACATACCTGTACCGATTTTCATCATCATTAAACACAGGGTGTTCGAAAAATCAAATTAATATTTTTGTTGAGTTGATGAAAAAATATTGCCTACTTTTTCTTTTCAATAGTTTTCTCATACACATCGTATTTTTGAATGATGAAAATCGGTACAGATATGTTCAAAGTTATCCTTAATAATGATGTGTCATCAATTCTTCTCATTAATACCACAATACTACATTTTCTGATCACCTATTAAAAAAAAACATAATTCGTTTTTTCGGACACCCTGTGTTTTATGATCATAAAAATCAGTAAAGGTGATTTTCAAGTGATCGTGATTCAGAATCCATCATTGTTTTTTGTGAAAAAAAAAATCCCTAATAGTACTTTCTCAAATATGGGTCAATAAAGTTGGTCGCAGTTGGCCATGATTACAGTAAAGGTGGATATATGTATGGTGAAATAGCTCCCTCTTACAAAACCCTAGAAATTTTTGTAGACCTCTGGCCTACTTGATTATGTCGAATTCTATCAGGCCGTATCAGGTAGTAAGGCCGCGCAAAACTAACGCTAGATGGCGCTGTTCCCGAAGTGAACTTGCTACACAATGGTTGTATTGTTTTGTTGTTTACATTTACGTATATTAATTTGTAATTTAAAAACATTGAGAAAAAGTGATTGATTTAATGAAAAAGACGTGAAATTTTCATTATATCTGTGAAGTATATGTGGCACGATGTTCCCTACGCCATCTACAGTCAATCCGGTGCGGCCTTGCTACGGTGTTTCGCGGTCTACACGTTTTGGAAAGAAACAATTGACAAGTGGTTACACCAGTCTATTTTCATCATGATTACAGTTCATGAGAAAAATCACTCTCTTGTTGGATGGACATTTCGAATACCTATCCAACAAAAAAAGGTTTTTTGAAATCGGTCAGATAATAACAATTTTACAGGGGTGGTAAGTCCTTAAGGTGGACACACTGTATATCCATCAGAATTGATAAAAGTTTTTTCAGTACATATTTGAATTTGAATACATCTCTGCATTTATCAGGTAATTTAACAATTATTCTTGTTTGATTTTTTGTAGAGGATTGGGAGGCAATTTGTAGAAGATGAAGCAGAACTGTCCTTATGTGATGGATTCAATGTTTCTGAGGATGAAGATGATGAAGAGAATCAAGATTGTTATGAACCTAGTTTTGTTGCTGATGAAACCCACTACGTTGATACCCAAATGCACATAAGATATCTCCAGTCAGTCAGGTATTTTTCCAAGATATTGGTAATTATTTCCCTCTGATACAGTGACATTTTCATTGCTTTTCAGGAGTCCAGTTCTTCCAAGTAAATTTAGGAGTCATAGAAAAACAGTTCCTAATATTGATGTGTATTCTCAGGAAGTGGATAGAGAGAATGATACATACCTAGATGTGAGTATTGAAGAATTTCATGAGAATTCAGATAAACATCTTGCAGTTTCTAAGAATATTGTCAAAAACATTATTTTTTCTCCAAGTGACAGTTAACAGAAAGGAAAGGTGTACTTTCTCAGCCTAGGCAGGAAAAGTTTGCTGCTGTGCAACGTTCGAACTAATTTGAATGAAATCGGTAATAAAAATTGACACTGACACAAAAATTACACAAAATTGGTTTTATAGCTTGGCTATGAACTATCAGCCTGTCAGAACTGTAAATCTTCTACTTTCCTGCCTAGTTGAACAAATAACTACACTCAGTTCCAAAAAAAGTGACGCACTTGATATTTGACCTATCTTCTTAACAAAAAAAAAAGGAGGCCGATTTTTATTTATTTTTTATTTGTTGGTAAGTAATGCCTCAAAGCCTCCTTGATGGTGGTGGATTAACTCGAACCATAATTTATTCTAAATTTTTGACTCACCCTGTGTGTTAATTGAGTAATGGTATACAAAGTGCTTGCACCCTATACGAAAGAGGCTTCTTTTGCGAGCATTTTGTTTTTTTGTTCATTGATTTATCTCTATAATTTTCCGAATTACAGCTTTTTTGCTGATACCTTACGCTTATCCCACAAATTGAATTAATTGAAGGATCAGAGTAGTACTCAAAATTGATTGGGTTGTGGCAGGATCACATTGACTTTAAAAAAACAAATGCCGTTGCCATAGCAACTAATTTGTTGCATGCCTCCATATTTGACCATTTGTCGTTGTGTCATTAATTAAGTGTCTTGTTTTATTGACTAAAATTACATAAAATGCCTCAAATAAATCCTGAACAAGTAGCAAGATTAGTTGCGTTAGTAAACGATGGGCGTAGTAAACGTTACGCCGCTCGTGCAGTGGGAGTTCATGAAGCAACTGCTCGTAGAGCAATCCACAAGTACGAACAAACAGGAAGCACCGCTCGGAGAGTTGGTTCTGGTCCGGCCCCCGAAAAACTTCTCCAAGAGATGATCGCTTCTTGAGATTGCGGATTTTACGGCATCGATCAAATACTGCGGTAAATGTTTAGCAAGATCTTCGCCAAATTCGTGATGTTGCAGTAAGTAAGCAGACGATATGTAAACGTCTAAAAGAAGTTAATTTAAAAGCTAGGAGACCTGCAGAAGGTCCCAAATTATTGCCCGAACATCGTGCTGCTAGAAGAAATTTTGTTGCCAATTATGGACAGTGGAATATTCCTGAATGGTCGAATGTCTTGTTTACGAATGAGTCAAGGTTTTGCCTTAACATGGTGGATGGAAGAAAAAGAGTGTGGAGAAGAACTGGTGAACGGTTTAATCAAAATATAATAACAGAATGCGAAAGTTTGAATGGTGGGTCCGTTACGGTGTGGGGAGGGATTTCAATGAATGGAAAGACACCCCTTCATGTTTTTCCGGTGATGCAGTCGATGAATGCCCTAATTTACACTGACGTTTCAGAGCAGTATGTCTTACCTTATGCAGAGTTAGTGGGCAATAATTTTATATTGATGCAGGATAATGCCCGACCACACACCGCAGCAATAGTGCGAAACTTCTTAGAAGCTACTGGTACTATCACATTACAATGGCCTGCGAGAAGCCCCGATATGAATCCTATAGAACATTCGTGGGATGCATTAGGGAGAAGGGTACGTTCTCGCGAGAGGTCTCCGGAAAGTCTCGCAGAAATGGCAGATGCATTAGTGGAAGAATGGGATCGTATACCAATGGAAAGGATAAGCAACTTAATTTCCAGTATGCCTTGTAGATTAGAAGTTCTTAGAGGAGGCAATACACGGTATTAAGCAGTCATCTCAATTTATAATTTTGTGTTTTGTGTTTAATAAAAAATTTCTTTAAAATTATTGGTATCAGTTTATGTCATTAGAAAATTGTTTCTCGATAAATTCAGAAAGTTGGTAATCTGCAAGGATTCAGCAAAAAAAGCTGTAATTCGGAAAATTTTAGAGATAAATCAATGAATAAAAAAACAAAATGCTCACAAAAGACAATTAACTGAGTGTATTATATCTGTTGAGTTGATTTCAAAGATACTGCTTATAATATGCTGAAACCACTGTTTTTAACACGCTTATATTAGCAACATCTCCACGCTTTTTTCAATGTAAATAATAAGTTTATGCGTTCTTCAAAATCGTTGAATTTCAGAGCTCATTTCAAAGGTAACTTTAGTTTCTTATTCTATAAATTTCACAGAAGTATTGTGTTCAGTCCAGTTGTTTAATCAGTTCAGTAGATTGGTACCAAACACAAAAATTATCCTATTCTGGCTCTTTCTCTTATTGTACAAAATCTGCTGAATTATGTATCAACAAATAACTTTAGACCCTCATTGCACAGAAAACATTGTTTGGCACTTACACCCTTTTAGCACTACACCCTTCAATTATAAGTTTTATCATTATTTTTAATTCTATTATGCCTCATCTCTCAAAATGATACTTCTCTTATGGATGAACTTGTTTTTAACTCTTGAGTTTATTCTTCCAAAAAGTGAAATTTGAAAAACTGACCATGAACTTTTTGGTAGGATTCTTTTGTGGTTCATGAGGAGATAGAGGAAACAATAGCGAGCCAAGCTGAACTCACGGAATTGGAAATATTGGAAAAGAAATTGGAAATGCGGCGTAAGAAAAGAAAAAAATCGGATGGCGTCGATAATCCAGTTAAGAAGAGAAGAAGAATCGTTATCGAGGAGAGTGATAGTGATTAGTGTCAATTGTTTGTTTAAAAGTGATGTGTTGATATATTATTTTGTAATTATGTATATATATTTCCTTTTTATTATCAGAGTTATATATATTAATATTATACATGCAGGCATAAGAATTGAAACGTATTTTTGATACTTTTGAATAATATATTCTATTTTTTTCCAAAAAATGAAATAAAACAGTTGTTTTTAACAATTTGTTGTACTTTCTCAACAGGAGAGGCAATATTAACAAAAATATGTATCCTGGCAAAATATTAATAATTAATAGAAACAATATTTACAATAAATGTCAACATAACTATACAACTCTAAAAGACATAAAACAATATCTATCAATTGTACATAAAGTTCTGTGTACCTAAAAACAGGTAAAATAATGTTAACTTGTACAAACAAAATCTTGAATAAGATCAGTAAAAAAAATAAATTCCTTCACAAACAAGAAATCAAAATAATGCAGGCAAAATTTTTAGACTATCTGACAAAAAACAAACTCAACCACAATCGAAATTATTTACAACACTTAAAAATATATCACAATTATTATATTTGACACATCAGAATATATATAGGTATATATATTTTATGTAAATAATAAACTAAATTCTACTAGTAGAATGTTCCAACAATAAAATATTTTATAAAATGTATATTTTTCAATAGATTTTGTGTTATTCAGTCTTCAGCATTAAATAGCAATATGTACAAAATTCAACTATTCAGCATTTATATTTTCTCTTATCTCTACATGATTTAATTTACTCGGATCGTTGATAAACACCTTTTTAGCTAGAATCTGCAAAAAAAAACATAAAATTGAAATGTATACACCTTATTGTCTCAAGTTTGAACGCCCCCAGCTATGAGTCATGCGATTCTTACCAAATTTTGGACTGGTATGATTACCAATTTGATCAGTTTTTCAGAAACAAACAGCATTTCCGATAGTGCCATGTGTTTTTATCAAAGTTAAAATGGGTCGATTTTTCATGAAAATCTCACACCAAACATCTTTGATCAATTCAAAGCCTGTATATCGTTACCATAGCAACTAAACAAATTTCTTGGAAATTGTGTCCTCCTTGGGGGATGGAGCATGAAATTACACTGGAAATTTTTTGACGTTTATAGGTTATGACATTTACATCCAACTTCAGATTATGTCGAGTTCATTCTATAAGTCAATAAATAAAAATCATTTAACAGTTTACCGTATAATATCATGTAGCTATACTTGCAATATAATTTTCCAGTGTGAAATTTTCTTGCCGAATACCACTTTAGCTTCAATTAATATCCGTGATTTTTTTCTAATATTCAGAAAATTCGTGTTCTCGAAAAAATTTCCGGAAATAATTGAAGCTCTCGTGATCTTTTAAGTGAAAAAATATTGAGATTTTTTTTACACAAAAACTAATATTGTTCTTCATGGCTACTAACACCCATAAAATATTTTTCATATTCTTTCTGTGAAAAGTTCCAGAACAACAATGAAAAAAATGTTAATCCTGTTAATTCGGAATAAAGTGTTTTTTTGCACATACATGGTGAGTTATTGAAATGGGAAAGTGATGAGATAGATGAATAAAAATGTTTGTGATGGTCTAGGCTTATGAGCAGCATATTTCTACATTACTTTGCGTAAGATACAGGGTGACTCAAATATGCGTGGCGTATCAAAGTTATACTTTTTATTATAGGACACCCTGTGTTTTATTGCATTTTCGGATTCTCCTTTGTGAGCTGATTCCATCAATACATCACACTTGGGATCTAGCGGGAATAATTAATTGATTACAGAGATATAGGGTGTTCAAAATCGAGATCTTTCAACTTTAGGATTTTTTTTGTTGAAACTATTAATTATTGGTCAGAACGGCTCACATGATTCACTATCTACTGATATTCAATTTGGACGAATACAGGGTATTTCAAAATTCAGATTCAGAATATCAGTAGATAGTTAATCAAGAGTTAAGCCTTTTTGACCAATAATGAATGGAAAAAATCCTAAAGTTGAGAAGTTTCGATTTTGAACACCCTATATCTCTGTAATCATTCTCGCTAGACCCCAAGTGTGATGCATTGATGAAATGCTTACAAAGAAGAATCCGAAAATGCAATGAAATACAGCTAGGGTGTCCCAAAAGAAAAAGTATAACTTTGATATGTCACGCATTCTTGAGTCACTCTGTATAACGCGAAATTTTTTGGAATTGTTCTGCTCATGAGCCTAGACCATCACAAACATTTTTGTTCATCTATCTCAAACAGCGAAGCCGTTATCTCACTTTCCCATTTCAATGACTCACCCTGTAGACGATCGAAAGCATGAGGAATAATAATATTGGGTTAGTTTTTCTGCAAATTCCATCTTTATTATAATAAAAATGTAGGACACTGTCCATAATGATGTTTGACTCTGAAAAACTGATCATGTTGATGGTTGTTCATATAGTCCAAAATTGGTGAGAATCACAGGAGTAATAGATGAAATACAGAGGGGCGGCCGTTCAAAGTGAGATTTATGCTGTTGATTGCAAGTAATTAGAACCAGAAGATTCAATGCCTTGGCTGGTTTCCTGGCCTCGGCTAAGAAACGTCAGCCGCGGCGTTAAATCTTTAACTTTTCTGCCTAGTAAAACAAATAACTAACCACAACCATTAGAATGATTCCGATAGCGGAATCGGATAATTAAAACGCAACTATTATTTCAATGACTTTCGCATTGACACACCAACCCAGGGCCGGATTCAAGCACAGGCGACATAGGCGCGCGTCTAGGGGTCCGTAACAAAAAAGAAAAACGAAATGATGTCACTGGTCATGTTTCATTATCGTAGATAGTATGATCTACGTGCATACGTGATACAATATACCATGATTGTGAATGTACATATTGTATAAAGGGCTAGTCTTTATACCATGGTACAGAGGAACAGGGCTAGGAAATTCGTGATCTGTGAATGTAATGTATTATTATCATACTAGCTTCGCAAGTTTGGTATACCCGTTCAAAAAAAATAAGACATTTGTTGCAGTCGTTCTGTGCTATGCGCGTATCTATAGTACTTTTTTTTTCAATTATTTGTGCTTACCCATAGCTACTATCATATAATTACACCTTTTCTCATTCTCTCAGTATCCTTTGTATTTTTTCGTTGTCTTACTTATTAAAACTTTCAACATAATCGGTCAAGCCGCTTAGTAGTTGACGTACCGACAGCTACCGCATCCAATTGTATCTTTGAATCATCCAGGAAACCATCGAAATGCTCTTATAACATTTCGATCCAATCGGTTCAGCCGTTTCGAAGTTATGTGAAAAAGATACCTAAGTCCGGAAGGATAATTATTCTTACTACCCGTTGTCTTATTACCCGTTTTCCCGTAGGAATGAAGCATTTCAAGTAAATAGTAGCCTATATTTATTAGGGATGATGTCGGCTTCTGAAATAATTTTTCAAATCGGTCTAGTAGTTTCGGAGACTATTCAATACAAACTGACAAACAAACAAATCTTTTTATATAATATTAGTATAGATTATAATAATGCATGATGGTGACATTGGGAGCCGAAAAGCAGAGATTTATTCAAGATATAGGTACTCATGATCTAAAGAAGTACTCAATAGTGACTTGCCATTTTCTTGTTGACTCAACAATGTACATTAAAGTGTTGAAGTTATGTTTACTTTTGTCGCTTGTCTTTACCCAAAATAACCTTTGTTATAAATTGACGATGTACAAGTTCCCTTGAAAATCACCATTTTGCACCTAATTTTTCCGGGCTGGGGCCCTAGCGCCGTCCTTTCATTGGGGGGTATTCCATACCCCCTGGTGCTCCACCGCCAGAGCCCACACCACAGATGGGGCCTGTGTTGCCTAAATCCAGCCCTGCACCAACCTAGTCCCTCGAAAAACGTAAACCCACTCTAAGACCCACCTTCAGACTCTCCAGACACTGGTCCCCGTCGCTGGTGTTGATCTCCGTCAGCAGGCTGTTCGACCGCTCCAGCTCGGCGTACAGCCCGAACGGGATCTTCGCCAGGCACTCCAGCTTCATGATGTGCAGCTTCGAGCGCAGGTGCTTCGCCAGGTGGCCGTGGATGCGGAACGCTATGCTGCAGTCGGTGCACTTGAACGGCCGCGGCTCCGACGACGACAGCGTCGGCGAGGACGACAACTGCAATATCATTATCAACAGGTTTTTACGAATTCAACAGGTGTTAATGATATCAACAGGTGTTATTACTATCAACAGGTGTTGTTAATATCAACAGGTGGATTAATATCAACAGGTGTTTTGATATCAAGAGGTCATATTGATATCAACAAAGGTCATATTGATATCAACAGAGGTCATATTGATATTAACAGATGTCATATTGTTATCAACAGGTGACCGTGGATGCGGAACGCTATGCTGCAGTCGGTGCACTTGAACGGCCGCGGCTCCGACGACGACAGCGTCGGCGAGAACGACAGCTGCAATATCAATATCAACAGGTTTCTACGAATTCAACAGGTGTTAATGATATCAACAGGTGTTGTTAATATGAACAGGTGGATTAATATCAACAGGTCGTATTTATGTCAACAGGTCGTATTAAAGCCAACAGGTCGTATTAATGTCAACAGGTCGTATTAATGTCAACAGATGTTCAAATTGATATCAACAGGGGTCATATTGATATCAACAAAGGTCAAATTGATATCAACAGGTAGCCGTGGATGCGGAACCGCGATGTTGCAGTCGGTGCACTTGAACGGCCTTGGCTCCGACGACACAGCGTCGGCGAGAACGACAGCTGGGGAAGATAAGAACAGGTTTTTACGATATCAACTTGTGTTACTAATATCAACAGGTGTTGATACTATCAACAGGTGTTAATAATATCTACAGGTGTTTTATTATCAATAGGTCATATTAATGTTAACAAGTGTTGTTGATATCAATAGTTCAAACTGATATCAACAGATTTCATATTGGTCTCAACAGAGGTCATATTGATATCAACATAGGTCATATTGATATCAACAGAGGTCATATTGATATCAGCAGAGGTCATATTGATATAAACAGTGGTCGTGGATGCGGAACCGCGACGCTGAAGCCGGTGCACAAGAACGGCCTTGGCTCCGAAGACGACAGCGTCGGCGAGAACGACAGCTGGAAGGTTTTTACGGTATCAACTTGTGATATTAATATCAAGGGGTGTTAATACTATCAACTTTTGTAAATATCAACAGGTGTTTTAACTATCAGCAGGTGTTTAACTATCAACAGGTGTTCAACTATCAACAGGTGTTTAACTATCAACAGGTATCAATAATATCAACAGGTGTTGATAATATCAACAGGTTTTCAAGATATCAAGAAGTGTTATGGATAATAACAGGTAATAATGTCAACAGGTGTTAGTAATATCGGAGGACATTTAGAATGTTTATATTGAAACTAAAGAGACGAACAGATCGTGAGTGGAAGGCGTTTTCCAACATTAACTGACAGGTGTTAGTAATATCATAGATTGAAACACACTCCAACAGGATTTTAAGATATCTACGGGTGTGATTAATATCGACAGGTGTTATTAATATCAACAGGTCATATTGATATCAACAGAAGTCATTTTGATATTGATACCAACAGTAGTCATATTGATATCGACAGATGTATATATAGAAACTGAAGAGATGAACAGATTGTAAATAAAACGGTTCCGAAATGACGTCTTCTAATATCAACTTGTGTTATTGATGTAGACATCTCATTACTCTCAACAGGTGTTCTTTGATGTCAGAAGGTGTTATTAATTTGGATAGGTGTTGATGTCAACAGGTTTTCTAAATATCAACAACAGGTGTGTCATTAATCCCAACAGGTTTTTTCAATATCGACAGGTGAACTGAACATAGTCATTGTATAATATCAAATAATCGAAAATCTTTTGAGATCAAAATGAGCTGTAGATTTTGACAGATGTTTAGATTTTCCCCTGATGGGCAGGAAGAGAACGTCTACTGACCTTATTGTTATGACCAGCACTTCTCTCATGTTTCTGCAGGTGCCCTTTGGTGCGGAAACTCACAGAACAAGATTCACATCGGAACGGCCTCTCCAAGTAGTGGATGTTCATGTGCAGCCTGAAAATATATCTCCATGAACGTCACATAACCTCATAGAGCAAGTGAACATTTCAAAATCGAATATTTCATCATTATTTGTCTCTTTGGTTGATAGAAGTTGCAGTTTTGATGAATATCTAGAACTAGAGTTCCTAAATGTACTTGACACTGGTGCTTTGATGTTTTTTGTATATGGTGGCCAGTGTTGCCAGGTCTACCGCGGAGATGTACGATATCCGTATCAGTCTCTATCTTGCTATGTTGCCATTCACATGCCCTATGTGTAACGTTTGGGTGAACAATCCGTATGCAATTCAACAACTATCTATAGGGTCTCACCTGAGCTGCGACGGCTTGTTGAAGCTCTTCGCGCATATCGTACAGCTCTTGTTCCCCTCCGACTTGGCGATGAGGTCGTTGACGTCTTTGCCGTAGCTGGAGGCGTCTCTTCCGCCGTCCGGGTGCTCGTTCTGCGTCGCCAGCTTCAGGAACTCGGTGGCCACGCTCTTGGCGAGCGTGTTCTTCTCCAGCTTCACCTGCAAGGGTTCCGGTTCTCGATTATAACAACGAAATTTTTACACCAGATCGTGTGTTCGAAATAAAATGATTCCAGGATTCATTTATTTATTGGATGTAGAATGATGCGTCTGAACTGCCATCCTAAAAAAACTTTTCTTTTTCACAAACATTTTCCTAATTTACAGTTGCAACTGTAAATTAACACTAACTTACAATTGCAACTGTAAATTAGATCAAGATAACTTTTTTTTTCTACACATCTCCTAATTTACAGTTGCAACTGTAAATTAGCACTAACTTACAATTGCAACTGTAAATTAGGCAGAAGAAACTTTTTTTATCGCCTAATTTACAGTTGCAACTGTGAATTAGATCAAGATAATTTTTTTTCCTACACATCTCCTAATTTACAGTTGCAACTGTAAATTAGCACTAACTTACAATTGCAACTGTAAATTAGGCAGAAGAAACTTTTTTTATCGCCTAATTTACAGCTGCAACTGTAAATTAGATCAAGATAACTTTTTTTTCTACACATCTCCTAATTTACAGTTGCAACTGTAAATTAGCACTAACTTACAATTGCAACTGTAAATTAGGCAGAAGAAACTTTTTTTCATCGCCTAATTTACAGTTGCAACTGTGAATTAGATCAACATATTTTTTTTTCTATACATCTCCTAATTTACAGTTGCAACTGTAAATTAGCACTAACTTACAATTGCAACTGTAAATTAGGCAGAAGAAACTTTTTTTTATCGCCTAATTTACAGTTGCAACTGTGAATTAGATCAAGATAATTTTTTTTTCTATACATCTCCTAATTTACAGTTGCAACTGTAAATTAGAGTCTCACAGTCTCAGTGCATCGCGTGCTATCGAAGAATGAGAACTGCCTATGTCTGGTAGTCTGATGAGAAATTGTGAGAACTGAGACTGTGAGACTCTAATTTACAGTTACAACTGTAAATCAGGTCTTTCGAAAAAAGAGTTTTCTCTACTTTGTCAAGTATTATGAATAATTCCCATGAATCTCTCATTGGCTGAATGAAGTTGATTATCAATGAAGATAAATTATGATATTTTGAGATAGTATCTATACCTTTTCACTATCGGTATATTACAATATGTTATTCGTAACTAGTCAGTCATTTTTCTGCTAATGAATACGTTCCTTAATAAAATGGATCTATTTTCTAGGAAAGTTGCAGATTATATCTTGCAGCGGCGCCTAATACTTCGAGTCCGTCCACACCACCCAAAATACTGATAGGCACAACAAGAGGAAGGAGCCATGGGTGTCGGCTTCATTCTATTCTGACCGATTGCAGTAAATTAGGAAGGATAGTATCATTGAATTTAGCCGATAATGATCCATTGATATATTCGTTCAGGATCGAGCTCTATTCGAGATATTTCAATGCATAAATAACAAAACCATAACCTGTCAGAATGAAGCCAACTACCCTCTGCATTCCTGCTCCGAGTGCATTTGTGGTTATGTATGTTTTTGTTCACCAGTTTTACTTCTTCTTCAATTTTTTTCATTCGTTTTTCATTTGTTAGCTATTCGTTAGCTATTCGCTAGCTATACAGTGTGTCCCACTTACCATGCTCACCATGGGTATCTTTTTAACGGTGAGAGATACGAGGTCGATTAAATGACACCAAATGTGAAGTTTGTCAAGGCCAACTATAATGTGAAAAAATATTTTGATAAAATCTATTCGTTTTTTTTTTATACGCAAAAAACAGATTTTGATCATTTTCATGTCTCCTCCGTAACTTCTTTATTTATTAAAATATTCAAATATGAATTTCACATTCTCATGGCAGTTTTTCGAAGTGATTTCGAAAAAAATATGAAATTCATACCAACTTTTCTAGAATTTGAGATAGCTCACTATGACTTAGTTACAAATAACTTTTTTTCCTCTTTCAGATGATGTGTTGCAGTAATAGTTTTGTGTTGATAACAACGGAGTTATCGTCATTTATACAAAAACAAAAAATTATTTGGATGCCGCCATCTTGAATTTATAAATTTTAACAAAAAAATCATGATCTCCGACCTCAAAAACCCCCACTTACCAATTTTGAATGGAATCGGACCAAATCTTGTCCGCCATCTTGGAGCAGCCATTTTTTTTTTATTTCAACAAAAATTCCGATTAACTTGAAATTTGGCAGGTGTTCATAATTTCGGTGACAATACATTATGGAATTTTTGTTGAAATAAAAAAAAATGGCTGCTCCAAGATGGCGGACAAGATTTGGTCCGATTCCATTCAAAATTGGTAAGTAGAAATTCGTAAATTCAAGATGGCGGCTTCCAAATAATTTTTTGTTTTTGTATAAATGACGATAACTCCGTTGTTATCAACACAAAACTATTACTGCAACACATCATCTGAAAGAGGAAAAAAAGTTATTTGTAACTAAGTCATAGTGAGCTATGACCTACATTTGAAAATCCAAAGTTGGTGCTGATATCTCAAATTCTAGAAGAGTTGGTATACATTTCATATTCTTTACGAAATCGCTTTAAAAAACTGCCATGAGAATGTGAAATTCCTATTTGAATATTTTAATAAATAAAGAAGTTACGGAGGAGACATGAAAATGATCAAAATCTGTTTTTTGCGTATAAAACAAAAACGAATAGATTTTATCAAAATATTTTTTCACATTATAGTTGGCCTTGACAAACTCCACATTTGGTGTCATTTAACCGACTTCGTATCTCTCACCGTTAAAAAGATACCCATGGTGAGCATGGTAAGTGGGACACACTGTATTCTTCACCATCAGCTATTTTCAGCCTAGATTCAGAATGTACGTCACAGTTTTCCGCACCGCAAATTAGAAATTGCTTTAATTTGAAAACTAAAACGACTTGTACTTCATCGGGCGCCATTCTGTACAGCGTGGACATGAAACTAGAGAGTTCCGAACTTATTTTATGAAAATGCATCTGAAGGAAACTTCCCCAATGGAAAGAGAGCCTAACCTGCTTTGTGGCGATGATAACCTAACCTAACCTAACATAACCTAACCTGCTTTGTGGCGATGTCGGCCAGCGTCTCCATGGCGCTGTTGTCGTACTCGCCGGCCTTGTCCTGCTCGTCGCTCGGCTGGTCCTCGGCCGGCAGAGGGCGCAGAATCAGCACGGCGCCGTTGATTGGCTGTGGCTGGGTCGGCGGCTTCTCCTCCTCGGCCTCGACGATCGGTTCGGGCTTCTGCAGAACGTTGTAGATCTCGTTGGCGACGTTCTTCGGCGCTGGGATCCTGCACATTGTCACCCTAGAGTAGAGTGCCTCGAACATCTCATTTCACGCCCTTCGAACAGTGTGGACACGCTTGTCACCACTGACCTTTTCGAATTGTCATCCCGCGAAAATGTTTTCACTTATCACGAGAGCTTCAATTATTTCGATAAATTCCCGGATAGTTATTGAAGCTAAAGTGGTATTCGGTATGAAAATTCACATGTTGATGGTTGTTTTTGTGATGAAATGTAAGAACTAACGTATAGTAACAACATGTGTTTTTGAAAATTTCGAATTTGCAAGTATACCTACATAATATTATATGGTAAACTGTTGATGAATGATTTTTACTAATTGACATATACATATATGTACTATTTCTATATATGGCGCATCGCCTATACGATATCTGAACAAAAATGGGACCAAAATGAGAGGTACTTTTTGAATCTATAAGAATCGAAAGTGTAGGATGGAAACAGCCATATTGGTTTGACAAGTTTCGTATTATTTTTTCCCTACGTCGGCATCAACGCCTATTGGTCGATTTCGTTGAAGTTGGTCCAGCTTTGAGGACAGCTATGCTTCATATATGAGTAGTAGATATATGCTAACATCAAATGAACTCGAAATAATAAAAGTTGAATGTAAATGTTATTTAACCTATAAACGTCAAAAAATTTCCAGTGTAATTTCATACTCGGTCCCCCAATTAGGAGAAAAAAAATTCCAAGAAATTTGTTTAGTTGCTATGGTAACGATACGAAATACAGGCTTTAAATTGACAGAAAATGTTTGGAGTGAAATTTTCATAAGAAAAACTACCCAGAAGCACATCGAAGTTGCAGTCCACAAGTTATTGGGCTGCCGGAAAACTTCATAGAAAAAGAAATAACTATTTTTCAAGGACTGATCCAACTGTAGCAAACAGGAGAGCAAGCAATAAGCTTTCTTTACTTTTTTCAATCAATGATGAACTATTATTATCATTATTATATTATTGTTATTATTCCTACTTTGTATATTTCAATGAGGTATATCCCTAATGAAGATTTTCTCTCTCTATATATCTCTCTATCTCCCTCTAATTTTAGGCTAAACGTCGATTTTTGATTTGAGAGGAAACTCTTTTTCACTAATTTTCACCCCCGCCGTTGCTTTAACCCTGTAGCTGGTGAACAACCCTCAAAATTTGCATAGAGAAAAGGAGTCGTGCCATACCTCTTTTTAAAGGTCTCACCAAGTTCTTCATGACCCTATAATTTTGCCTTATTGTTTTCATCGACAATCAAATGACAGCTGGTCAGAACCTTGAAAATAGACTACTGTTTTTGTAATGAAAATATCAAATATTCAAAGTTTCATGTTTAATAATCAGGTGTACACATTTTCCCATTATGTCCTTGACTTCAGGATTTCAATGTAAAAAATGGAAATTTTACTGTGTTATGGAGGAGATCATTCTTAAAATACCTTCTTTAAATAAAAGTTAATATGATCTCAAGTTGTATAGAATCATAGGTCGCGTGCACGATGACCGACCTTGGAGGTTAAATATTGAAACACAACCTCACTTTTCTGTAAAACATTGAAACAAAACCTCACTTTTTCTATTTGTTTTTTTTTTTACAAAGGAATCAAAGTATTGAAATAGTTTTCAAAATATTTTGGGATATGAATTGTGTTTTTAGGACTATTTATTAATTCAAGCATACCATCACATTGTTCTGTTGTTCAATGTACAAAAAATGCAGCGAGAGATGAAGGAATATGATTTTTCACGTAAATAGTGATCTCACATAGTTTTTATTACGAAATTTTGTCATTTCTTCTGCCACTTCTGCAATAGAAGCTAATGCTGCTAGAAGATTGAAAATATCTACAACACACAAGATCATATTTCGTCAGCATGTCAGACCAGTCCTACCGTTTGATTGCATGAATCCAATCTTCTTGCAGTCTTTTGGAAATTTCACGAGTATTTCTATTAGCTCCTATTGCAGAAGGAATTCCAATGAGAAATGAAAATATTTCAAAATGAAAACTATATATGTGAGTGACTACAGTACTTTTAGATCACAACATATATCACAATGTACCTACCTCACCTACCTGAAAAATCGGAATCCTGCGTCTCTCGCTGCATTTTTGTGCATTGTACAACAGCACAATGTGATGGCATGCTTGAATTATTCTTATGCCAAAATAATTGTGAAAAACTATTTCAATTCTTTTTGTAATTGTAAACAAATAAAAAAAAGTGAGAGCAGTCACTATTATCTTCGGATAGGAGTGACTGAATTCCGCCCTTACATAATGTCTTAAAATTCTTGTGTTCCATCGATGTTATTATTATTTTGTAATTCGGGCAATATGAATGAAGACATAATATTATTATTATTATTATATTTCAATGTTTCACCTCCAGGGTCTGTCATCTGACAGATCTTGCACGCAATCCATTGTTTCATGGGAGTTGGCTATTCAAATTATGCAACGTCAGTTGGAAGACATTCCTTCAATTTGTTACCAAATAAACTCACAGCACCTAAAGAGTCCAAAAACTACCAACATTCTCACCGTTTATCGTCAGCACCATTAACCGTCTTCTCCTGCACCGTGGTCATCGACAGATCCATCACCTCGTCGTTCTTCTGGATCTTGTTCTTGTAGCCGACCTCCGGAGCTGGAGGACACTTTCTTTTCCTCAGATCCCCCGCCCCCTCTGTCCCCACAACGACGTCGTTGATCTTCAGGATGGGCAGCGCTTTGGCGACGCAAGGCCCCAAGTTCCTCTTGTTGTTCAACACCACAGCCTCCGGTAACGGCTGGATAACCTATAATAGGCAAGAACACGAAAACGTGAATTATTATATATCGAAGACTGGAACCTTTGGCACGATAATACACTACACACTGTTTTACCACTAACCAAACCGATATTTTACACCTCGACACGTGTTTCGCTAACTATGTTAGCATCAAACTGCCAGAAACCAGCCAGAAACAGTCTTATAAAACTTGATGATCAACGATCTGGTATCAAGCCCATTGAAGCTGTTGTTCTTCAGGGTGCAGTTTTATCTCCGCTGTTGTACAGTTTATATACTAGCGATTTGCCGAGACCAGTGATGTGCAAGATGTCGCTTTTTGCTGATGATACGGCAGTTCTTGCATATTCGACAAATTTTGAGCAAGCAGCTATGAACCTCAAAAGCGCACTGAATTCTCTACAGGAGTACTTCCTAAGATGGAAGATCAAATTGAATCCTACAAAAACACAATTGGTCGCACTCGAAAGGGAACGGAGGCCTCCCAGAACCAGAATAGTCCTGGATGCTCATGAGTTAGAGTGGTCTTCACAAGTTAAATACTTAGGTGTGTGCAGATCGCCAGGAATCTGAAACTCCCTTCAATCGTGTCAGTCATTAGAGAACGAAACATCAAGACTTTCGAAAAAGCCAGTCATTAGAGAACGAAACATCAAGACTTTCGAAAAAGCTGAGGTTCATGAGAATCAGCTTCTTCGAAATGCAGTTGATTATGACCCAGGCGATCAATCAAAGTTCAAAAGACCGAGATTGTCCATAAAATAGAGAAAATATCAACATTATGACCAAATTTATTATTCTCAAGTTTTTGATATTTATTTATTTATTACGTTCGATCTCTTTCAATTCTCAGAATGTATTTCTGAAACTTATTTGGGGCAGAAGGGCTGTTCGCATCAAACTTCAATACCGTTTTTATTTTGTAGATATCAGGATGAGAGGGACTCTTCCCTGGTCTGAATAAAATAAAAGAAAGATCCAAAGAAAGAAGTCTTATATATGAATGTTCATTGTCAATGATGTTCAATTGGATCATTCGACAATAGTGATGTAGCAATTAATTTGTTCAATACCTGCACATCTGAATAGCTTTCTTTAACTTTTGTATAATTTTGAATCTTCCGGAAACGCTGTTTCGTAACGAAGTACTTCTGTAACTCAATCATCATTTCTTCATCATCGCTTGTATCCGAAGTACATACCTATGATTTCGGAAATTTTTGTAATAATAGTATTGAACTTCAATGAGACATTCATATTATTATTCAAATTCCAAACATTTTTCCACTCGTGACTCGAATATTTGAGATTATGTGTATCGCATCGTCGTACAAGCACAGTTCTGAAAACTAGAACTCTGAGCGGGCATCGAGCAAGTTTGAAAGCCAGTGCAAATCATTTCTCGACGAAAGTTCGCTCTTGAAATTGTCAGTGGACCGAGCAAAACGCACTCATAAGTGAAGTTACCACTATTTTGACTCACTTGAACATGTCAGTATCAAAGCAGCTATCATATCAGCTGTCATCCGAAGCGTTTTTAGTTCCTAGGAGTTAAACTTCAACTTTAGCTCCTAGAGAATAGAAGTGTTGCCAAGCAACATACATAATAATCATTCCATTGTGTCAATAAGAGAAACGTCAACTTCAAGAGCTAATTATGGAATAAAAATGGACGACTTCTGAGCCGATTACCGATAACATACTGTATAACTGAAAAATAATAGTAAAATTACATGAATTTCTCAACGTTACAATCCATATTCTTTTGCTGCCAGCTGTTTCATTATAAGGAAATATCAACTGAATATTTCCCAATTTTCAAATTGATACTACTTTGAACTGTCCAGATGATTTCATATTCATTTGACGTGGTTTAGGTTTGTGTTTTTATTTAGATTTATAAAATACCACATGAGATACATGAATTTTTCTTCGACCTCTATAAAAATTGACATTTCACCTGCTAATTTACTAATGAAAAATCGACAATTTTCGAAGGCAAGTATATTTCGTCCGCAGGCGATAACTTTGCGTCTGCAAACTCTTTTCAACCGCTGTGGTCACTATGATTGAGTTGACAATAACTGACATTTTCGGAAACGTCTTGAGTTAATAGTCTAATATAAATAATGGATAATATAAATATGAATATACTGAATCGAATGGGCCATGGTTTTAGTCACCGTTTTTGATTTTTATACCTATTTTCTAATCACCCTGAATGTTCCACAATGGTGCTTTTTTCGTCTTTCTAGAGAAAAAATTCAAGAAATGCAAGACTTTCGAAAAAAAATTGTTTTTTTTTTCAATTGCCAATCAAGGAGAAAACACGAAAACGTCCCGAGGTGAGGTCTCAGTGAATCATAATCAAAAGTCAAAAGTCAGTCTTTTGATCATAAAAAAATTCCTCGAGTTCTGGCAGCATTGCAAGTGTAATGGTTCCACTTTACACCCTGTGTAAGTTTTGTTCAGCGGACTTTTTCAGAGTGTTCTAGCTCTCTTTGAAGCCGATGAAATATCACATCTGATATCGAAAACCGCATGATCGGTCAATTTTTTCAAAAAATACGTGTCTTCGAAGAAGACTCAAATTATAAGTGGTCATTTAGTGTGTTGAGAACTGTATTTATGAAATCCGATAGTTTTCACGTGTGAATAAGACCTTGATCGTCCTTGGTACATAAATACCTATCAATTGATTATATGTTTAAATTGTCTCCTACCCCGACTTGGTTCGCCTGCTTCTCGGGTGATTTCGTCAGCTTCTCGGGTAACTTCGCCGCCAGCTGTGGCATATACTTCTGGATCACGTGGAACTGCTTGATCGACTTGGGCTCGGGACTGGCTGGGACGTTCTCGAGCTTGGGAGACGAAGACAACTGGCCATCATCAGGCGAGACCTCGCTGCCAAAGATAGAAGGCAGTTATTTTTTGCATTAAAATTAGATTCAAATTCAATAAAATTGCCTCAAAATTGAGCCGAATATTTAATAGCTATTTATATATCAAGGGACCAAAGGTATCCATTACCACTCGCGTGTTAAACACGATATATATATGATTTTATGATACATATATATTTGAGAGCGTAGTTCTTAAAATTGTGCTTCAAGCGGTCTATCTCTCGAGTCTCGATCCAAATCAATCTGTTACATGATCTAAGGTTACAGGCAGTATTTGACAGTTGACACTTCTGTCACATTGAATTTGTTTATTATGTAATTGCATTTTATTTAAAGTTTCGATTGAGTAAATTTGGGACATGAGGAAGTATATGAGATTATTGGAGTTCAAAAATAAAAATGAAACAACTGTCAATTTGTACAAAAATGAAACAACTGTCAAATTGTACGCACTCCTAAAAATTCGGCTAATTCATTAATTTTTCCCGCTCTTTTCAGTTATCAAAACAGATCTACAAAAGTTTTGCCATGTAGTGTTGTTTGTGAAATAAAAGAAGTTGTCTGTTCTTCTTAAAGTCATGTCAGGGTTCCGATCATGGTTTTCATTTGGTTTCCATAGGTAAGTAATATAAGTGAAATATATCTATCGAGTATGATTAGATTGAAGAGATTAAACAAAGTGGTTCAAAAATTATGACCAGATAACGATTTTTTCGAAATCAAGATAATTTCCTATCTACAGGTATCATTTTGTACACGTAAATCTGAAACCTATGAAACCTCAGATTAAATAACAAGATTCATTCATGAATCATTAAAAAGTATACGACAACAATCCTAAATGCTAAACGAGGATAAATGAATGAAATCACGTATGGTGGGGATAACTGCAGATTCATTGGCAGAGATTTGATATTCTTTATAGATATATTTTATATATCTAAGAAATCGGGATTTCTATAAATGTGTGTACGTGCATCAATAAATCAACTCTCACGAGTTATAAGATAATCAGTCACTCTGTCACGTCTAAAGTGAGGTAACACGCTTTTCATCAACAAAAGCAAGCCCTCAAACAAGACCAAACAGGCCTCTGGAATAAATTTCTACATACCTACGAACCTACGTAACTTTTCTTTACAGATTTGATACTGACAACCCATATTCCATTACAAAATGGTCTGCTTCAGATTTATAATATATAATAAGTTACTGAAACACCGTAAACTAATCACACAACAACCGGGAAACCATAAATAACAACAAAAACGATAAATTTCATTTCCCACAATGCTTATTGTCTACTATAAATCTTTGCGGTGCCGCCACGTACATCTTTGAATAATTTTTATTTTTAATTTTTTCATGTAGGAACTTCACAATAACTAGGGTCCCTTGATGCCATCTGACGTATTTGTCATCTAACAGAGTACGGACAGATCATAGCTCCTTTCTCTTTTAATCATCTAGTGACTTTGGTTTCGTGTATTGGCGTCCCTGACATGACATTGCTGTCACGTCACGTTCATAGGCGTTAAAAGAGATCTTACAAAATGTTAATTTCATACATGATTTTAATAGGACATTATTCAATTCTGTTTTGGAAGGATGGTAAAATGTGCTGCGTTAGGCTGTATCAATCAGTTAGATGGCAAATTTGAATTTGTCAGCCTTCCATCAAATGCAAATGATCTTACAATATGGAAAGTGAAGTGACCGAATGGGGAAAATTGTAAATACATTAGCAAAATATTCGAGGCAAAACTAATATGCAATCACATATTATACTTTCTCATTGTGCATATAATTATCCACTACACCAGTTTTTGAAAGCATTTTAGTAGAAACAGTTTTGATTAAAACAGAGGATTAAAAGAAGAGGCATATGCCCTACCATTGAAAAAATTATACCTACATTCAGGAAATATTGAGTGTTCGTGAAAAACAACAAAAATGATTCCCAACATGAATATATACAGCACACATGACATATGAGCACATTAGTTTGAATACCTACATGAAATTTTTCACCATTTCTCAACCATAAGGCTTAGTCTGAAATCAAAATTCATTTATTGACAGGTACTGCCTATGAACAATCCCATTTGGTAAAACATATTAAACTTTCAGAAAAATTTGCTCACTGCCTCACAAAGATTATGCTGGAGTTGAAAAATCAAAATCTCAAAAATTATCATCATCATTTGGACATAATATGTAGAGTTGAATGAGAAATTACATGTGGAAATCACGTATGATACGCCAATGTCCTCAATATAACCTAAAAAAAAAACAAATGTCAGAAATCTAGTGTTTTCCCCAGAAATAGATAAAGATGGAACTATATAACTGTTTCACGAACACTTTAGAGTGAGAGGACATGAGGATCTGTCCGTACCCAACAATAACTAATGACTATATGATTATTAGCCATGAGTTTCTGACACTTATATATAGCGTGCATACTGTTTACTATATATTCTACAACTGTGAACATGTAAAAGGCCTGTTTGTTTTGCAGTATAGTAAATAAATTATTATTATCAATATGTTATAACGGTTGTTCCATATTTTGTCATGAAATATTTATACCGAGATGAATGAGGTGTTTAATCCTGAAAATCCTTCTCGAATTATCCATTCGGCAGCAGTTACACAGACATCCTTAGAATGTAAGGACTTGTCCGCAGAATAAGCATAATACATCACTCTTTATCACTAGTTACTCTAAGATAGCTACCTGGTCCTTGTGTAGGGGTAAGTCAACGGCCTACGCCCGCTCGCCGTGCCCAACCTTCGTTCATCCACCCGCCTTTCGGCCACCCCCTCAACCAGCTTCGAATCAAACCCTTCCCGACACTTGTTGCGCACGTCCAAGCACCTGTTGCGCTCGTCCAAGCACCTGTTGCGCTCGTCCGAGCACCTGTTGCGCTCGTCCGAGCACCTGTTGCGCTCGTCCAAGCACTTGTTGCGCGCGTAGTTGGTCTGCGACACGTGCTCGATCTCCTCGGTCGACATAAACAGCTCGCCGGGGCTGCAGCTGCGCAGGTGCGCCAGGTCGGAGCTGCCCGAGGGCTTCTGCGAGAGGGAGAGCAGGCCGTAGGCGGCCTCGTGCTCTTGCTGTCTGGTCGATTCGTCTACGAGAGAATGTTTCATCAGTGTGATTCAATTCAACTCAATTCTTTTATTTTTCTTTGGACATACATATATGTATAGAAATCGTCACAATTTTACATACACACCTAGCAAAAAAATAAAACAGATTAAAATATACAGAGAAAAAAACTATCTATGAGTCGAAGAATTCATCAAGGTTATAGTAACATTTATCCAATAAATATATTTTTTCTACAAACGTCAAAAAATGACAAGGTTAGCGTATTGATAACAAATTGCGAAGTGACACTTTTTTTCAGTTTCCTACGTTACCATGATATCTTGCACAAAACAATGCGCGAAGTAAAACAGTGCGCGAAGTACCTACTTCGCGCATTGTTATGTAAAATATATGATTTATTTATATTTCAACTTCATAGTCCTCAATCGAGCAAACATCCACGAATCATTAATTTCTGAATGTTCAACAATAACTCTGTTTTATCTCTTGGAGCGCACTAAAGGAAATTCCTATTATGTTCGTGGAACATCGTGCGTACCTAGGGAGGATAGGGGGGCCCAGGTAGAACATCATATTGGCTAGAACTTGGTTTCACATTAGCCCGATATTCGAATATTGAATTACTAGATTGTCCCACTATATCATACCAATTTTTCATTTCAATATTCGATCATCAATCCAGTGCGAATGTTGGGATGACATTAAAATTTTGTGACCAGCGGATAACAATTTGCCAATATCTATTTGATATTGGTGAAATATTAACGATTACAATATGTCTATTTTCATGATGGGCTGATATTGTATTTCCAATATCAAATCAATCTTGGAAAGAAATATTGCATCAATATCCGATTTATGTTGGTTAGTGAATATTGTATTTTATTGTCCAGCAATATTGCACTGATATTGGCTCTTTGATATCATTTCGAGACCTTTAAGCCAGTTCAACACTAATTTTTATATCAAGCTAAGCATATTTTTTCTTTGGAACTATATTTTTTGACGTTTGTAGAAAAAATGTTGTTTGCAACTCGAGCGCGAAATACTTTGGTCATCTCGACTATTTTTTTAACTCGGCTACGCCTCGTTAAAAAAATCAGATCTCGATCACCAAAGTAGCATTTCGCGCTCTAGATACAAAAATAACTATTCAGCAATCGATAAAATTCATTAATAGTTATTTTTGTATCTAGAGCGCGAAATGCTACTTTGGTGATCGAGATCTGATTTTTTTAACGAGGCATAGCCGAGTTAAAAAAATAGTCGAGATGACCAAAGAATTTCGCGCTCGAGTTGCAAACAACATTTTTTCTACAAACCTCAAAAAATATTGTTCTAAAGTGGAGATATGCTCAGCTTGATATAAAAAATAGTGTTGAACAGGCTTTAATGACCTCCCCCGATCCTCCCTAGGTACGCACGAAGTTCCACGAACATAATAGGAATTTCCTTTCGTGCGCTCCAAGAGATGAAACGAAGTTATTTATCGAACATTCAGTAATGAATGATTTCGTGGATGTTTGCTCGATTGTGCACCATTAAGTTGAAATATAAATATCTCATATATTTTACATAACAGTGCGCGAAGTAGGTACTTCGCGCACTGTTTTACTTCGCGCATTGTTTTGTGCAAGGTAACATTGTAACGTAGGAAACTGAAAAAAAGTGTCACTTCGCAATTTGTTGTCAATGCGCGAACCTTGTCATTTTTTGACGTTTGTAGAAAAAATTTGTTTTCAGTGTTATACTCTTCGGTAATTTATTAAAAATTACGAGTCCCATTACAGATGGCATATCTTTTGAGATTTTATATTTTCGATAAGGAACATGAAAGTCATTTTTTTGACGAGTGTTCATTTTGTGAATTTCCTCATTGATGATGAATTTCTGTTTATTTTTGAAAATATAAACTGACATTTCGAATATGTACATTGAGAATAGTGTCAGGAAAAATTTCTAGGAACTCTAGCTATCACTCTTACAATACGTTTCTGTGCTATGAATATGTCCGGCACCGCTGTAGAGTTACCCCAATTCTTAAAAAATATGAAATTGAAAGGTATTCGAGTGATAATTCTATAATAGTCCGATAAATAAAGGGAAAAAGTTAACATTAATTACGCACTATTTTCATCTTCCGGTTGGAAGTAGCTTTTGGTACCTCATTAAACATGAGACAAAGTTTGACTGGAAAACGCGTGCGATGGCGAAGAAAATGGCCCCAAAAGACCAGAAAAATAGGTTTTCAGCCAATATCTCCTAAAATATGGCAGTTAGAGATTTTCAGTTCAGATAAAAATTGAAGTTCAGTTAATTTTCTACAAAAATGGTCCTTATCATTTTTCTCGAAAATTTGCCCGAGAAAAACGGCACGAAGCGCACCTCGAATAATGAGCTTCTGTGTTGTATGCCGGAGAGCACAGTCCGTGTATTTACACATCGGCGGGGGGGACAAATTATTCAATAACTTTGTTAAAAATGCATATTTTCTCATGATTCAAAGTTCATGTAAAAGAGGAATTTTGCTGCTATCATACCCTGTGAATTGAGTCATGCTTGACTCTTTTGGCCATATCGGAACATGGGTCAAACTTTCTGCTCCCGGTCAATTTTGACCTCGCCAGGAATTTGTTCCTATTTTTTTTGTATTGCACTAATTTATTCAAAATTTTCTTGATTATGGGTAGGTACTCATAAGGTCCTTTGTCATCCCTGAAATTTGTATACCCTAATTTTTTTAAATTTTCATTTAATCTTTGTTTATTGAATCCCAATTTTTTGCGGTTTTTGGAGCGTGGGAAAATTTTGTGAAAAACCATCAATTAAAAATTTATACATGATCCGATTGGTTTCTATGATACATCATTTGAAAGCTAAGAAGCTAAGAAAATTAGAAAAAGCGGGGTCGGTGTTTTTTTTTCTCCGTGCTCTTTATTTCTAACATTTTAACACCTTAACTAGTGTAATGGGGGAATTCCCACGTCTCCATCGATGTATATAAGTCATACCTTTGATATCCCGGGAAAAAACCAGTATATCTAAATGTACACGCTATAATTTATTACTTTCGTTCTTCCGTCGTTCGCCGCGTGTGTGCTCTACGTGGCGCTCGGGTCGTCTGCTACAAACCATGCGGCCACGCAGGGTATGATAGCAGCAGAATTCCTTTTCCACATGAACTTTGAATCATGAGAAAATATGCATTTATAACAAAGTTATTGAATAATTTGTCCCCCCGCCGATGTGTAAATACACGGACTGTGCTCTCCGGCATACAACAGAAGCTCATTATTCGAGGTGCGTTTCGTGCCGTTTTTCTCGAAACCGGGCAAATTTTCGAGAAAATTGATAAGGACCTTTTTTGTGGAAAATTAACTGAACTTCAATTTTTATCTGAACCGAAAATCTCTAACTGCCATATTTTAGGAGATATTGGCTGAAAACCTATTTTCCTGGTCTTTTGGGGCCATTTTCTCCGCCATCGCACGCGTTTTCCAGTCAAACTTCGTCTCATGTTTAATGAGGTACCAAAAGCTAGAGTCCCTGTATGTATTTGACACTTTTGCTGTACAACAAAACTGACAAATATATACAGGGAATTATACATACAGGGACTCTACCAAAAGCTACTTCCAACCGGAAGATGAAAATAGTGCGTAATTAACGTTAACTTTGCCTTTTTTTCCTCCTTCATTTATTGGACTATAAAGAAATTTAAAAAAATCAGTCCACTCGCTTATTAGACCCAGAACTAATATTTCATGTTCTTACCGCTGCTGTCCATACCACTATCATCGGTATCAGAATCTGAGCTATGAGCACTCAGCTGAGTCGAGGACGACGAACCGCTGCTTGCTGTCGAATTTTTGGAGTGTGCTTTGCTCTTCATGTGTTTTGTTAGATTACCTTTTGTTTTGAAACTGAAAACAAAAACGGTTCAAGCTTTTGCGATTCCATGAGTTAGACTATTGTTTTTACCTGAAATTGCAGTGGCTGCAAGTGTAAGGCCTGTCATTTGAGTGTGTCCTGATGTGTTTTTTCAGCATGGAAGGTTTTTTACATCGTATTCCACATTGGTCACACACATACCGACCCCTTCCTGCAAAAAATAACCAAAAGTCAAATATCTCAGATTGCCATTAAAATTTGAGTTTTGTACTATACTTCATACACGACTAGACTATTGACCCGTTAGGTTTGAAATTGCAAAAAGAGTTTATATTTGTATATAAATTAATAAGTTATAGTTTCTTTCAATGGCTTGATACTATTGATACTTGTTTGAGATGAGATTGGAATGTGAGATGATTCCCATTTAATTGAAATTTGACACTGTTACAAGGCCTGCAATATTATTCTTATTGGCCAGACTTCCAATAAGGGTATAGGCAAGTTTGTATGGTAAATATGATTTGTAGCCACAAAAAATAAGATTTTAGTTACCTCTTCCTCTGATGTAGGTATAGTCTTCATTGGACTCATATCCTCCAGGAAGACCACTGTTTTTCTGGGGTTCGTCATCTTTTTCCGAATTATGTGATGATTCGCTAACCATGAACTGAAAAAATAAAGAGGAAATAATATATTGAAAACCAATTTTGCATTAGGATATTTAAGTTTCAATATAAATATACCCACAGAGTGACATATTTATGCATCGAGCAGGTGCTCTAATAGAATAGTAAATACCGCGCTAGTGCCAGGTATAGGAGAAAGACGTGGAAAATGTTAGTGAGAATATCAACAGTAATAATAGCGCTTATTTATTTATCTCTATACTCCGCTGTGTTTGGCTCGATAATCAAATGAAGGTAAACGATATCGTAGTTGGAGACAAAAACTATTGCTGGCCGTGATTATTCAAAAACAAGTTATCCATCCCGAGAATAACGAATGGAATACAGATCAATCAAGTATGTGAATCTTGAAGGCCTCCCTTCTGTCTATAATATGGTGTATTTATATCTCCAGCATGGGTATGAAATGCCAAATCTGCCGAAATCGGAAACAAAACAGATATGCGCCCCAACCCAAATAACCTTGATGACCTCAAGTGCATCCTTTTCAGTTCCTAGGAGCTAAAGGGTTACTTTAGCTCCTTGGAACTAAATGTGTTGGCAAGCAACATACCTATGTTTGTGTCAATAATAGAAACGTCAATCCAAGAGCTAATTTTGGTATTAAAATGGACGACTTTTGTGTCGGTTGCATAAAAAGTATGTTTTCGATTAGTTTTTTTCAAGACATTTGGAGTTTGTGGAGTAATACTCCAAATGAATATATTTCTCAAGTAACTTTTTTTTCTCTAATTCATCATGCCAATGAAGTAGTAATGAGTCAAGCTTGAAGTCAAGCGAGATAGCTAATTATATTGAATATTTACCTACTCAATCATAATCTTTCCAACGTTTTCAAAAACGAGAATAGGTAAACATTATTCTTTATTTAAATGACTAAGCAGGTGATGAAAATCCATATCAATCAAGGATATCACACACTTGGATAGTGAACGTTATCACGGGAGTGTATTAATCAAGGAAAATAAATAGAATTGTTACTGTTTATTTATGACGTCTTACATAAATCTCCAAGAATTTTTTTTCTGAATATTCTAATAATGTGCAATTTTGTGTGGCACTGAAAAATATTGATGATGTTGATATCTCTGGGCTTTAATTTTTGATGGAACTCCAAAGTGTGTAAATAGGTAGGTATGTGAGTAAATAAAAAACTCATGATCTGAGATTAACAATGTTATACGCTAAGTGCCCATAAATTATAGCCAGATACGAGATTAATAGGCAGGAAGATTTATAAAAGGAATTCTATCAGGACTCAAATATGAACGCTTTAGGAGGTCAACTATCAGAAATTGAAGAGTGAAATATGCACAAGGGCCTTTCAAAGATGCTCTTGTTCCGCATCGATCAGATGTATAATTTTCGAGTGTAATCGATTTAAAAATATTGATATTTATTCACATCTTATGCATAAAATTGCCAATTTCCAAATCATGGTGGCTATGAAGAAATCAACTACTTTCTTTTCACCGAACAATCTCATAAAAGCGCGCAAAATAGGAAAATGAAGATAAAAAAGTTACTTAAATTTTTGTGCATGTTTTTTTCTTTTCCACTACGATTCATTGCAATTTTTTTGCATAATATCTGAGATATAACAATAGTTTTATATCGCTTTTACTGGATAATGATACATCTGATCGTTACAGATTAGGAGTACGTTTTTTAATTTTTAATGTAGTCCCACCCTGTATTAAACACTCCTGAGTGAAATTTTGGGATGATTTTATTTTCACTGCATTGGGCATGGAAAGTTTAGTTCTTGTAGCAAATTGCATCTTTTTATCACATGGAGTTTCGGAAATACTCAAGAAATATCATCCTCAAGAGCCCCCTTTCAGGGGGCCGTAGCTCCCTTAGGAGACATTCCTCGTCTCATGTTCATTGAAACTTTTCTCCTAATTTTTATTCGTAGAAGCCGCTAGTGAAGTTTGGCATGCTAATTTCAGGACACACTGTATATCAATGAAGTATGTTGCTCTAACAACTAAGTCTAAAACAGAAGCAGAAGGATAGGAACGTGATATAAATAAGCAAGGCTGTATCTTCAATATCAACCGAGAAAACTGCCAGTCTCCACCAAAATACGCTAAGAAATATTTACCTTGTAGCTAGAATGTGTCATCAAGTCAGCTTTGGTCCTCCCAGCGACCGAATACCTCCCGCTCTTCTGCCTAGAATCATAGTTGCTGACGTACAATTTATCCTGCCTGGTATCCTGCTGCCTCCATTCCGAATACATGCTCAGCTTCTTAAAATGCGGCACGTAAAACGGCTGCGTCTTGTTCAGCGTACAATACACCGGCTTCGTCGAGCTCTTCAGCCCCAAATAGCTAAAGTAGTTGCCTTGAATCAAGTGCTCCGCGTACTTCTTCGCCACCCTAGGCGTATCAGGACTGATCAAAATCTGGTTGAACATAGTTGGAGTGAGCCCGTGGTGCTGCTTCAGCGAAGCAACGGTAGGCTTCAAGGCCAAGCTGCTCGGCCTGGCAAACTTCCTCATCTCCACGTCTGGCGGCTTGGTCTCCGCAGGCTTCGGCTTCTGTTCGGGAGGTTTCGACGGCAGCTCGGGCTTAGCTTCGGGGGTTTGCACCTTCAGGTTGGGGGACTTGGCGGGCCTGTCCGGAAGCTTCTCGGGCTGCAAGAAGACCTTTCGCCTCACCGGGGTCTCATCGCCGCAGCTGTCTAGCATTAGAGGAGGCAAAGGTGGTAGGGTTGGCTGCATGGGCTTCACTACTGCTACGATGTTGCTGTTGTCTGAGCTGTCTGGGGCTACGACTGGTCCAGGCATTCCAGGTACGTGCCTTACCACTTTGCCGTTGACCAGAAGGTTCACCGGGTTGTACAGGGCCAATGGGCTAGCTTCGTAGTAGTTTTTTTTCGATTCAGGGTCCGGTAGAGGAGTCAGAGTGATTTCTAGGTTGGGTCTGGGAGTGGGGATAGCTAGCTTGGTGGCAGCTTTTTCCAGTGGATTGATCAAGGTGTTTCTGGGTGCAGGTACGTTGGAGAGTGCGAAGTTAGGCTGCCTCAAGTTGGGGGTAAGTTTTCTCAGTACCGTCTGACTGAAATCCATCATGTTTTTGTACAAGGGGCTGGGTTGGTCTGGGTAGGTTTTCGATGATTCGCCGAGTCTGGGTTCGGATTCTTCCCTTCTTTCTTGCATTTGGATAGGCCCGTCGAAGGTGAATTTCCTTCCGAAACTACAGATATCTATGCTGGGCGATGCCGAAGAAGTTTCAAAGACCCTGATGACCTCTTGCTGGTTTTTCAAGTTCTGCTTATTGTAGTTGGTCTTGTTGGTAAGCACTGTGCCTCCAGACTGGAGCAAGCAGGATTTTACTACTCGATTTTCGCTTAATTTGTTGGCATACTCCACATTGTACCTCGGTTCAGGCTCGTACTTCTCATCTTTGCTGTCTAAACTGAAGCTCTTAGATTCCCCTACTCCCTGCACTTTCACTTCCCCCCCAAACAGCTTGTGTCCTGGTTTTTTCTCCCTATCAAAGGGCAACGGAGATAATAGATAATTCGGAGATGGTTCGTTCGGACTCAATAAGGGCAAGTGGCCACCGTCGAACGAAAAAGACTTGCTCTTGTCTCCGTCCACTAGCCTGGTCTTCCCTAGGAAAGGTCCAGGCGAGTTTAGGGGGAAAACGGTGTTCTGCAGCTGCGGGATATTGTCGAAGGCGTTCTTATTCTGGGTGAGAATGGAAGCCACGTTCACCGAACTGCTTCTGGTGTACTTGGCGCCCAAAGATTTCCCCTTGCAGTTGCCACGATACTTGTGAACGTCCAGCTCGGTGACAGTCTGGAACAGCATCTTGCAGTGGGGACACTGCATGTCCGAAGCGGACAGGTTTTTCAGCAGCAGCTCTTTTATAAGGCTTTTCGGGACCACAGGCTCGGTTACCTCGCTGAGAGAACGCTTCCTGTTCTTGTTGGTCAAGTTGAGAGGCTCCTCCGAGGTTCTTTGCTGCTCCACGTAGACTGGTTCCAAGCGGTTCTGCTGGAAGGTTCCGTTGGGGTTCACGATCGAGTTGTTCTTGTTGATGATTTCGTTGATGTGGTAAGACAAATCGGAGGACGTGTCTTGGTTGTGACGGTCCTCCTCGATGTTCTCCTTGGCCAAATTATCGTAGAGCTGCTCGCTGGTGTGGAACCTGGGTTTGTAAGGCTTCTGCATGGATGCTGGGTCTTCGTTGCTCTCAGAAGAGTTGGCGACGTAGCTGTCGTTCCTTTGGCAGTCTGATTCGATGCCGGCCTCTTGGTTTTTGGTGCCCATGACCCTATTCGCGTGCGTCCTGGATCTGCAGTGCTTGTAGAGGTTGGAGCGGGTTTTGAAGCTGAAGCCGCAGCTAGTGCAGGGGAAGGGCCTCTCGTTGGTGTGGGCCCTGATGTGTTTTTGCAGGACGCTCGGTTTGGAGCAGACTAGGCTGCAGTAGGGGCACACGTACTTGCCGTTGGGGTTCTTGTCAGGAGGCGGGGGGGCTTCGAGGTCGGGGTACTCCTCTTGGTTGTTGTAGTTTAGGTACATATCTTCGTTAGCGTAACCTTGCCTAGAATAATAGCTATCTAAAATGGAAGACGGGCTAACTGTGTGGTTGGTCTGTTCCCTAAATTTCGTATCAAAACTAGCGGTTAAGTGTTGGGATTGGTTCGAAACTACATGTGATATGTAAGAGTTCGAAGATTGTTGGATTTCTATTGATATGGAAGACTTGGAGAAGTTTGAGTTCACCGTACTGCTTTTTGTACTTTGGTTTGGCACAATGTTATTGTCTAGGATTTGATTTTCTACTGTTTGATTGTATTCACTGGGTGTTTGGTGGTAGACTATTCTTGTGTCAGAGGAGGTTTCTTGCGACGGCGCGGTGGTTTCGAGTGTTTTTTCTTCACTCTGCTCCGTTCGAGGAGCACTTTTGTTCTCTTTGTCATTCTGGACTTTAGGAGTGACGCTCAACTGTTTCTTGAATTTCTTGTGCAGGTAGCTGTCGGTATTTTCCATAGCTGAATTTCACCTGAAAACGAAACCAAATCTCGTTAAGAATACCAATTTTGTTTTTGATGTTCTGAAAATAAAAATGGTGGGATAATATATAAATAGGAGGGGAGAAAACTCGCATTGCTGTCAAAAAATCAATGACCCGCAGGGAAAAATTCAGAAATTTTCAAGGCTGAAACCTTGAAATGATAAAATGCAGCAAAATTTGTTTTGTGAAATTAGGTAATATAATATGAATATGTTTTTTGTGAGACTGCTTGAATATTAGAGGGTAATTCGAAGTACGTGTCCGCAACCTTTGCCTAGAAAACATTCTTTTTACATTTTTTTATCTGAACCTTGAAGTTCTAACAGCAATAATATATAACAGACAGGAGTTTTAATGTGAAGAAAAATTGATTTTTCGTACGAAGATATGTATGTCGATGTGTCAATGAACCCCAAGTAATCAATTTTCATTCAAATATCGGCAGTATTTCGAAAACCATTTGAGGAAAACAAAAATCAAGATACAACTTCTACACCCTCATTTTTCTTATTGTGACCCAAGAAATATACCATAAAAATTTTCCTCAATATTGATTCAACACCCTACCCTGTAAACTTAATTGCGCCTGATTCCTTTGCAGAGAATAATACCGTGATTTCTTCAGTTTGTAGTAGAACCTCGAGTAAAACTATACTTCAAGTTTTGATTCGATATTTTTTATTCCAATTTTCCAAAAAAAAAAGTTCCCAATAAACTTATTCACTACAATGAATCCGAATGAATCACTATTGGGTATTTATCAACAGTAGTTTCCTTATGAGGACGTAAAACTAATAAAATATTGATGTCATTCATGAAAAAAAAAACAGTCGATTTATCAATAAAAGTCCAGTAAACATAGCCTGCCTGATGAAATCAAAATATAGAGACGAGCATAGTTGGCCATGACCCTTTGAAAACAATATCGCGATACGTTTTGTCATGTGAAAGATTGTCTTTTTGATTTGTTTCGATTCACTCAACCAAATCGATTATCACGAGAAAGTGCAATCATTCTGATTATCTTTGAGTAGCTTAACTATAAGTATAGGGTATAGGCAGTGGCCTACCTACGGGAGGGGATAAGGGAGATACATCTCCCATATGTCGATCACGTATCACGTTTGCATCTCTATAAGGATTTTGTGACGTTGGTCGTTGTGTGAGACTAGCTTGAGAGCGCAATCTACGATGATGATAGAGTGGCTTCAACATCAGCAGTTGAAACTGATGGGATAAATGATTTCTCATCACAGCTGAATGAAAATTCCTTTCAGAAGATATTGGCATTTTTTCAGTTACATATATCTACTGATACACTGAGGAAAATTGTGCTGTTAGAGTTTTTGCTGAGATATTTCTTGCTACCATTACGAGAAATCATATATTACCGTTATACATTTTCGAATAGAAGCAGCACCTTCAAATCCTATGATAGCAATAACGACTTTGCTGAAAGTGAATTTCCTGCCACAGGAAGGTATACTGCTGTAGCTATCAGGCAGCAGCATGATTTTTTTTATAATTGTCTAGCTGAACTACTACTAGTGAGTTATATGCTTGTGGCTGCGAGGTTCATCGCATAGAACTGCACTCACTTCCAATAATACAACTGTCAGTCTGCCACGAAAATAATAATATTTGACGAACCAACTTGGGGTTATTTAGCGCCTACTCATCGTTATTCGATATTTCGCTGATTTGTCCCCCTCTATGTAAACATTTGTCAGACATCTTGCTTGATCAATCATTCACAGTTGGGCTCTTGATGCAAACCCATGTACAGGACGACAATCTCGACGACACGACAGTCACGAATACTTCCCCTCTTGAATTCAATTCATTATTCAAAATCTGAATCTGAATTCAAATATGAAATGGAAACATTTTCAAACAAATAAAAAAATCTTCTGTGTCCCTTTCAGTGCTTTCGTAGATCTGAGTGCTTCAGTTATTATACCAGGATTGATGAAATGATGAAGGTGAGTTTTTTCGAGGTATTTCGTCTGAAATTCAAATATTTTACATTCAATAACATTTTCCTCTCTTTGGTATCATGAAACTTTAAAATGGTCAAATATGTTTCAGAGCTTCTCTGTAGAATCTGGTCTAAAAACTTATTGTGAGCAAAAATGTCCAGGTGATGAAAATATTTGAATGATTTTACTGGTAACATTTTGTTTTCCTGTACGCATCTGTTATAACTTGCCTAGTTTTCGAAATACAATGGTTTCAGAAAAATTCTTTTTTTCATCAATTACTCGAAAAACCCTCTGGTTTTTCCTGAGGGTGCATGAATCAATTGATCTATTGAATTTCAAAGATCATTGGTCCGAAATTGTCTTTAGGAATCAATAAATTGCTATTCATACCAAACATCAGGGTGGAAATTATGGGAAGTGAAAGTGGATATCAGTCAAAATTTCACCTTTCTTGATGACAACAATCCTGGAAAATAACTGAATAACTATACAGTAAGAAGGTCATGCAACTATCTATATGATCACCCATCAAGAGTAGCAAAGTTCCCTACCTACGATTATAACATTGCCCTACTCCCATTATTAGATGCACTCACTAGCGGTAGCAAAGTCAGATACCTACTACAGAAACATCGTCTAATAGCATCATACAGATGCACTCGCTAGTGACAGCAAGGTTCTATATCTAATAATCGCAGGTGGGTTATAATCAGCAAAGTCGACTTTATAATCACAGGTGATAACTCGCTTGTCCCCTATGCTATTACAGTTTCTTGCTGGGGTAATTCGATTTCTGACTATGGTTAATAGAAATTTTCCTCAATGTATTCCTACCTGATATTCCTAGAATTATTGTCAACGCCGGAATGAAATCAAAATGTGACACGAACGCTTAAATATTATTCTGTTATATCCTCAATGAAAATGTATTTAGAAAAAAATGTTAATCCCCTCCCAAGAGACACTTCTGGGTACGCCACTGGGTATAGGTACTTTTATATGGTGTGATATGGCAGGTGACACATAAATAATTTGAACATTTTGTTACGATTTTTTCGAGTTTTTTAGATAACATTACCCTCGACATTACTCGACTTCTATACATATAGTTCTGGGAAACCAACTAATTGGATGATTTTTTTAATTTAATGTAAATATAAAGAAAAGCTTACTGCATAATATTTGTTTTCCCACCTTGTCATCACACACAAACTTTCAATTTCCAGAAAACCAATTTTGTTGTTATAACTATCACATTTTTCGGATGAATTTTATCAGAATTGCTATCACCTCTGGAAAATATTTACCGAAAATGACTGTTCACTGTTCGATTCTAACGAAATTTGACTATCTACTAAATAATTAATATTCGTGTCATGATTCATGTACCTAAATAAAATTATAATAAACGTATAACAGAGCGTATAACGCTCTGAGGGGTATTATTACTGATAATGGAATTCTACTTCTAAATGAAATGTTATATATAAATGGATTTTGATAAGGCTGCACACGGTCATGGACGTAGATACTAAATTTCTAAGGGCGGAGCATACTTCGGTACGACGCGTCTGAACTGCCATCCTAAAAAAACTTTTTTTTTCACGAACATTTGCCTAATTTACAGTTGAAACAAAAAAATGTTATTTCATAATTCGATAGAACAAGGATAGAACTCACCCAAACTAGCTCACCACCGCAAACCGTTTCTTGCTGTGAGCTCCCTACGTTTTATAAAAAATTATTGAAATCCCCGATTTTTCGGACCTCTGAAAACGAGGCGATGATGTGACGTCAAAACCCTAATACTAAAACAAGACTATTCCAGACAGAGGTGAATGATACATGATTTCTGACTGAGTGAATTAGCGCGAGATCACAGTTGAAAGAATTAATATATCAGTTGCCTCAGTCTCCGTCGGGCTTTTGGTATTTTCTTTTAACTATGGCGAGATGAGGTTTCTAAGTCATAAGAGAGTCCGTTTTCAGATGGTACTATAATTTATGTCCAAAAATAAAACATTCCAGTTAATTTTTCGATCGAATTATGTCGTCAATCATTATATTTATGCATAAAAGGATCATTATAAACATGGTTTGAGTTAAAAGTTCTACTAAGGTGTACACGCCCATTACATTGCAAAAAATGTGTCGCTGTTGTATCGCTGCTGAGAACTCATCGCATGATGAAACTTCAGTGGGACAAAATAACATTCCTCTGACATCGCAGCGACGTCTATGGTCCATGCGACATCGCAGACCCCCATTGTTACATCTCTGCGATATCTCTGTGATGTAACTGTGTTTGCTGGGATTTTTGAAATTTCGACTAGATGGATATTAACGTGTTCTCGTGTAATCTAGAAAAGTTCTCTGTTCAGAATTGTTTTTAAATCTTCGTAATAATTATGTTCATTTTGGAATTCAATACTTCTTTAGCTATGCATGCACCCCTCTGTACCCCTCTTGTTCGGCGACTATGTGCATAGCGCTGTGCAAGTTTCGAATTACCAGATTCATAATAAGTATTACTGCTTATCAGTTGAAGTGTGATTATTCATTCTATATAATGCGATCAGAGTTCAGTTTTTCAGAAAAAATTGAATATGTTTTTCGTAGGAATAGTCACTTGAATCAAGCCTATAAAGAATTCGAAATCACCATATTATTATAATTGGATAATTATATAATTTGTGTAGATATCTTATTATAAAGTAAGTTCTGACTCTTATCACTATATTAGGGGTGGGCATTTATCAAGTTCAAACCGGTATTCTGTTTTCTAAGTTATACCTAGGTATTAATTTACTCAATACAGGGTATGTCACGACGACCTTACACTATCTTTATATCGAGAAATCCATGAAAATGCGCGTGCTTATATTTTAGAATACGCTCTCCTCGTTCAAAATATTTTCGACAATCCAGTGTTGCCGCTTCTACTAGAAAGTAGTAGCAACATTGATATTTCGAATGGAACACCCTGTATTCTA